CCATCAACGCTTCTGTCCAGTCCTCTCAAGGATTCATGATAGGTACTTATACTGGGAACGTAAATGCTCAAAAAATATTGTTTTAGTATCTAGAGCCATTTTGAACAGTCATTTGAGTGCAACCTGAAGCCCTTGTGTTAAGCCATCAGGTGTGAATAGTTCTGCTGAACCAGAACAACCTGCAGGTATGAAATGAGTTCATGTTGTAAATAAAGTGGTTAGTCGTAAAATAGTGCTTCTCTCTAAATGATGTGTTGGGTAGAAAAAGAAGATGGAATAATAGTACTGATGGAAAACTAAATAAGTAACTTTGATATTATGATGACATTTTGCTTAAATCATATTTTCATTGAAAATGACTTCCACCCAGATTTCCAGTTAGCCATTGTACTTTCCTCTACATAGCATGTGTTGCTAAACTGAGAACAAACCTTTTGGACACCCGCAAAGGACTCAGGTGCTGTTATGAAATTGTGATGTGATTATTTTTTTTTCTGTTCTCCCTGAGGACAAATGAGACAAAGCTGACTACACTGACAATCAGTCGATGGTGTTTCTAGTGCTTTGTGTTGTTCTTTTCTGACCCCCCCGGTGCCATATTATAATTAACAGCAAAACTCACAAACAGTGCTCGTTCAGAATACAATTTTAACTTCATATAATATAGAAACCCCTGTTGATTTCTTCCTTTTCCCCATAATCCTCACTCTCCAGAGAGCATGCTCCCTCTGCTCCCCTCTGCGGTCCAGAACCAAGTCAGCATGCTGGTGCCCAACAGGAAGTTTGACCTGAGCTATGACCTTAACTGCGCCACACTGTGCAGTGACTTCCAGGAGAACATAGAGTTTCAGTTTTCTTTGGGCTGGACATCAGTGGTCCACCGCTTTTTGGGATCTGTCAACGCACAGAGAGCGCTCAAATTGGTGGACCAGAACTTCCAGGTACAAGCTGGAAAGATTTACATTGTGACATTAAACATTCATGTTGGTTCTTAATCCACTGTGGTGAGTCAGATTTCTAAACTTTACTGTCCTCTCGACACAGACCTCTCGACCAGCACTGCCCCTGGCTTCTACACCATCTTCGGGGCCCCCCTCTACTATATCCCAACCCGCCAACAACGAGACAGCCCTCATGACCCAGGAGGACCTGATGGTAGCCATGGCAACCAATGTAGCATCTCTAACTTCCCGCACTTCAATGAGCGTCATCATCGTAGGGGGAGTGGTAGGTTGTTTTCAAGTCGAGTCAGACATGTCAGCTTCCAGGAAAAGTGTTTCAAAAAGTAATTTTTTGGTCTGTTTTTTTTCCCCTTTTAAGGTGTACAGAGCTGTCGGCTGGAGGCTGATTGTCCTCTCAGCCTCCATGTATGGCTTGATGTACCTGTACGAGAGACTAACCTGGACCACTAAGGCGAAGGAACGCTCTCTGAAGCGCCAGTTTGTGGACTATGCAACAGAGAAGCTGCAACTCATTGTCAGTTTTACCAGTGCAAACTGTAGCCACCAGGTCCAACAGTAAGTCCAACTACAGGTCCATTTTGCCAGAACAAACCACTTCAGGCAGTATGTAAAAACTACACACTGTGTGACATAACAGGGATTGTTGTTATGGTTCAATTTAAGAGGATTTCTTTAGGCTGCATTTTGTTTATCATTGCAGAATGCAAAAGTTAAGGAAAATATTATAATGTCATTTGATTATCATCTGTATTTATGATATGAAGTTATATTATTATTAGTCATATTTAATTATATACACTTTTTTTTTTAATCCAGAGGGAAATTATGACTTTTTCTGTAATCTTGAGGCATACTTCACACTGATTGGTCTAGAAGCAGAAACGGGGCCTACACATGAACGGAGAGATGTCAGAGTGAGGGGGTTGCACAGGCGCCACTGAGCAGTTAGGGGTTAAGGGCCTCGGAGTAAACTGGTACCTCTACAGCAACCACTCCCAAATTTCACACTTGGTCCGAACAGACGAGTGACTGCCGTCCCTGTACATCATCATGTTCTCATTTATTTATTTATTTACGGTGAAGCTAAAACCCTGAACGTCTTGGATTTGTTTTAATTAAAAAACACAAGTAGAAAATGTGAAATTTAAGAATGAATCGTAACAATATAGAAATTTATAACATCCGGTGCATTAAAGGGTACTTTTACCTTTCACATATTCAGTGTAAAGATGTTTATACTGACATCAAAATCCTAATTTTATCCCCACACATCTATTCCTGGTAGTGTTTAACCTATTGACAAAGCCTGACTCATCATTATCTTTTTTATTGTACACACTCGGATCCTTACAAAGTCCTGCCCCACCCAACCTTCCCCTTTGTACCATAGCTAAATAAATAAGCGCCACAACGCTGTGCCCTCTGTGTTGCCAGGGAGATGGCTACGACCTTTGCTCGGCTATGTCAGCAGGTGGACCAGACACAGAAAGAGCTGGAGGCAGAAATCCGCCAACTGACAGCCAAGATAGACCAGCTGGAGACGGTCCAGAGCCAATCCAAGTGCTTGCGGTCAGTCCTGCTACTTCTCTTATTAAGAGTGTGTGTGTGTGTGTGTGTGTGTGTGTGATGAAGCAATGTCTGGGAGGAAGAGCACTGTGTGGGAATTTTGGAAATATCTAGTTTGGGGAAATTAAGGATTTAGATGATTAAATGATACATCAGAAACAGCAAACTTTAAGACCAATCGGCAATAATAATCAAAATAATATTTGCTCAGATTTTCCATTTCCTGTTTGATAACATTTTTTTTTATCTCTTCTGTACAAAAATATTGGCTATTAGTCGTACTTGTGACTGCACTTGGTAGTTTTTTAATGCTTTTAATAAAACTTATTGATTAGTCTGCGTGACTTGTCAAAATGATTCAACATTCATTTCTCAGTTTCATTTAATGAACCTAATTATGATACCCAAATATCAAATGTTTATTAGTTAGACCTGGTTTAAGTCTGAGGTGTGTTTTTTTCCCCCCTCTGCAGACATAAAGCTACAGAGCTAGAGAGACAGTTGGAGGCATTTACAAACCAGTACCTGCAGCCTCAGCAGTGAGCTGCTCCTCTTCATCGCTCCACAGTTTGGTTCTCTTGGAGCCAATCATTCTTCCGTCAGGCGACACCCGGCCTCCTCATCATCTGAACGACACCAGAGTTTCTGTGTGGACATTAATGCTGTAAAGACAGAGGGATTTGTGGATTGATCTATCATCCTTATACAGAAATCAATATTTTGATAATCAACAACAAGGAAAGTCATTTTTCCTGCAAGAAATACCAAACTTCTGTTACTTCTCAAATGAGAGGATTTTGGACTTGTGTTATTTGTAAAAAAAAAAAAAATCAATTTTATTTAGTTGTTTTTCTTTGATTTGTTTTTTTGTCACACCATTACACCAATTTCAATATGTTTTTGGTAACTAAATGGCCACATGTTGTTAATTTAGACGTTTTATAGACCAATCAACGACAATTTGCAAGTGAATCAACAATGGGAATATTTAGTTACTCTCCTTCGTGGAAACAACAGTATTTTTCTCTCCTTCCCGCCTCAGCCAGCCAAGTGTTTGGAAAATAAATAATTGAAGAAATTGTAAAACAAAACTGCCTGAGAATTGAAGAAAGTTGGACTCACTCTGTACAGATGCACTGTGAGGTGGCGTTTATGATCTCTAGGTGTGAAAGCTGCCGCTCAGGTGCTATATTTTGACACTGATGTGCTTCTAACTGTGAATATGCCTTTTTTTTTGACAAACTTGTGGAGCAAATGAAGTTTGTGTAAGATTGGAACTCTTATCTGTCCAGCCACATGATCTGCTGTATGTAAGCAACAGAATTCATATATATTTAATAATAAATGAGAAGCCGTTTGTTTTTCTGGTCTATAGTGTGTGGACTAGTCTAGTTCATTGAGTGAAATCATTTGAGTAGGAAGGAAAAGCATGTCTTTAATATATATACACTGTAGGTTCTGTTTTTTAACAATCAAAACTTTTCAAATCGAAGGCTTTGGAATTCCTTATATTTTATAAAATCCTGTTTTATTTTTATCCATCTGATTTGTAGAGACGATAACACCAATCTGCACTATTTGCCTGATCAAATTAAATCTGTCACTACATAACCACCAATGAGTGCATTTATTTGAAAAACTATGAGAATTTTTAGAAGGTACCTAATGACATATCGTCTGTTTATGAATGGAACATGTTTTTATAATGGACTTTAGAATACACACCTTACAAACATTTTTACTATACTGTACATGTCTACATACATTTATATATATTTTGTAAATGAAATCAGACAGGATTTGTATTCTTGGTTAGACGCCTTTTATTGGTTACAATTACTCATGGCAACATATCAGTATCACCAAGCCACTGTACAAATACAAAAAAAAAAGGTCAGGTGTGAAAAAGACTATAAAAATTATTCCATAACAAGTGATTATAATTTCACACAATAGCACTGTAAGAGATTTATCATGGCACCAAAGATATTACATTGGACAGTCGTGCAAATACAGTCCTGTATAATACTGCCTGAACTTGTGCAGTGCTAACATTTTTCAGATCGGCTTTTTGAAGTCAAAAGGTAGCACTGCGGTTGACAATGGCAGCTTATATTGATCTGCAGACAAACTGGTGTCAAACATACCAATGAATCTGTGCTTGGTACTTTACACAATACTGTAAATGCATCAGCTCAAAAGATTTCCACAAGAGATGTGTAGTTGAGAATAAACTGGAGGAATCTTCTGATAAAAGAAAAAAAAAAACAATAATTAAATGTAATCAAGCACCTTTTTGATTAATAAGTCTACAGCACTACTTGGATGAGTGAACTGCACAGGCACGTAGAAGTGATTCCAGCTGCTAATACTGCAGAATTACACAAAGAGCGAAGAAATGCTTGTCTGCTGATTATCACTGTACAAAATACACACAATCCCCCTTTTTCAGCTGTTAAGGGCTACAGTGTATTTTTTTTTTTTTGTTCATCTAAATTACAAACAGCTCTTGAATGAAAACAGTGGGTTCGATACAATGGTTCATCAGTTCCAGTGAATAAGGTTGTTTTATTCACTGGCACAAAGTTTGAGTAGATAACCCTTTCGAGTCTGTTAATGAATAATTTAGCATGGAGGCTGCTGCTAGCTTAGCTTGGAACAAGGACTGAAATAGGGACATAGCAAAGCTGGCTATACTTTATGGTTAAAGAATCAGACTGCCATCATCTCTAAAGCTCAAACATTTTCTGTCTTTTTTTTTTTAAATCTCAAAAACAACAATTTAGTTTAAATGAGCTGATACGTGCTGCACCTGTGACCAGGCAACGAGCAGAAAGAAGTTACAGCTACCAGACAAGAACTGGTTGGGTAAGTTGCCCGCTTTACTTACAGTAGTTACCATAAACGAAATTACACTATTTTAACCTTTAGACAAATCTGTGCTGTTATCCCGTTTTTAGTGTTCATGCTAAGCTAAGCTAACAGGCTGCTTGTTGTAGCCCAGCAAACATTTTGCAGACAAACATGGGTGTTTCTGATCTACTCATACAACCATCAGGAGGCAGAATTTCCCAACATGTTGAATCATTTAACTGTCACCTTTATCTGGGGATTTGAACACCTGACGTCAGCTGACTGAAAACAAACCTTAATCAAAAAGTCCCAGTCAATTTAACACTTTAGTATACAAAAAAAAAAAATCAGATATAAAGGAGTCTACTTGTCAGAACAGAAATCATTCTCAGATAGAATTATACTTGATGGATATGGAGAAGGCTGGCACTTGAGTAAAGTGAGCAACATGTTTTTTGTCACATTGACTATTTTTTTCAGTTCACAGCTCAGGGTCTGTGCATAATATTGGCACAAATGATGAAGTAACACTTAGATTTATAGGTTATCGAAATACACACGCAAATCAGCCCCCTTCCCGTCCCTCCCCACAGACACGCCTCAACATTGATATGCAATACATATCACATCCTACACATCTCAAAGTTATTCTCAGGCTTGAAACTATAACTGTTTTTCAACATTCTCTCAATATGGATTCATTAATGCAAAGCCTGGTAAAAGCAGCTAAAAGAAGTCAATATACCAAAGAGGGGTTTCATTCATTACAATTGAACCTAAATAAATACTACAGACTGCACGGTAGTAGTAGAAAGCAGAATAGTATAAAAGTGATGTAAAACACTTGCTTTAAGACACAGTTTAAAGCTGCATGTGGTTGTTGTGGTTTTCTGTAAGCATGCTCTTTTTAGTGTTCTCTAAGATCAGAATGTGCTTCTATTGGAAAATGAAAAATAATAAGCAATCCTTATTGATCAGTGTGTAAAAAGGAGATGGAAAACATTTCTGTAGTTGATGCTTGTATTACCCTCTAGTATGAATGCTATCGTAAGGCAGAATGAAGACAATAGTGCCACATCTCACAGGAGCACACACACCCTCTTTTATCCAGCCCAAGTGGGTCAAACTTTCATATTTACAGATAGGCACCAGAGACAGTTGATGGGTAGGTCCAACTCACGTACATTATGTGTATAAGTCGTTAAAAAATTAAGCCTTATCCGAGCTAAAATAATGGAAGATGTGTGATGCGAGAATACTCAAATCAGAGATACCACTTTCCTCTATGGGTAAATAAGTCACATGTGCTCAATGGTTTACATTTGTACTACAGTTTGTGAGTGCCTTTCTAGCTCTCTACCATGCGTACATTTCTTTCTACCAAGTGTACTTTCTTCACAAGCAATATTTAACAGTTTCTAACATGTTTTTGGTGAGGAGAAAAGAATGCTCAAAGTGTTACACATTTAGAATCTTTTTTTACAGGCTTGTGGTGGCACTGGTGTGATTATGGAGTGGCTAACATGACTCAGTTCAGTGAAGACACTCAGTTCACACCTTGCTGACAACTATAAGGGATCTTTGATCCTTCATTGAGACAATAAAAAAAGATTAAAATGACATGCTGAGATCTGACAAACATCTTTTCTTTAGTCCATAGGCCGCTGTCAGAGTCCCTGCCACTTGTGTTGCTTCAGTATCTTCACATAATAACAGACAAGCTCTAACATTTTGTCCTCCTTACAGGCCTCAGCGCCATTACAGACTCACAGGTAAAAAAAAAAACAGCTTCTGCTGGGAGAGAATGTGCTCTGCCTCTTGGCGATGCACTTTGCTCCATGGTTTTCATTTGTATGGGCAACTTGAGTCTCAGCTTTAAGGAAAATTATATAACTGTTTGGACCACAGGAGGCTCGGATGTCATAATGGGAAAGCCCTGTTTTTGGATGCCAATATTTGTATATCAATCGTAGCACACAGTTGTTAACTTGCATGGAATGAACCGGCCTTCAGATATTCAGCATCAGATGATTTGAAACCACCTTCCATGTGGCAAGAGGGGAAGGCAGGGCCTCCATTAAAATTAGGTTCCTTATCTTAGCCTAAAATGTACTGGTTTCTACATTGGAACAACAGCAGAATCAAATACTTAAAAACTTAAAACACTGCTTGTTAATGTTGAAGTTCTCTTCCTCATCACTCCAACAGTGGTGTGACTGCTTCTGTCTAAACTAAAAGACAGTGGTGAGGAAAACCAGGGGTTGTGTTATTCAAAAAATTAAATAAAAACAGCTATCATTCACATGAACACAGAATTTGTAGACATATATCCAAGGAATGAGAGTTAAATTGGGCCAAATTATATTCCTGCAGATTTAATTTTCTACCGATAAAATCATCCTTTGTTGCTGGATGCGCAAGCTGAACTAAATCAGAAGTACCAGATACCTATGTTGGAAAATTTAACTAGAATTTTACCTTAAATGTTGATTCATTTCAATGTTTAAATTTTCTGGCACGAACACAGAATCAAATAAAAGCTTCGGTCTTTTGAAGAACTACTCTACATTTAAAAGAAACATAAAACCCCTAAAATAAAATAAAAACTCAAGGGTGAGAAATTAACTACAAAAATATATACATACACATTATATATGCATATATGATGCATATATACACACATAATGCTATACATATATACTGTATTTTATATACATATTACACATCAATTGTCATCTTGTTTGTTGTTTCTCATAGTAACAGACATTTTTTTGTCGCTTTCCTGAAAATTTGCACACAGGCAAAATCTTCAATTTTTCCTTCGTTTCTTTATAACTCAGGCTTTTGTTTTTAACTGGGAACTACTTAAAGGCTCTTATTTTTTGATTCTTTGTAGTAGCTGGGTGAAAAACATCCCTTGGAAAGGTAGAAAGAGTTGGTACATTCTCACAAGTGGGCTGGTCGGGGTGAGTAAGGATGATTTCGGCTGACACAGTGTGCACCCCACAGGTCCAGCCCAGCCGATGAGTTGGGATATGTGGGGTGAGTTGTGGGAAGGGAAGTTGGTGGGCAGTGATTGAATACCACAGTGAAGAGATTTGTCTTAGTTCCAAATCCGGAGGAAACTGTCCCAGGAGCCAGTGGCCACAGCCATGCCATCCTCTGTCACACCTAAGCAGCTCACTCTGTTGTCATGGCCCGCTAACACACCTGCAGGTAAAAGAAATCAAATAGAGCAAAATGTTTATTTAGTAAAAATACAGTCTCATGCCAAAGTAAATAGCCATTCAAATAGAAAAATATAAGTGACTCAGTTACTCATTATATATTCAACATGCTTTCAAGTCTTACTGATTAGGATGGATAAAGACCTTTTGGGATGATAATTTGAGGACACAAATAATGACTGCTTCTGAAGTGCAAAAAATGAAATAACCAGATCGTTGACTAGTTGCAACATTAACGTTAAACTAAGAAAATTAATGAGAGGGTAATTTTGCTTTCTTTAATTGTAACACACAATTAGAGACTAAATCTTTCATTTAAAAGCAACACTTAAACTGATTAAAGTTTTGCAAAACACCAGTATAATACAACTACCATTATGAAAGCTGTGCTTAGTAAAATATTTAATCATTCTTTTGATCAAAAGTTAAAGAAAAAAAAAGAGGGAGCCAGGGCAAATTTTACACCTACCCACTCACACCATTTACACACTGATGACAGTGCTTGCTATAGAAAGTGACCATCAGAAGAAACTAATCCCATTAATACACATTTATATGCCGCTGACGAAGCAGCGGGAGACACTTGGGGTTAAGCGTCTTGCCCAAGGACACATCAGACATGTGGCTGCAGGAGCTGGGGATCAAACAGGTTGAGAGGTGACCAACTATACCACTGAGCCACAGCAGACCAATCTTATTCGAATGTTCAAATATTTTTGAACAAGAACATGAAAGTAGCCCATGTGTAAGAAATACAGATTTAAACTTCCATCTTCGTTCGTTGGATTAATGAAACATTTGTGGATGATGTGCTGAAAGTGACAGTGGTGTTATCCTTCACTTAAAATAATGTAAAATCATCACTGATCCAATGGATTGAAACAACAAGGGACTGATGGTGAGCAATATGCGGTAACGGTACAATATCGCTCTATTACAGTATTACAAGGGATCACGTCTATGAACACATATTTATGCATCTTCATGTACTACAACCCCCCCTTCTCCTCAATGCAATACTCAACTCATTACTGTGCATGAGAGCAGAGAAAGACGTTTTAATACGTCACTGTGGTCAGTTCTCCTACATTGTAGCTTGGAACTAAATCTTTGTGGTTTTAAGTTACATGTCTCTCCTGCAGACACAGGGATCAATGAAATGTACTGAAACAAATGTGCATGTGACACATAAACATAATTTATTATTTTGGCATGTAAAAAATATACTTGGCCGATGTTTTTTTTGCCATCTACACACCAACTTGTCCGGTGAGTTAAAAAGTACATTTTTGGACACTGGTTTACTTCCCACCCGTACAAGGGACATGAAGGCTGTTTATAAAAGCTAAAGTATTCCCTTTAACAGAGACGCCCCATCAACTGTCATCTGAAATGTTATTAACAAGAAAAACAACAAAACAATAGGGCATTTGTCTCTTACCTGCTCGCTCGCCTTTCAGAGTGTCCCAGACGTTGCAGTTGAAGTCGTCGTAGCCAGCCAGGAGCAGACGGCCGCTCTTGGAGAAAGCGACAGAGGTGATGCCACAGATGATGTTGTCGTGGCTGTACATCATCAGCTCCTGGTCAGCACGCAGGTCAAACAGCCTGCAGGTGGCATCGTCTGAGCCTGTGCCGAAGGCGTTTCCATTGGGGAAAAACTATGTGACAAATAAAGAAATTAACCAGACGTAAGGAAGTAAAATAGGAAGTGTTTAATCATTATGTTTGTTTTTTTAGCTTATGGGGGGGGCTACATTTCTTAAAAGACTCTTGTCTTTCACAAGAGACCTAGAGAGCATTCCTTGAGCACTTTGCCATGATTAAATACTTTATTTCCACCAATATACTCTAGATTACTTCAATAGAAACATGACCTAGCGATCTTAGTCTGGCTATCCTTCAAACAGTTTAAGAGACGTGTGTGAAGGAAGTTTCAGTACTCACGGTGACGGCATTGATGTCAGACACGTGGCCGGTGAAAGATTGCCTGCACATGCCATCACGGATATCCCACAGCTTGGATGTGGCGTCACAGGCTCCAGACACAAAGGTCTTGAAATCTGGGCTTAAAGACAAACTCATCACATCCCCTGTGTGGCCTGTGAAGCTGGTGGCCTGCTGGCCTGTCTCAATGTCCCACAGTGCACTAAATGAAAGAAGAGAGGTGTGAGTAAGAAAATGTCCCCCGAGTATACACCACGTGAAGTCTGTAAGTGAAGAAAATTAAGTCTCACTTCAGGCTATTAATATATAGACAATGTTTACGTTTATGTGGCCAATACAAAGTTATTGCCATTATTTAACAGATTTTGCATAAGTACCATTATTTTCAAAAGTAAAGAACTACACTTTGTGTATTAATCATAACAAAAAGGTTTTCTATTAAGTGTGGCAAAGAAACAAGATCAACAAATGTTTTATGAGAGCTTGGATTTTTAAGAAGTTCAGGGAGGAGCAGAGAGTAGTTTCTCACCAGGTGGTGTCTCCGGAACTGGTCAGTATCTGGTTGTCATCAAGGAAACGACAGCAGGACAAGTAACCTGCAGAGAAAGAGAAGTTCAACAACAGTTTATAAGGAGAGCTGTGCCCTGCTTGATCAGTCAGCCTATGTAAGGCGCTTTAACTCTTTAACTGCTCACATGGTCACCTACTGCAAGCAAGAATTTTTTTGGGATGTGTACATGCATGTTTGTAATGCTGTTAGTCCTCCACATTTCATTATCATTACAGCTGCTAATGTTAATATTAGACTGCCATTATCACAGTTGGAGGACTGTTCAACACAAGTCTAGTTCTGCTCAAGGTTTCTACCTCCTGAAGTAAAGTACCTTTCCTAAATGTTGCTTAGTTGATTGATTGATTGATTGTTTCAATTGATCTGGGATACCTTGTCCTGTTTATTAATCTGTGGCCCTTATGAGTAGCTTTGAAATAAGAAAGTTTAAACATTTGCAGGGGGGGTTCTTTTTTTGAGGTATTTCTTCAGGCAAGCATGTTCATACAGTACTGTAAACCTGGGGTAGGTAACACACAACTCCCCCCATCTATAATTGTACATCAGCCAAAAAGAAAACTGCAGAGGCAAATTCTGAGCATCATAAAAAGTACCCCCTCCTCTCTCTTGTTGGTGTACAAATAAACCTACTGAAATTTACTGTCAACAAAGTTCTAGCCCAGTTTTCATATAATATCTGAAGTCATGAACTGTGATATGAAAACATGTTTTGCACAGGAATACGACGAATCAATTATGCTAGAGCGCTGCCAGCATGACAGAATAAGGAAAAGAAACATGATCACCATAGTTATGTATAGAAAAATAAAGCAACATGCTCAGGGTTAATGAATCCATAAGTCCTGTCTACAAAAGATACTCATTTCATTTCTTTGTTAACATTATTTATAGTAGGCATTGTGCTTACCTGTGTGTCCGGGAAGCTCCCGGGTGACCCGCACGTTGCCCTCGCGGGTCTTCAGACTGTATATAGAGCAGATGTTGTCCAGCCCTCCGCAGGCCACATAGTTCCCAGAGGGGGCGTATGCGCACGTCATTACCCAGGAGGAGCGAAGAGGGATGGCATGCATCTGAGGGTGAGGAGAGTCAAGAGTCATTCCTTCATTAAATATAATAAGAAAGTGATGTTGATAAGTTTATAAAGATCAACTGGCTTGGAGGTCAATTAACATATTTGTGTACAAAATAACGTTGTAATTTGACAAAGTTCAGTCACCTCTCTGAAATACAGATACATAAGAGGATGTTTTTCTCAATTTGTGTGGGTTGCAAAAGATGTGGCTTAACCAACATGGTAACATAATTACATCATGACAGAAATGATGCAAAAACCAACATTTAGTGCAAGAAGCGAGCACAAGACAGACTCAGGTAGTTTTTCTTCTGACGTTAGTATAAGCATTATCTCCATTCATTTTAGTATAGAGACCCCATAGTTATAATAAATGAATAAAACACACATAGATACAGAACCATTTCCTTTATTATCTATCTATATTTTTGAGTAATAGGGAGAAACCAGAAATTGCAGAGCAATCCAGGCATAAGAAAAAAAGACTTTTAATTGAAATTAAGTTTATAATATTGCTATTTAACCAACCACATTGATTTCATCATTTGTAAATAAGCTCCATGCTATCTATAAAGCCACAACATGTACAAGAGTGTTAGTTAAATCTGAAAGGAGCAGCACAAAGCTGATGGCAGAACATGTCTACTCAAAGTTAATTAGAAGGTACACTCACCTTATTTGTTGTGTAGCTGTCCCAGATGATAAGCTTTCCATCTTGTGAGGCACTGACAAGTAACCTGGGAAAAACAATAATAGCATGAAATTAAATTCACAATAAAGAAAAACCCACTTTATAAAAGTTCCATGCATCTCAATCAATAAATGCAGAAAGAGACAGCCACCTCTCAAGACTGTTGTGCTACACTGTCTGAATCAGTATTAGGCCCTCAAACAAAAAGTATTCAGCATGAGCTCCCTACTCTTCTCTCCTGTTTCCATTCATCTTCACTCATCCTCCCCTTCCTGGTGGAAGTCTCCATATTCAGGGAAGCCACTTTTAATGTCTGCTTCATCTAATATTTATTACACAGTTATGTAAAAGTCTCCACTGTCGGTGGAAGCCGGAGGGATTGGGAAAGCACCAGAGAGAAGCTGAAGTGAGGCAAGAAGGGAGAGCAGAAAGAGACGACAGGAGAGAATGAAGTAAAAACTGTCTGAATAGAGGAAGAGCTACGAGGTGGGTGCGGGTGCAGATGCAGAAACAGCTGGAACCCCTTCCCCCACCCTAACTGGGTGTTTTCTTCTCACCAGGAACAGGATGTTGTTTGACGGTGCTATGCTACAATCAAGAGGAGAGCAATCATGCTCAAATGTCAGTTGCTATACAAAATAAACACTGGCCTCAAGCTGGGTCACTCAGAGGGTGCTATATACACACGTGCATGCATTCACATCAACACAAACACACACAATTTAAACTGAATAACCAGGAGAACGTAGCCTATTACAGCTTAAAGGAATACATGAATTTATATTTGTAATTTATCATTGTTAGAATGCAACACAGGTTTTAACTGAGAAAAAACATTGTTCCAGGTTTTACAAAGCTCTACAACACAAGAACTACTTTTGGCTACATCGTCCTGTTCATTTGCTGTGGATATAGATCAGTGCACTTCATGCATACTATCGGGATTATTCCATGTGGACTGATAATTCTTGGTGCTCCAAATCATAGCAAACTGTTAAAAAAGCAGTTTTTAAGTTTAATGGCAAAATTCTAAGTGTGCAACAACATTCATTGTCCATTAGGGATACACAGGAAATTCCCTTCTGATTAATTTTGAATATTCAGGAAAAAAAATACACCAAAAGATTTAGATCTTATAAACTGCTTCTTTAAGGAATTATTAAGTAAGCTGTTGTGGCACCCTGTCACAGTGCCCAGTGAACATCATTATAGTGAGGCTGCATCACAGTGGTAACACTCAGTCAGATGTACAGTAGTTGTGAAGGTAGCAGGAGTGACAGTTATGGGGGTATTAGTCATATTAGTAGAATTTTAGAAGTAGGAGGAGTAGTAGGGGTAGTAGTAGTAAGTAATAGTAGTGGTACAGATAGTAGTATAGCCCCACACCTGGGACTGCCGTCACTGTCCCCAGTGCATTGCATTAGGAGACAGATGGACAGAGAGAAAGAGAAAGAGTGACACAGACATATTTAACACAAATAAATAAGATATTAAGTATTATTACCACTGTTAGGGTTTAAGCAGTTTGGTCAGTTTTTACAGATATAATGCCAATACAATACTGATGATTATATTTAAACATCACTCAGTTTGGCTGAATGTGTGTCCATGTTTGGCTGCAACACAAAACCTACAGACTATGAGCCCTTGGTGCTAGTCTACTATAGTAAATATAAAAAAAAGGGATCATGTAGAATAATAAGGTTTGTTTCCTATCCAGTCTGTAGAGTAAGAACACTACCTGGAGTCGCTCCCCCAGTGCATTGCATAGATCTTGGCCAGGTGGCCCCTGAGAGTGCGTCGTGTCCGCATCTGTATCCGGCCCACTGAGTCCAGACCAGCTGTGATCTGCCAAAACACAGGAAGACATGTCAGCAGCCACACTCCAGGCCCAAACATAAATATCACTACAAACACACACATCAGGGACAGTTCAATCTAGCTGATGCATCAAAAACTGGGCGACATCACCTAACAAAGAACAATGATGTTATGTTTGTGAATACTGATTGTGAGATATGAATTCAGGGACACCTTATGTTTGTCCATACATCACTGATTATTGAAACATTCGATCTTACCTGTGACAAAGTAGAGTCACTGCAGGCTTTCCTGGCATCCTGCAACAAAACAAAGACCTTACTAATCATGTTTATTGACATATTTTAATCAATTATGAAACTGTCTCATAGAAATGTGTATTCATTACTCAAACATGCAGATAATTAAAAATGAGAAAAATCTTAAATAATTTCTATCTTACATGATAATAATAATGGGATAAAATGATTTGAAGTAAGTATCTAAGCTTGTGTCTTAAAGATAAATTTCCACAAATCAACTAAACAAACGTGTAAATTTGTACTCTACCCGGATCTGATTGCGTAGTTGCTCGGCTTCCTGCCGCAACTGTTCTAGCTCACTCATTGTCCCTCTGTGATGTTTTCAGGCCACGTTCTGCTCCAAATACCGACTGGGCCGGGAAAACACACGCGCCTGCAAGCGCACTCACACACACCCACACACTCTCTCACGCACACACAAGCTTTACCAGCTGACACCTGCAAGACAGAGAGATAGAAATACTATGAGTTCATCAGGCAGACGGATAGTGAAGGATGGGAACTTCCATCAGACAAACACAGGTATCCTGTATGGGTTCAGACCAAAGGATGGTGCTGCAAAGGGTGGGGCTGGGTGGGGGCTCAGAGGGTGGCATAGCTCTTCAAACACCCCCAGTCTGGTTCAAAAGGCCATCTGAGCGAGGCTCTGACCTTTTTGACTCAATCAGCCTTTTGTGTTGTTGCATCGCGCTGTTTGCGATGCCAGCCCCAAAGATTGAAAACGTTTATCTCTGTGTGTGTGTGTGTGTGTGTGTGTGTGTGTGTGTGTGTGTTCTATGTATGCTATGTACTGTAGGCAGGTCTGGATGGCTTTATTAGACAATAAATGCAGATAGGAAAGGAGAAATATTAATACACATCTATCACGGTGTGTGTGAAAGCAGTACTTCTCAAATAGTCAACAATATTTCATGTGGTGACCGAGGGGTGACCCTGACTGTTGGCAACAATGTAAGCAAAATAATGTCATATTTCACTCTGTGCGTCTACTTTTTCAACAAGCCGTGGACCGGTGGACAGTTGGCAAGTGTAGCATCTAAAACATTAGCAGCCATGGCTCTCATTCTGCTTCTCACCAAGAGAGTAAACAAATGTTTGGCACACCCACAATACATACTGGGAGTGACAGTAGAAAATGGATCTAATTAAAATGTTGTCATGCACAGAGTATCGCTATAAAAGGTGGTATTGTATCGCTTTAAACAGCTGGATTCTGTCGTACTTTTCTAGTATCAGTGCACCGTGTAACACTAATCTGTTAGTTCACGAGCATTTGTTAATACATAAATGCATGTGTTTGTGTGTGTGTATGCATATGCAGGCTGCCGCTTCTTCACCTTGGGGACCCTGAATGTGGGTCACAAAGCACTTAGACACTCCTCAGAAATGTTTGGACCGCGCCCCACAACCCCCAACCTCATTTAAAAGGCTTTTTTTACACTCTGCTGCTGAAATCTAACCCTCAGAGATTACATTTTCAGTTCCATTTTCTATAATTCAACAATTAGACCATGTACAGCCCTTCCTCTGTACAGGAAATCGCTTCAGTATGAGAGTGAGGTTGATTGGGCTTTAGCTTCATTTTTGCAGAGGCATTAAAACCAATCCGGTCAAGTTATCTACTTAAAACAAAATCAATGAATCATTTCACAAATACAAAATGATTTACTAAATCAATTATTTGCTAATCATGATGCCTAGACTTCCCGTTAAATTAGTGTAAATGGGCGGAAACTCCTCTTGTAGATACAGTGCATCAAGTACAATGCTTTCAGCTTCACAGGAGTGACATCACTTTCTCCCCCAGCTGACGCAACCCCTCTGAAGAAAGGCCCTCAACGTCAGCCCACCTGTGATGTGGTGCTGCCCTATGACTGCCATGGATCCATTATACCCTATGCCTCTGAAATCTGCCACATCACAGAGAGCCACTTAGAACTACCAAAAAAAACCCCGATATGACCTTCTACACTCGGTTAAATATTTCAGTCAATTTCTTTCAGCCTGAGGCTCGTTACGTAAAAGGCAACCGTGCACATGAAAGATGAAGTGGAAAATTACGCAGGTGTGATGGAAGAAAACGCTGGAAAAAAAAAAAAAAAAAGAACGCGTAAGGAAGCTTACCTGTGAGTTTGCAATCTTAGACAAACCTGTCTTGGACCATGCATGCCTGGGCAGTGATTTGCAAAGGTGGCACATTAGATTTATTGTTTCACACATGGATTTCAGATGTTAGTCATTTAGAAACCAAAACAACTCATTTATAACTGCTGAGCCACATTAACCACAGCCACGAAAAGCAGTCCTATGGCAAATGGACCCCACAAAAGACTAGATAAAGTTTGCCTTTTACAAATTCAAGTCAAAATCCAAAGTAAGCAGTCCCCTCTGTGTGTGTGTGTGTCTTTTCTCCATTTGTTTATGTGGAGCAATGCAGCCAGCAGAGCAAAGAGCACAGAAGAGTATCAGGGGCCACAAAGACAGGACTGTGTGCTGGAGCTGTCTATTGTTTAGTATTGGGCTGGCAGCTACAGTAGATAGTGCTGCTTGGCACCACCAGCGTTAGGTCTGTGAAGCTAGCAATAAGGCAATAGCTGTCATCCTATCATGAAGCAACCAAGCACCGATACATCAATCTAATGCGTTCACCGCATGCTCAAGCTCCCAGCATCAAACAGGAGACTACCATGTTTGAATTGAAACCAAACAGCTGCCCTCTGCATAGAACTGTGACAGATGTGGGATGTTAACACTGATACATAAACTGATTTAAGAGGTGGAACGTTCCCTGATTACGGACCTTGCAGTTGAAGTAGTTTACATGGTTGGTGTCCTGATATAACTATGTAAAGGTATCAGATGGCTGGTTTTCATTAGAAAGAAGACTTGAGGGGCGGCGATGGCCTAGTGGTTAGGTTGCGTCCTTGAGTCCTCCAAGTGGGTGATTTCCTATTTTGGACACCGTCTTGGTCAAATAAAGGCATAAATGCCTAAAAATAAATCTTACAAAAGGTTTTGAATGAACATGTAGCTGACCATACATTGTAAACTAATTCTTGAGTGAGCTCAGCTGTGATGTTATGCCTCAGACAATGTTCAGAGTATTCTAAACAATGGCTAAAAATGCCCTTTTAACCTACAGTTTTCATCTAGCATACAAGAAAACATAAACTACCGATGTATCTGTAGTAGGTCTATATTGGCTGATAATTTCATTATTTTTCCTGGCTGATAATTTCAGCCAACAGAAATATAAAGCTGTGTGTTAGCGACTACCAAACTAGATAAATAATCCCCTTTAATCACCACATTTGCCCAATGAAAATAATGTCTGTTCTGTGTTGGGACAGTCTCTAAATAATGCCAGACTTGCTTATACGGGACTGTGACAATTTGCTCCGATTTAATCACACATTTATCAGTTAATAAACTATTTGTACCATCGTCAATCTTAAAATGTAACAAGTAATGATTAAAAAAAATAAAAAATGCTTGCAGTTTTCCATAAGTGAATGTCGGTGATGATTTCTCAGCCTTCCCTGGTAATCAACTGAATATCTTTTATTGTCAAATGGTCAACAAAAAACAAATAGAAAACTAGAAAATGATGATGGGTATTTTTGATTGTTGACTTCCTGAATTTTTACTGACCAAAAAAAATCTGTATAATGAGTGACTAGATTTATTGATCATAAAATGTATGTTAAGTTGCAGCCATTTTAAGTCAGTCAGATTTGTTTGCAAATCTGTTTTGTTGCTTCGGGCTGCTGTTTTACAGTTTCACAATGAAATGTGAATGCAGGTGGTTCACAATGACTCTTAAAATGTTCAGCACATTGGAAACATGGCTGCTCTGTAGTGCAGTGGTGATCGCTCTCACAGCAAGAAGCTTCATGCTGCAAATCCCTGTCGGACAGGGACTTTCTGCATAGAGTTTGCACTGTGCATGCATGGGTTCCCTCAAGGTACTCCAGACATGTTTGTGAGGTTATTTGGAGATTCTATAATTGGTGTGAATTTGAGTGTTTTATGTCTCTGTATGTCCGCCCTTGAACTGACTTGCAACCAGTCCAGTGTGCACTCCACCTCTCACCCAATGGTAGCTGGGATAGGCACGATCATGTCCCTGAACAGGATAAGGGTTTAATATAATAGATGGATGGACATTGGACACATTTCACTTTCAGTGAACAACTCACAGAGTGACTCACAGAGAGATCCCATATACTTCTCTGTAGTAAAATCAGTGTCACTGAAGCTTGGACACAATATAGATACTGGAGACACTGTCCCTTCAGTGTGTGTCCCTGCTGACTCAGTGATACTTCATGTTCAGCAGGAAATATACACAAAGTGTCAAATGAACATAGTACCACCAGGAACAGATGTGTTGCTATTCACCATAGAATCTCATCAGATTATCAGGTACCTCTTTAACTTCAATTTGCAAATGATAGCTTCTTTTTCTGTTAGGTCACATACAGTAAAAGTCAGTCACATCTGCCTCTACCATGATCTAATAGTGGTGAACAGAGCAGCAGGTGGTGGAGGCAGTGCAGCTCTGCACCAAGAGCCACAGAGGTCCAACAACATGAAATGAACAGTAAGTTAAGGAACTAACATTATAAAGAGCCAGTTTACAAAAGTGTTCTTGAACTATAGCAAGCTGTGAACACTTCATTATCATAATCCCGAGAAGAGCTGGATGCAATATGATTATTTCCAATACAAAATTATAAGATTTTAATTTTTCGTTATGCCAACCTGTATGCACTTTTTGTACATAATGGTATATTAAGCTACATGGCTGGGTTTTTTCTCTGGATAAGGCTTATTGACAAAGGGGGGTGGGGTGTTTCTGTGTTTCAGTTTGACACAAAAAAATCATATCAGTCCCTTTTTGTCGAACAGAACAGAGTTCCTCATCAATTGCGTGTATTATTATTTTTACTTATGATAAACACCCCTGAGAAAAACAATACGATCATGTAACCCTCAGATGGTTAGGTTTAAATTCTTTAAACTGTTCTAATCTTGTTCTTAGTTGTTTTATTTGAGAGACAATTTCTAAAGCAATCAGTGCCTGCACTGGGGCCTTATTGAAAATAAGATGGAAACTCACCACGTCAGTTATGTGTGTCAAAGTGAAAACTGGATGGAGCAGAGGAGCTCCACCAGGTGTTAACTTGTTCAATTGGCATACTGATTATTGAAAACATCCTGAGAATGGAGGAAATAGCTTGTGAGATTCCAGTTACGTAAGAGGCTACGTCTCTTCCTTGTTGTCAGCTGTCATATAGATAACTAAGTCAGAGCTTTATGGTGGTGTTTTGGATGAGTCCAGAAAAAGGAAGAACTGACAGTAACACAAAACAGAATGGATAATGTGGTCACATAATACATAAATTAAACTAAAAGAACTTACTTAGAAAGGGACTTTTGGACAAGACATATTTTCACAAATGGGTCAAGTTATAAAAACTGCTGATACTATAAATGCTGTATTAACAGTTAACCAAATCTGAGCTAAAATATTCAGTAACATAGGGTTAGGTTACTATGGTTAAAACCAGTATGATGGATATTTTTTTACAAATGAATTTGGATTTATGTCCAAGGAAAAGGCTGTGTATCATTTTTATTGCTCTTAGAACATGTCTTTGCTTCCCAGCCCTAACACTGAGAGAAGAATTGTATCCCAGAAGAAACATCCCAAAAGAACGTTTATGAATTATTTCTTTCAGGTACTGAAGAATTAATAAACCTAGACCACAGGACCATATATTATTTAACTTTTCAAGATTACGACACAAACATTTCAGTCAGCGTTGTCTTATCTGGGCTGTAACTTTCAATATTGGCTCATTTGCAAAAAAAAAAAAAGTTATTGGACTTATTAAGTAAACAAAGTGGCAAAAGGTAGCCAACATTTACAGAGCCCTAATTCGACAGCTCAAAATTGTTTATTTTCATTAAGCAATACTTAAAAATGTTCAATCGACAATGATATGAGACTGAGACAAGTAATAAGATTCTCACATTCGAGAGTTTTTTCAGTAATGTAGCTTAATGACTGACCTAAACGATTATGCAATAATGGTTATGCTTGCCAACTTTTTATGCCATCTTATAATTGATTAATCATTTCTGCTTTAAGTGCTGTAAGAATTAAACTACATAGTATGACTTGGTGGTGTTTGTATAGTGTAAGTATATCTAATCTATCTATCATGAGCATCATATGTATTGGAAATGAATTGCAGCCTACACCCTGTATAAGAAAGTTTCTTTACTTCAACTACATTACTTTTTTTTTTTTTTTACCACATTTTATGTTTAAAGATATATAAATACACATATTTTAAATGCAGCACACATCCGTCTCCTTTATCTTTGATTAAGGTGGCAAAAGGTGGCAAGACTACAACAACAGCCAAAACAACGGAAGCTGTATAAAAGTACAAACCAGACCGAATTTGCTGAGCTGCATATTGATAACATACATTTGTGAGTTTAAACTTGTAACCAAACTATACAGTAGCCTTACTATTTGTCAATGACAGCAAAGATAGAATTCATCAGCTAAATCATACGGGGAAACAGACTAATCTGTTGTAGGTGTTAGTGAAGTGATTTAAGCAGAGAAACATTCCTGTTATTACAAGCAACACCATCACCCGTCACCATACCAGATGGAGGACTGCCATGTATATTTAATAGAAAATAAAAATAAAAAGCTGTGCAGGGTGTCAGGAAAACGCAAAATGAGGAAATTGCTACATGAAATTGGAACATTTGAATAAGATTTGTTTTAGTATTCGGTTATTTCCCCATGTAGTTCCGTCAAATAATAATTAGACAGCCCGTATAAGGCCGCGTTTGGAGAGCAGTGAATTTTCAGCTTAGAGAGGGAAAAAGAAAAAACACCATTGAGGTAATATAAGCTTGGGAACAGTTGTGTCAAGAACCACATTGCTCCTGTTTGACCCATTATATTTCAAACTTGCAGACATTTTGCTGTCTCAAATATTGTGAAAGGCACAATAACACCACCGCGAGTAAAGCAGGAAATAGCCTAAAAGCCATCAAAAATATCAAGACTCAACGTCCTTACCTGAAACAGGCTTTGGGGCTCTGTCCGTCTTTCCAACCCGAGTCACAGCGGTGTGATTTCAAACGAAAACCATGCTCCCAGCTGTGAGAGAAATCAAAGAGGGGGGACGTGTTAATTTTAAAGACTATTTGTTCGGTTCAAACGGGCAGAGGTGCAACACGGGTCGGATTAGACTAAAAATTTTCACCAAGCAAGCTAATCACCACACCCATGAAAGTGGGAACATGGCAACAGCCTACGCGGAGGGGTACGCGGTCATGAATATACTCATTATTTGTATTGTTAACCACTATACCGAGTCAGAAAATAGGCTACCAGTTATTTTTAAAACTCTAAACATTTAATTCAGCTTCAAAACAATCTGGTATGAGATTTTATTTGGTTAAGAAAATGTCTGAAATGGGTTGTGTAACCTACCGCCGAAATGGTACCGTCTGCCAGCCCCCTCGACAAAAAGGAACCAAATGGGATACAGGAAACAAATAGGAGACCTATAAAACATGTAGTAGTAGTAGTAACAGTAGGCCTTGTGGACTTTATCCCATTATTTTAAAGTCACATTTCATAAGCACACAAAAAAAATATATAGATGCCGAATAAATCAGAGCCCCGAGTCTATTGGAGAGCGTCAGAACAGGCTGACAGAAAAGAAAAGTATTGTTTAAGTTTACTACTTGGGGTAGCCTACATGCGAATCCTCCAATTACCGATTGAGACTTAACATTATGAACTATAAGCGATAGTGTGGCGAATGTGATTTATTATTTATTTTTTTCTGAATATTTTGCACTGAAAATAGTTCATAAATACACATATGTGAACAGCTACAAATCCTTCCTATGTATAGTTGTTATTCTAATGTAAGCGAATTGTCAATTAAGAAATTAAGAGATGAAAAAGCACCCTTAGACTTTATGTAGCCATATGCCAGACATTTCTTATTCACTGATCTCTTTATATGGAAGTTATTGCCACAGTGCAGCCCAAAATTGTTTATAAAAAATATTTGGATTATTTTTTTTTTTTAAATGTTCCCATTGGCCCTTAGTCTCTGAGATAGGACCTTTTCGTTATTTTCAGACATATTGTAGATTTATTATTTGAATAGACAACCCATCAATAAATGGATTGCAGACATAATATGGTTGAAATAAGGTTTGGATTTTGCCAGGAGGCAGCTGTGCCAAGTCTCACCCCGGCACACCACAGTCGGCCTGCAGTTGGCTCATTGAAAAGGATCTCTCTCCATTAGGACAGGATGAATTTTTAATGGGACCAATGAAAGGGAGCAGTGGGATAAGCTTTTCCATATCTCTGCACGAGCCACAATCAATGGAGGGAAGATGAAAGTTGCCCAGCCCTTGGTTTCCTTTCGGAGAGGCATGGGGGGAGATTAAGTCTAATTGAATTCACACACACACACACACGCACACGCACACACACACACACACACACACAGTAGTTTAGGTGTGTCAGACCACTTTCCCCCTAAACACATTATGAGGATTAGGATTAGCGTGATGGAAGAAACATATGTTGTGGTTTATAATAATTGGTGCAGTCTGATAATGGGCCAAATTACAAATGTATTAATTTACAGAAAAAAGTGAATGTAGCAATGTACAGTGAGTCAAACTCATGAGACTAGACAATTATTATTTAAATGAAGAAATAGTGTATTTATGCCTATCTGGCAGCCTATAATTACTGTTTATGTTGTGAAATCCACACATACTGGAGAAATAAATGACCCATTCAAACCTATAACCACCAATGATTATGAGGTCTGAGTGTTATTGTGTATTATATTTCCCAGTATGATAAACATACAAACAGGTTTTTGTCATAACTTGTTCATAACATAATCTTGATCTGTCCCAAATTATCTGTCTTGTCTAATTCAAATTTGCTCAACAAATGCTCAACACATGCTCAAGTGTTGATACAAATAATCCAACTGTGAAGCAACATCAATCCAAATCTATATTTTAGCAGACAATCAAATCTTTACCACAATACACTTTACATTTTTGGGACCAGAGACTACATTTTAAAATTAGGAATCACTTAATGAAGAGTCAGATCTTCTTCTTTTAGCCTAAAGAGCAAAAAGACCAAATACATTAGCAAGCTGAAAATCAGAGTCATAGTGTCAAAAAGCACATCCTAGGCCAATCAGGTCCCAATGCCCATTGCTTAGCAACCAAAGAAGAGGGAGGGAGCAGATTGACACTGTAAAAATAGCACAACAATAGCCTGGTGTCTGAAAAAAAAGAAAGACACACATGTTGCTGAGGCTATAAAAAGCCTCCTGGAACCTGGAACAGGTATCCTGTACGGTATCTCAACTTCAATGTTGATGATAATTGAGACATTTTTGCATAAACACAAATTTAGTTTAAAGTAAAGTTACAGCAGGTAAAATTGATAAGAAAATCTATGTGAGTGTGGTTTAAGGGCAAAGAAGAAATTGGAGCTGACTTCACAATAACATCAGTCACCATCATTTATATCATCACCAATCATTTGCAGACTTAATTCTATTGTTTACTATCTTGTGTTTTGCAAATATAGAATGACAACACATTTGCTTTTTGTGCAGCAGAAGAATTGAGAGAAAAAATAGGCCAACATTTGCTCTGTCATGTCCAATTCAGTTCACAAGACTGCTAAAAATTGAGCCTGATATGTAGGTGATCATATCAAGTGGAGATAATGGGACATCAATCTGGAGCAGCTCCTCGATGCCTATTTTTATCTACACGGTCCAATTTATTTTCTGCCCACATGTGGCGACGCACCCTGACGACCTCCATGTAATACTTCCACTATATCAAAGGCAATTAAAAGGTGTAGCAACAGAAGAACCTTAAAAGGCTTTATCAGGGCCGTCTTATCCACCATGCATCTCCCTGGGAGGCTGGCTGTTGCCAGGGTAACCCTCACAAATGGCAACTGACGTCAAGAAGGTATGAGAAATACCAGGGAGAGCCAGAGCTGCTATGCATAATGGATTATTGAAAAAAGGGCCCTCTTGAAGAGCGCAAAGTGACTTAAAATATGCATGCTTTGCTAGGCTCTTCTTCCTCTCTCTCTTCCTCTCTGTGTGTAGAGGAAAATAGATGTTGACTGGGTCAGAGTTTTACTTGCTGACCAGCACAGCTTGGTCCAATTCAAAAGATACTCACTGCTGAAGAACTATCTCTGCAATGACACATTATGGTCTTTACCCTAGATGGAAATTTGATGTCATGTGTCAACACTTTAGTCCTAAAGACTGCCGATTGTGTGCTGCTGTGTTGACATATCCTACTATGAATAAACATTCTCTGCTTTGATTAAATCAGAATTTAGTGCCATCTGCACTGCTTTTTAATAAGAGACTAACACATCAGCTTTTGCCTCTTAGTAGGTCCGTTGTTGGTCATGTGTAACTACCAGCTGTGTACTTCGTCCCTGTGTCCATTCTTGTCTAATCTCAGTGCTGTCTTTGGCCCAGGAGTGACTGTCAAAGCGGCAGCTTCATGAAGAGCCCTCCTCATCATTTCTGTGATAATGCCTCTCATGCTGTTTTGGAGATAATCAGGAGACCGACAGCACAGAAGCAAGTACATGTGATAGAGAACTGACACAGGTGTCCATGAGTGACAACATTAGTGTCATAATATCCAGGCAACACTTTCCAAATACATTTTCTGTCACATTATGTCTTCAAATCATGCGATTTGAAGACTCAAGGAAGGATTAACGAAGGCTAATGGATAGTATAAGAGTGTTAAGGTCCATGTACGTAAAATGGTCTTAAATTAGTACTAAAACATAAAACAAACATCAAAACCTTACATGTTTTTTATGATTAAGAATGTGGTTGAAATTGAAAGTGCTCAATTGCAACATTATTAATGGTACAGATTTCAAACGTCTGCATTATAATTGTTCTGTATTAAGCAGCTTTTATTTGTGTAAAATGTGCATGAAGGAGTCGATGCTCAGCAGCATGAGTGGGCCCAAAGCAGAGGAGGAAATGTGCCGAGAGAAGAAGTGAGAGTGTTTCAGTGCAGGGGAATCCCAGACACTTCTGTAAATCAGGAGTGCAACAGAGCAACACAAAGCTTCAAGTAACACGCTGAGTTTCCTGAGAAGTGAATCACACAAGTCACATATAGGAGAAGAACCATTAAAGGAAGTGAGGAACAACCCTGATGTGCTAATGTCAACCTTTTTTCTAATGGCTGCCATTCCAGCTGCAACACTATGATACGAAAGCATCATTGATTTATAACGATGAGCCCATATTACTTTGACTTTACATTTTAGTGCACCACAGGTTCAGAACAAGAGATAAGACCATACCACAGTATTACCCCTAGTTGAAAGCCAATACAATCAGCAGTGCAGAGGCTACAGATGAGTTAGACAAGCTCCCAACCAAAAAATCAGTTTCCTCTGGTACTTCTGAAGAAGTGGTTTAGTTTAGTTTTTGCAACCCATCTTTGCTTCAATTAAGACAATTATTAGTGCAGATTTCAGATTCTCTTTATACTGATTATTCATTTACTTATTAGTTATTTCTGTTCATGAATTTATTTACCCTGTGGCAGTGTCACTGATAAATGAATCCAGAAGACACACACACACACACCAAAAATCCTTCAGTCAGAAAGAAGTATTAAAAGCTTTTCTACCTTTTTCCAGTGAAGATGAGAAGTTGACAAAGTGGGTGTATTCTGTATACGTCCTAAACGGCTTGGATTGAGAGCTGTACAGAGCGCTGTTGTTTCTGTTCTTCCTCTCAGATGGGAGTGTGTGTGTGTGTGTGTGTGTGTGTGTGTGTGTGTGTGTGTGTGTGTGGATGCTGCTGGGAGAAGGAGCAGTGAGTGTGGAGAGATAGAGACAGAGCTGGAGTATAGAGAGCAGCTGAGTGGGAAGGTGAAGATATGGGGGGCATGGAGAATAGGAGATAGAGTAGAGTTCTTTTAAAGGGACAGAGTTTATTTCTCTAATACCATAATGAAAATAATTTCAGGATAGAAGGCTCTTTTCTTTTAGGCAAAGCTGTTTTAATACTGGGATTTTTTTATGTTTTGTTCATATTTGAATCTATGTTAATGCTGTGTGATGCTAATATTTTGGTACTGTAGTTTTGTAGAAATCTGGCACAAAATCCCCTTTTTAAGTTATCTTCCATGTGAGGCAATTAATTATGTCGCTTAAGTTGTTGTTAAAAACATCTTCAGAACAAAGATCATTAAGAGTAGGATTAGTCAAGATTTATTTGGTTTAATAAGGCTGTTTAACTTAGAGTCCCGGCATGTACAGGGTAACATTAAGGAATATAAATCAATTGCTGATTGCTGACCATATTGCTGTGTCAGTTTTAGGTTCCTGGTTTACTGTGTGCTGAGTCACAATCACTCATTCATGGCTTAACAGGAAAGTTCAATGGTTCACAGCCATTTTTTAAGTGATAAATGTCCTACCATGACTTCAAAAAGTGCTCATGACTGTTTCTGACTCTTTAATGTATGCCTGCCTTCCAGATAGTCATTTTTTCTCTAACTGTCCAATGGATACCTCATAAGCAATATTTGTTTGCTGTTGTCTATACATTATCTCAAATGACTAGTTATGCAGGATACATACACACCCGACACTTAATATGAGGGAAACACTTTATACCTGTATGAGGCTCTTTGTGGTTACCTTTAGAGCTAATTTAACTAGTTTTACTCTCTAAAAGACAGTTACAATGTGCATTGAAGGTCACATATTTTCCTTCTTTTCAACAAGTTTAAATAGGGGCTAGGGACACATATACATATATAACTCGACATTGTAAAGATAAATGTATAAACTATAAAACTTAATTTTCATATTATAATCTGAAAAGAGTGTTTTCTTTATCCCACTCCTTTTCGGACATGTCACGTAAAAAAGCTTAATGTTCGACCATTTTATCTGAATTATACTTTCCACTGTGTGTTATAATCCTTTATTTTCTGTCCTATTTTCAATGTTCACATTTGTCTTATGTTACATGTTCGGAATAAAAAATTTAAATCAAATCAAAATCAAGTAAGTGTTAGAAAAACATGGTGTAAGTGTAGTTTGCATAATATGTGACCTTTAAAGACATGTTATGTCAAAAGCTTTAAATTCTAGTTGTGATACAAAGCTTAACTTTTCTACCTCGTTATCTTTCCAGTCTGTTTAGTCTAAATCTTTGGATTTTAACATAAGTTACACACATACACAAATTAAAATCAAAATGTGAGAGCTGGAATGGCTGAATCTAAGCTCTTATCTTGTTACACATAGAAACAGCTATTAAAATATTAACCTCAAGTTCTCAAAAGATGGGCAGACAAAATTCATATCAACAAGGATTGCTTTATTATTTTTTGTCATAACAAGAAAAGCAGTGTGACCCTTTCCTGATGGTCTTTATTCAAAGTACAGTATATTAATCCTCTAATGTAGAAACAAACAAGCAGTGACTCAATACCTTTACCATTTTATGTTAAACTAGTGTTTTAAGGATTTTTTGAAAATGAGATTGTGATGAATGCTATTTACACTACAGTGATTGATTGTATCTTTACATTTATAAAAACCACTACACTCCAGTTGTTCTTCCAAAATAAAGGGTAAGATTGATTTTTTATACAGTATAAAGTATCTGGTACAGTCAGCTAGGACTCAAACCTCCTTTCTAAGTGCTTGTTGAAAAGTGCTGGCAGCCATTACAGGAAAGGGTATTTGACCTTTACAACAAACTATTTTCAAGATGTTATTTCAAAACCAGGATTAACAACCACTGCAACTATCGCAAAAATATTTCATATAGGAATAATCAACAGAGAAAACATATTCCGATTTTTGTCTGAATTCAAACTGATCTTTTTAAATGCAAAAATGCAATGACAAATATCTAGTATTTGCTAGGTCGCATTTTGACACTTAAATATTAGGTTTTTTCATTTGGGCTCATCACATCCCTCAAAAACAAACCACCTGATGGCTTTATTCAAACTTGATTCCCTGGGCCAGAGGAAGATCCTTGCTGTAATTGATCGTGCAGGTGGAGCGCCTCATGTACTGCTTCCATGAGTCACTACCAGACTCTCTTCCACCCCTGTGTGTTTCTCACCACCAAAGGCTCCTCCAATCTCAGCTCCGCTTGTGGGAATGTTGACATTCACTATGCCGCAGTCTGAACCCTTTGGCCCAAGCCAGCGGAAAATGCGACCCAGATCTTTGGTGAAGATGCTGCTGGACAAGCCCTGCTTGACCTCGTTGTTCCAGTCAAACGCCTCCTCTTCTGTCTTGAACTTGAGGACATAGAGAATGGGCACGAAGGTTTCAGTATGGACGATTTTAGCATCATGAGCCAGCCCTGTGATGATGGTTGGCTCCACATAGTTTCCAGGGCGGTCGATCACCTTCCCTCCGCAGACTACAGTGCCACCTTGCTGCTTGGCCTGCTCAATGGCTGCCAGATACTGCTCAATGGCTTGTTTGGTGTGCAGAGGTCCATACATGGTGCTTGGATCCCAGGGGTCTCCGATGCGGACTTGTTTGTAGGCCTTGGCGATCCTCTCAACCACTGTGTCATGAACGCTCTCGTGCAGCATCAGCCTTCTTGTTGTGGTGCAGCGTTGGCCGGCTGTCCCCACGGATGCAAAGACAGATGCGGGAACCACAAGATTCAGGTCGGCATCCTCGAACACGATAATAGCGTTGTTTCCACCGAGTTCCAGGAGCTTACGACCGAACCTTTCCTGAACCATCATGGCCACCATTTGGCCGACATGGGTACTGCCAGTAAACGACAGCAGATCAACGCGCTCATCCTTCGCCATGGCTGTGCCGATATCAGCACCTCCACAGGTCATGGAGCAGATGGCGCCAGGCAGGTTGTTCAGCTCCAGCACCTCGGCTACAATCTTGGTAACTGCAACACTTGTGAGGGGTGTAGTTGGAGCTCCTTTCCACAGGCAGACATTGCCGCAGGTCAAAGCGATGGCATTGTTCCAGCCGTAGACAGCCACAGGAAAGTTAAAGGCAGTAATGATGCCCACAAGACCAACTGGGTTCCACTGCTCGAGCAGGGCATGGCCAGGCCTTTCTGAAGGCAGGATCGGCCCACCAATCATTCTGGACAGCCCAACGGCGTAATCACAGACATCAATGTATTCCTGAACTTCTCCAACTCCCTCAACGTAGATCTTGCCCATTTCTAGAGACACCAGGCTACCGAGGACTTTGTTCTTCTTTCTGAGAGCATCTCCAATCTGCCTCACAATCTCCCCTCTTTTGGGAGCGGGAACATCTGCCCACATCTTCCAAGCCTCCTTGGTCTTCTGCACTGTTTCTTCATACTCCGCCAAAGTAGCCTGGGTCACTCTGGCTATCGGCTCATTGTTGGCAGGACAGCGTGATGTGACGACCTCCCCGCTGCCTCCCCAGCTGCCGTTGTAAACACCAGGATTGTCTTCAGACAGGCCGAGCTCTCTCAGCCAGGAGTATTCTGGATGGTTGATGAGTAGACCAGACATGGCTGCTGACTTATGGACACAACGAAGTTGGTTTCTCAAGATGAGCCTGCTGTGCCGGGCAAGGGTCAGAGTGAGGCAGTGCTGCATGAGTGCTGGAAGACAAGTGTGTTAAAAATTAATTTAGCAAGTATAAAATTGTTTTCAGTACATGTATAGGTAATTATTGCCTAAAAATTCCTACCACATAATAAAATGAGCTTGTGATTTCTACTGCTTTCAACTAGTGATGATTGTCCATATTATTTTGATATATATTGAGTAATTGTTGGTCTGTAAAATTGAAAGCAAATGCGTATAACACCCATTGAGATTTTCTTGGGTCTGAAGAGAGCTTTATGTTTCTTCAAAGAATTCAAGTTACAGAGATAAACATTGAGAAATGCAACAAACTTGTGAAGAATACATTTTTAGCTTGTCTTTAGAAAAACAACCTGATTCAAATTTTATCAATCCAGTTCTGTCACTAAGCAATGGTACATTAACATGTTCTGCAGAAAATGAGAAGAGTCAACAGGTGTTCACCAGAGACTGCTCGAGATAAAAATAGGATCTTTCTGTTACGTCTCCTTCTCCTTGAACATACCAATTTGAATGATATGCTTTTAATGAGACATTCTTCGTAGAACTGAATCAATGGCCATACTGTAGTCATTTAATTAAGTGTTGCAACAATTATTTTTTTTGTTTATCTTTTTTTAAATTGTATTTGGGAAAAACAGAGATTGTTGAGAAGGATTGTATCTACCAACTCGGAGTTGTATTTTTTAAAAGTGAGTTATATAACCAGAGATCTTCTCAGACTTTAAGACAGCCAACAGTAAGTAACTTACCCATATCCACCCCTCTGCGCTTGCGCACTTAATACAACTTTGGAAGAGCACGAGGCTGGCGATCCTCCGAGTAATTTAAGACAAAAACATTAACAAGACAATCCTCACCGACACCTCTAAATTGTGGATAACAGCATCTATCTAGTTTTTACATTTTAAAGTTCACATCAGTTTAGTACTTTTGCAGCATGACGTGCTTGTCAGAGTCAGTCAGTATTCAAGGTCCTTCCGTTTAGTCTCACACGTCACTGTTCTGTTTAACCGTGTGCACTTGAATTCTCTGCACATCTGTTCAATATGAGTAAAAGTCAGTTTATAATACTTGTAACATTTGTTTCCCACTCACGTTGATATGAAGTCCGCAGGGCCACGTCCACTCCACGGCATGGAAGTACTTACAGCTTTCTGGCGCTACGTCACACGGCCGAAGCGGAAGTGCCGATCGCTGTGCTGCGTTCTGATTGGTCAGCTGCGTCACCACAGTGTGGCGCCTGCCGTTAAGATTGATCCATGCTAACATATTCCCTTTGTTGTGATTAGCCGGTTAGCGGTTACTATTCTTCTTGAAATAACTCAAATTGGAAAAAAGTTTCTGTTTATATTGTTTGGAGGATGAGTGGCGGAGTGTATGGAGGCGGTAAGTGTGTTCATGTGTTTAATGGCAGAGAAAGAGTGGCGCACGATCTGTCGTTTTCTAGCTCGCCAGGCTTATGGTTAGCTCGCTATGTTAGCACTGCTAACTTTTCAACGAGTGCCAATTTTACACCTTCCGCTGGTATTTTTCTGATCACTGCTCGTTTGAGGGTGTACACGTGTATTAACTCGTCAGTGCGTCGTGTTGCGGCTTAAACTTAATTAAAGCCACACGCATGCAAAGCTAACCACGCATGCTCTACCTAGCAGGCTAGCGGGGAAATGAATGAAAGTGGGCTGAACACATCCCGGCTGTGTTTGAAATGAAGATAAAAGTCTCTCACAGTGCAAGCCGAGGGTATGAAAGGTTAAATATGATACTTTGTTGACTCTGTGGTTACAGTCTCTTAGACAGATCGTAGATGTGTCGCTGTAATGAAACATCAGGAGATCCTGCTTGCTCTGAAAATGCACAATTTATTATGTTACTGAATAAGCATCTTGTAGCTCAGATTTGCTGCCAGTTTTTTAGAGTTAAAGACAGACAAGGTCTTTTTCAAGTAAATTGATCTTAAAACATCCTTCCAATCTTGAATTTGTTGGATGGATCCAAATTGAAATGTGTGGTTGCCACTTGTTGACTCGGACATTCACGTCACACACTTTTCTTTTAGGGATTATAAACAACATGCATACAACAGGCATTCAACATGCATACAACATGCATACAACAGGCATACAACATGCATACAACAGGCATACAACATGCATACAACAGGCATACAGCAGGCATACAACAGGCATACAACAGGCATACAGCAGGCATACAACAGGCATACAGCAGGCATACAGCAGGCATACAACATGCATACAGCAGGCATACAACAGGCATACAACATGCATACAACAGGCATACAACATGCATACAACATGCATACAACAGGCATACAACATGCATACAACAGGCATACAACAGGCATACAGCAGGCATACAGCAGGCATACAACATGCATACAGCAGGCATACAGCAGGCATACAGCAGGCATACAACATGCATACAACAGGCATACAACAGGCATTCAACATGCATACAACAGGCATTCAACAGGCATACAGCAGGCATACAGCAGGCATACAGCAGGCATACAGCAGGCATACAACATGCATACAACAGGCATTCAACATGCATACAACAGGCATTCAACAGGCATACAACAGGCATACAACAGGCATTCAACATGCATACAACAGGCATACAACAGGCATTCAACATGCATACAACAGGCATACAACAGGCATACAACAGGCATACAACAGGCATACAACATGCATACAACAGGCATACAACATGCATACAACAGGCATTCAACATGCATACAACAGGCATACAACAGGCATACAACATGCATACAACAGGCATACAACATGCATACAACATGCATAAATGCAGAGTGAATAGAATATAGAATAGAATTACTTTATTGATCCCAAACTGGGAAATTGTGGCGTTACAGCAGCAGGTTATCCAACACACAATATTTTTAATTTATTTCAAGGATAGCCCCTTGAGATGCATCATCTCATTTTCAAGGGGGTCCTTACAAAACATAAATTAATCATCATAATACAAAATCAAAATCAAATAAATCCAAAACGTAATACCAAACATTTAAACACAGAGACACCCACACCACAAACACACTCACATTCACTCACACTTAATGCTCCCCCAAGCCTAGCCACCCACCAACCAGCCAGTATTACACAATCAGAAAAAATCTGAACAGAAAATATATATATATATAATAATAATAATAAAAAAAAGAAAGGAAACCTCTCCATATGAGTAAAAACACAATGTTAGCCAATCTAAACATAATATAATATTAAATACAAAGTAAATAAGTACTAAAAATATCAGAACTAAGAATGTGAATATATACAACCAGGATTTAACTGAGCATTACCAGTCTTAAATAGGAAGATTAAATATGAAAGATTGAATGTAAATGTGCAAGAACAGAGTCGTAAATGGACAGTATTGACATAAGTTAAAGTGCATGAGTGCAGACATATAATAAGCAGAAACTATTTAATATAACGGTGAGTAGATGGCCAAATGAAGTGAACATGAGTGCAGGGATAATTTGTAAATTTAACATGTGCAGAACAGATTACAGTATGGAGAGACAGATATTATCATGATGACAGTTCTCTGCTCGCATGAGGTGAGCTGTTGTACAGAGTTATGGCCTTTGGTAAGAAAGATTTCTTGTATCTGTCCTTGTGACCGCGGAGTTGCGGCTGCTTGATATTGTCAAAATGATGATCAACTTTGAGATCGAGATCACGATGAATTAACATGATGACTCATTCATTTAACATCTGGATCATATGCATTTATTGAACTTGATCACTTTTAACACATTGACATTCTGAACACTTCGAAAAAGAGGCAATACGTGAAAATAGATAAGTGAAAAATTGTACATATATAAAATAATAAAAACTATGTATTTAAGGTAGTCGTGACTTCCTTTTGGGGCCAAAATATAACATACAGTTTGAAACATCTATCACATATTGACAAAATTAGCGCAATATGGCAGGTGGCACAGTTTTATCTTGGTTGCCAATTGAAGCCGACTAATGGAAAAATGTCAGAGTGAGGGGGCTGACAGCAGTCTGAGCTATAGCTGACCCATTTGTTTAAGATATTAACATTTCACCTATTATTTATCTTTTCAAGGAAAAAATTATAAACTTACTTCTTACAAAAAATAAATTATTTATTTTGATTTTAAGAATGCTACCTCACAATCAATGCAAATACATAACAAAAAAATGCCTGATATGAATAGTTTGGTGATTTGTTTTTTATCATTATACCTTTTGCTGTCATGAATCAATCAAAATAAAAAGTAAAATTTACTAGGGATGTAAAGATTAATCGTAAAATCTTGATAAATTCAATTCAAATATGTCAAGATTCACATCGGTACTATGAAAAATAAATTGCAATTAAAATCGTGAGTGTCAGCAGATGTAGAGCAGAGGCGGTTGGCAGCTGCAGAGCAAGATTTTGAAATTGAGGCCGCACCACCGTCTTCAAGACAGAAAATGAAAGAGGTGAGAAGGTAACTCAGAACTCAAAGACCAAAAACTGTGTGCAAATATTGCAAGAATACAGTGAACTACACAAATAGCACAACCAACATGATGCAGCATTTAATGGACACCACAATGAGAAGCTCCAATCACGTCCCCTTGCGAGAGAAAAAAAACATTAAAAGGCCAAACCACACTGACAAGTTGGTTTGCAGCCCCTAAAGGAATCTTTGTCAGTCATCATTTGTCTACAGTCTTTGTAAAATAAATCTCGAGAGAATCGGCTCGTGAACCCAGTATCGTGAGTTGAGCGAGTCGTTTACATCCCTCAAATTTAGAGTTGAAATAAATAAACAACACTTTTCTCCCGTCTTCAGATGAGGTGGGAGCGTTGGTGTTTGACATTGGCTCATACTCTGTAAGAGCCGGCTACGCAGGAGAAGACTGTCCCAAGGTAAGTGGATCACTCAAATGACCTGATTAGCTATGTGTTTTTTCTTCCTCTGTGCATCTTCATCTTTCCTCTGTAGGTCCCTCATGGCAAGAAATGAGGGCTGTCACCCTGGAGACAGACAGCATGAATAGAGATCAGATCATTCTAGAGTTCTTTCTCCGATTTGATCTATCTTTGCTTGATGTAGAGATTTTTTATGTATGAATATCAGTTTGATAAGAGAGATGCCAAAAGGTGGATATTGATTGGCCATACCGTCATCAATCAGCGTAGTGATCATCCCATACTTCACTTTAATTTGCATCAGTCGTCTTTTGTTGCCTGTAGAGTCAGTTATCTGAACCATATAAGCCCCCATTATTCCTCTTTCCTGTTTGTGTGTAATGACAGTACATGCTTTTATATAACAGTGACCATGAAAGCGTACTATAGATGAAGGTTGATTTGAATGAGGAATGCACCTAATGATTATTTCCTTGAGTTGGGGCTGGGCAGTATATCTAGTTTTTAAGATATACAGATATGTTTCTTACAAGATATAGGGTAAGACAATATTGTATACATCCTTGTAATTTTTTGTTGCATTAAAAAAACATGATACTTTTCTTCTGAAGAGCCACCAGTTTGCCTATTCCCCCTCTCACTGTCTGTCTCTCTCCACCTTGCTTGTTCAACATCAGTCAAAACCTGACAGACATTGGATTTAATTTAATTGAAAATGATAAAAGTTACAAACTTCGAAATTTGAGCATTCAGGAGCAGATTGTTTTTTGTTAGTTCTGGCTAAATAACAACTTTTATGATTAATTGATTCCGAAAACAGTTGCAAGTTTATTTTCTGTTTTAAGACTATAAAGATTTTTAATTGTAGCTCTATAGTTGTAATGTTTATGTTTATTTCTGATTTGACCAAGTTACTACAATATGTGCAAATAACATGGTTTGTGAAGGCTGAGTTCCATTTATCTGATTCAGTCCTTTTGTACTCTGCATGTTGGCTAATTGTCAAATGTGTCTTGTCTTACTAGAGCACTTGCATAAAAGAGAGCTGTTGATGTAAGAACTATGCTTTTCCTACTTTCATGTAAATAAAGCCTATTTGTCAATCCTGGTCTTCCCGGCATTCAGTTTCAATGTGCAGACATTTTTTATGCAAGATGAACCAGTCCGTACATGCCAAACCAGTACTGCATGAAAACATTTTTGAACTTTTGAACATTTCAAAAGAGCTGTATTCATTTTTCCTTGGAAGTTAGTAAAGCATTACACCAACTGCATTGTTTCTCCTCTGTTTTTATTGGCTCGGCTCAGGCGGACTTCCCCACAGTGATCGGTGTGACCCTTGACCGAGAAGATGGCAGCACACCAATGGAGACTGATGCTGATAATAAGACAAGCAGAGTGGGACCACCTACTACATTGATACCAACCAGCTGAGGGTACCAAGGGAGAACATGGAGGTCATGTCTCCACTGAAGAACGGCATGAGTGAGTGTTGACTCAACATGAAGGATTTTTTTTTTTTCTTTTTTGGCTTCCATCTCAAGTATCTTTCTCACATTTCATCTATTGCTCTCCCTTTGTGGTGTTTTTATTGTATATGTCCAGTGGTATTTAGCTTATATTTCATTTTGAATTGAGTTTGACAACTGAGGGTTCATTTCTTTTAATGATCATTCCAATAATCATTTAGTCCATGAAGTGTTGTTTTTTTAAAACAGATTCAAATGACTTAAATTTACAACTTATCAAGAGCTGGTCCAGTGGATTTAAGTTTGAAGTCTATTTGGAGACAAGTGTGACACTAATCGTAATTGCAGCAGAACCGCGTTGTGGGACCACTGGCTCCCTCAGAGGGCTGACCTGAAACATTGGTGCCGGCTGCTCAAATTATTATCTAAAAAAGTGCATCATTGCTCTATTTTATCCACCATCTAACCGAGCATTCAGGATGAAGAAAGATACACATTTTGTGTGACATTGATTTATTTTCAACAAGCCTAGTCTCCATTAAAGTACAGACACGAGCACACTAGTTCCCACGTCTATCTCGGGCTGAGAGCAGACACATCTCAGTCCTTTGTTCTCATCTGTGCATTATTTAAACACTGTGAGTCAGAGACTTGACCTTTAAATAAGTCGTGCCCTTCTTCTCTTCTTTAACAGTTGAGGACTGGGACAGTTTCCAGGCCATATTGGATCACACCTACAAGATATCCACCATCTAACCGAGCATTCAGGATGAAGAAAGATACACATTTTGTGTGACATTGATTTATTTTCAACAAGCCTAGTCTCCATTAAAGTACAGACACGAGCACACTAGTTCCCACGTCTATCTCGGGCTGAGAGCAGACACATCTCAGTCCTTTGTTCTCATCTGTGCATTATTTAAACACTGTGAGTCAGAGACTTGACCTTTAAATAAGTCGTGCCCTTCTTCTCTTCTTTAACAGTTGAGGACTGGGACAGTTTCCAGGCCATATTGGATCACACCTACAAGATGCACTTCAAGTCTGAACCCAGCCTGCATCCAGTACTCATGTCAGAAGCATCGGTGAGTTAGCATTGGTTTGAAGTGGAGTCTAAACAACAACAGCAACACATTCTCCTAATCTATCCAGGCTAAATGGTTTAAAGTTGTGATATTCCATACAAACAGCTAAATGATGGTTGATTTGGGTCCTCTTAAAGTGAAAAAAAAAAAAAAATGTAATTCCTGCTTTGTCTTAAGATGTGAATTTGTTTTTAAGACCTTTTTGATGTGATGTTTGCTTCAGCTGTAATTAAATGATGGTGATGAGTTAGCCCCCTGTGCTTGTTTTCTCCGTCACTTGATGAAAATGTTGCGCTGACTAATCTTCTGTTTTGTGTCTGCAGTGGAACACACGAGCAAAACGAGAGAAACTCACAGAGCTGATGTTTGAACATTACAACATTCCTGCCTTTTTCCTCTGCAAATCTGCCGTGCTATCTGCGTATCCTTTACTATTTCACTTCTTCAAAAAAAAGACTAGATGAGGCTAAACCATTTGATTTAATTGTCCCCTCACTGGCTGATAATGGCCATAGAGTACAGTTTCTCTAACACATTTCTAGTTCTAAGTTTCTATAAGTTATATGTAATTCATTTCCTTAACTCTGAGTATTTAAGCTTTGCCAATGGGCGGTCAACGGGTTTGGTCCTGGACAGTGGAGCCACACACACCACAGCAATTCCAGTGCACGATGGCTACGTCCTGCAGCAAGGTGAGCAAATATCTAAATATTACATTTATGATCTCTCTGCAGAGTTTCAGTTGCATATATATAATTTTTATTGAAAAGTCTTTAAATCCTTTATTGGTTCAAGTGTCTGATTGTCTTTGATTTATGTTGCCACCTGCTGGTTGGAGGTTGCGTCTCAGCACTGTCCATAGAGCCAGCCGTTCCTGCAAATGCTCAGTTATTCTAGCCATCTGTTACCATTATGATCTATTGTTGTGATTGATAGTGAGCCATCAAGTTTGTTCGTTTCCTTCCCAGTGGATTATTTTAAATCCCCCCTGGGATTGTCAAATCCCCCCTGGCTGGAGACTTCATGAGCATGCAGTGCAGGGAGCTTTTTCAAGAATTAAGTGTTGAAATCATCCCGCCTTACATGATTGCTTCGAAGGTAAGCTCTTTGTATTTCACAGAGAGATATGTTATATTTCTGATAATCCAGTGTATGTATTTGGCAGATATTGCAGCAGTTAAAATCCAAAACTGTTTTGGCAAGTTATTTCCATGCATTGCACAAGTGGTATTCAAGGCAGCTATTTGCAGGCTTGGATCAAGCAGTGGTTGGTATTTGTAATCATTAATACAAAGTCACATCACAGGATGGAGTGCGGGAGGGATCCCCAGCTAGCTGGAAGAAGAAGGAGAAGCTGCCTCAAGTAACCCGCTCGTGGCACAACTACATGTGTAATGTAAGCATCCTTCTGTCAGACACCTGGTATGATTTTTTTTTTTGCACTATCATGTGTTTTTTTTTTTTGTGTGTGCAAACTTGTCTTCCCTTGATGTTTACAGTGTGTGATCCAGGACTTCCAGGCGTCTGTGCTGCAGGTGTCTGACTCCCCTTATGACGAACAGTAAGAGCATTGTTTACAATTTAATATCACATAACATACAGTGATTTAACAGCAAAGTGATTTTTTTAAATTAACATTTATGTTTCACTTTTACCCTCAGCTTCAATGAAGGATTTAGTTACTAAAAGTACACACCACCTGAGTGGTTTAAATGCAGGTTTAACACCCCCCACTCTCTCCCCCCCCTCTTTTATTAGGGTTGCTGCCCAGATGCCCACGGTACACTATGAGCTGCCAAACGGATACAACTGTGACTTTGGGGCTGAGAGGCTGAAGATCCCTGAGGGGCTGTTTGACCCCTCTAATGCCAAGGTATGGGCTTTAATATCAAGACGTTTTAGGCCAATAAAGCCAAACATGATTAATACTGATCTCAGTAACTAGAGTTGCATTTTGAAAATATGTCAGTTTGAATGTTTTTTTGAATGTATTTTTGTTCATTGGTTAAATATATATCTGATCACTTCAGGGCTTGTCTGGAAACACCATGTTGGGAGTTGGTCATGTGGTGACAACCAGCGTGGGAATGTGTGACATCGACATCCGGCCGGTGATTATCAAGATGTTTGAATATGGGATGATTTCTCTTTTCGTTTTATTTTTCGGTGGTAGAAATTATGTCATTTGAGACAATTGATTTGAACTTTATCAATGAAAATGAAAAATTGATGACTTGGTTTATTACCAAAGAGAGTGATGATAAGAGTGGCTTGCACTAATAATGTTGAATTGAGAGTTTTACCCAGCCGGAAATATGTTTGAATTAATTAAAGGGGAATGTATAGCGAATATCCAGCTTCAATCATAATGCATAGGGTACTCTTGAGGATGTGTTGCCAGAACACATACTTGACCATTTTTGTCCTGTTGTCTCAGGGTCTCTATGGCAGTGTGGTGGTGACGGGAGGAAACACGCTCATTCAGGGCTTTACAGACCGACTCAACAGAGAACTCTCCCAGAAAACTCCTCCTGTGAGTTAACAACAATACCTCCTCACATAGTCCAAATCACATTATCATGTAAGGCTGACGTTGACAAATGACTCATTCAAATACCAATTGTCTGTGACGTGCAGAGTATGAGGCTGAAGTTGATAGCCAACAACACAACAGTGGAGCGTCGGTTCAGCGCCTGGATTGGAGGCTCCATCTTGGCATCACTCGTAAGGACAAACAACAGTTCAATTCTGCTATAAGAATAACAAATAACATTGAAATAAAGGTTTTATTTTCAATCTGTATGATACAAATGTTTCTCAAACGCTGATGGCTGGTTACTTAGCTCTGTGAATATTAGATTACCATGTGACCTTGCACTGTGGCTTTTATACCCTGTGATGTATCACAAAGATATTTCAGTAAAGAACGAGTACTCTTTTGCTGTTCAATTAATTGACTTTTAACCCCTGTAATTTATTGAAAATGATAACGTAATGTGCTTAAAAGTAGTTAAATTAACATCCACTTTCTATGTTTTGATCCTAATTTAATTAAACTGACACGTTTTATTGTCTTTGTCAGGGAACCTTCCAGCAGATGTGGATCTCCAAACAGGAGTACGAAGAAGGAGGAAAGCAGTGTGTGGACAGGAAGTGTCCTTGAGTTTGTCCCCTATCCCTTCCCATCACGGTCTTTGCCAATATATTATCACAAGTCGTTCAACTCTGACCCTGAACTCAGGAACGCCTACTGATGATCACCCTTGTTTTGTACGATTCGTTTTTTTAAAAAGTATGTCCAAATGTCTGTCTAGGATTTCTTGTGAAAACAGACATGCACATTAAGTAAAAACTGTCACTATGATGAAACTTGGTTTTAGTTCATTTCAGTCTGTTGCCTTATTTTTTAAGATTGTTTGTCTTTTTTTAATCCTTACATCTTAAAATATTAGGTTTTTTCTGGACCTGACAGAGGTTTGATCATGCTACCTACGCTCCATGCATTTTCTTTTCAAACTGAGACATACTCTCACATGCTCTACAGGCTGTAAAATATCAGTGTGCAGATCCTAAATTCAGTTTTTTGGGTCCAATGGGAAATACGTCAGAAACACAAAACTTTATCAATGTAAGATCTCTGCAGAATAGTGACAAGGTTAGTTTGGGTGATGTGAAGAATAACCTAACAGTTGGAGGGGAATGTCTTCTGTCCATTAAGCCTCTTTTTTTTTTTAAGTAGTAAGCTCAATTGTAAAGTTAAGTCAGTTGTTGCATGTGCTAATAGGTCTGTATTTAATTTTCACTTTTGCTTGTTATTGGCTACATGTGGTCTTTCAAAAGAAAATAAAGTGATTTTTGTTAAATGATGACATTTGAGTTTGCGATAAACGCTGAATAGCTGTTTTTAAATATGTGTATGGTTGTTTCACTTTTTTTAACAGGTCCATGTAAACAGAAAAATCGAACAAGTTGTTCAATATGAAATATAGAAGGTTTACACAAGATTATGGAATAAACATAGATGACATATTCCTGTGACACTATTCAGACTTAAAGATTCTTACACAGGAAGAAAATTCGATATGAGGTGTGTTTTAATACGGAGTATGAAAAAAGTGACAACATGTTCCAAGGTAATGAAGTATAATTTATCTTACAGGATCAAATAACAGCTGCACAGACTCCACATCAAAATCTACACAGGACAACAGTTTCAGACCCTCACTAACATTATCTGCTGATAACATGTGGAGAAGGCCTTTTGTCCAGATGTCAGGCTCCAAGTTGTTAAAAACGGCACATGCGAACTGCACTTCAATTTTCACGACTTAAGAGCTTTCATGTGAGGAAACCTCTCCTCCAGTCTGGCCTGAGTTTGCTTATTTAAATTGACTTTCCGGACCTTCTCTCGAAGATGCCTCTCAATGCGCAGCCTGCAAGACAGACGAGTAAGGAAAAAGGTTCAATCAAATTCAAGAGGAACTTCTTCACTATAACTTGTACCAAATGATATTCATTCTATAAAAAGGTGCTGAAATACTGTTCCAGCCATATCTTACCTGATGTGTGGTTGGACAAACTTGGGGGTGAAGAACCTCTTTTGCTTGTACCTTTTATTCATATACCAAGGAATAGCATACTCCTTGAATCGATACCTGAGGGAAGAAAAAACAGTGTTTAAGATTGATGATTGACATGTATAACGATGTATTAAACAAAGTATTAGCTACTTTAAGTGGAGTTAAAATGAAAGCTATCGGTTTCATGAGGTACTGGTATCTCCTTAGTTCAGAAAAAACAACAGATTTTTAATTTCTTGTGAATGCAATACATTTCTGTTTTTTTTCTCTATTAATATAAATCAAACTTTAAGTGTTTGTGGTTATCATACGACAAATTCACGAGCGGTATCTATCTGGTTATCCGATTCTTAAAGGTAATGGTTAAGTTAAAGGGTCCCCCTTGTGAAGGTATCATGTATACAAAAAGTTTTTGGTGACACTCATTTCCCTTATAACCTAAATTATTTTAAATGAATCATTAAATGTATGTTTACTAGATGCAGTTCATCCTTACAGTACTTGGTGCACTTCAGCTTAAGTTATGTGCAAGAATGTGTATAACATCACCTGCGATATTGAGAACATGCATGTGTGTCCTACAAGTGCAAATGATAAACAAACCTACTACTAGATATAAAATATGAGATTGCTGCATTTCTCCATGGGTAACTGTAACACACTGTTTATGGAAACTCTGCTCTCACCAGTAGGCGTGTCCAAATATGTTCCTCCTCCAGGCTCCAGGTCTGCCTTTCTCCTGTCCTGTCTGCAGCAGACGCAGTGCGGTCTCTCTCTCGTTCACCACCGACTCCAGTCGGATCATTGACCTCTCAACCTGGGAGCAGACAAGATAAAAAGATTTACCGACATCATCAATACTCAATTGAAACCCTGCATCCCACCTAGTTTTGTCAAACCATAGGCCAACCATTTCTTTCTTCTGTACTGATGGATATGACACTTGAGTGTTATACCAACCTTCCTTATTCTTTCTGGACTTGGCATCTGAACCCTTTGCCTTCTTGCTTCCTGCTCAAGTGTGAGCAACATGTTCTTTTCTTTCAACAGCACATACCTGGGAAACATGAGCATGTTACACACATCCTATAAATGGTAATATACAGTAGAGCAAACGCACGGACGGAGACAAAACGAAATTTCGATTCCACTGTATGTCTGGCATATTTGGAAATTGACAATAAAGTCGACTTTGACTTGATCAACTGGACATTGCCTACCAAAGTGAGTGTAGATCTTCATTGCTCTTTGTTCTCAGTTGTTTGGCGGTCCATGGGGCACCTACGGAATTATGACAAGCCAGAAAAGTGTAAAACGTTGCCTTCATACATGGTCCAATTTTTTTATGAAAGGTGCTGCAATAACATACAGAGAATATGTCAGTGTATTACCTGACTTCACCGTTTCCTCTCCCCAGTTCTCAGGAAGGTCAAAGAACTCTTCAAGTCCCCTCCTGCTGATGGTGGTGTGCAGCGCTCGACACAGAACCACAGAGCTGGAGGGACTGAATTGAGACAGGGCGACGAGTGGAGACTGTTTCCTGGAGAGTGCACAAATATATTTCTGTAAAAGGCTTAAAGTGATAACCTGGATAGGACTCTTCAGTTGACATCTTTTGTTTACATTCAAGCACAGACCAAGAAGCCTTTGAGAACTCCCTCATTACTTCAATGGCTACAAAAAATTAGTTTTAAAATAAAAAAAATAAAGTGGTTTCATTCGCCAGCTAAGTTATGATTTTTTTTTTTTTTTTTTTACTAAGACAAATATTTACTAAATGCCACCAGACAAATTAAATATAGAGGATGTACCACTACCACCCAATAATTTAATTTTACCCAATAGACTTTTTCTTTTTTTTTTAACTTTAGAGAAATATTCACTGAAGCCAAACTTATATGCAGATTATATAAATGATGCTACACTGAATTAAAGGCCTTGTATAAGTAAACAATAAGATAAAGCCATTATCAATAACAATTTCTGATTAATCTAAAATGTCCATAACTAGACTAATATCATTGGTTGTATCATTGATCTGTCAGTTCAGTATGGGAACCTCCTATCTAAGAAAAAACATCTACCATAACAATAACCGGCAGCACAATGAAGACTTTACTACGACAGAAAACATTATTTAATAAAAAACCTAAGCTGAGCTCGATGAGTGTATTAGCTACGAACACGTGTTTTAATTATTATTACGTTCTAAGAACTACAGCAGCTTCTTACCTGTAAAGAGTGGCCTGGTATTTGCTGAAAGCAGCAGTACATTGCTTTGCATTTGTCGCAGAAGATATCCTACAGACATTTTGAAACTGCTTGCAAAGAGTCAAAAGGCGTCCTGCCGAAGAGGACGCCGCCATCTTTTCAGAAGTCCTTCCCACATTACCCGTCATGCACTTTTCTGTCCCAATAATCATTATTTTTATTATGATTTTTATTTTTATTGGAATAGTTTCCATTTAAATTATATGTCTCGCTAAAAGCATAATGTCATTTGAATTTAAAAACAAACAAACAAAACAAAAATACATTCATGCCCTTATCAAATATGGCCATTTCCGCTTCACTCTTTCATGAGCCAATCAGAGATCGTGTTGTTGAATCGTCTTCCCTCAGTAGCGATGGTGGGGATGAGCGTTCTCAGGTCTGCTGCTGCATTTGCGGCCAGGCTGAGTCCTCTGAAATCTGGAAATAATGCGGCAAACTTACTCAGCCGAACGGTCACACGAACAGATACAGGTAAGGGACGACCCGGCCGGTGCGAGGTTGAAATGATTTGACGCCTAAGCTGCCCTCTCTCTGTTATGACCTTGCGCCGGACTTGTTAGCTAGCTAACTGGTAGCGTCTGTTCTGCTGTCAACAAAAGTACCAAAAGTAGGTTTGTTATTAAACTATTACAATTAGTTGGTCATTCAGCTATAATTTACCTTTTTAAGCTGCCTTTATGTCATTACTAATTAGTATACGAATCAATTGATGATGATACGGCTTCAAATTATTTTAATAGAATTGAATTACACTATAAACGATATATTATTATTATTATTATTATTATTATTAATATATATGTGAAATAAAATTAAAATCTGTTAAATGTTTTATTCGTGTGATTTAAGTAGCTCAAATTCTTGGGAAATATTAAATGCAAATATAATAATAATAATAATAATAATAATAATAATAATAATAATAATAATACATTGATGTCGATAACGAGGAGATTAGTTTTCCTTCCCATATCTGTGTAAGTAACAGGAAAAACATTGGTGGTTCAATTATAAGTAATGTAGTTGCTGTAGTTTTTCTTTAAAAACAGTGAAACTCTAAAGCTTTTAACAATGACCTCTGACTGTGTGGAAATCAGTTGTTTGTTTTGCAACACAAATGATGAATGAAGCCATTTCAAAATGAGCCAAAGGTAAAACACAAAACTCCTGTGGCGATTAAAACACAATGTTAATATGACATTGTCAATCAGCCAAAACACACTAAATGCCATTATCCCATGGATTTGGCCCCAGTTTGCTCAGTCTTAAATCATATTCTAAATAATATGACAACTGTGCCTTATTTTTCAGTGGCTGTTCGCTGGGGTCATGGGAAGAAAATGTTTGTCATCAAACCCTCTAGCTACTATGACAGTAGATTTCTGCGCTTATTGGTAAGTACTATTAGCACTATTTTCTTCATTGCCTGTAAACATGAAAAATCAAGCAGTTGTTCAAGTTGAAGAAGAATATATAAAAACTAATTTTAAAGTGGCAACTACTTTTGCATAAAAGAAGAGCTAATTCTGACCTGCTGTAACCTCCAGCATTAATACCCTCACACGCAGAAAATCCCCTCGGAACTTTCCATCATCTTCATTTTCTGTTGTCTCATTTTTTCAGACCTTTTATACCCTGCTGACCGGCATTCCAATGGCTGTCATTATCACAAGTGTTAATGTCTTCATTGGTAAGTGAGATCCAAGTTTTGGTGATTTAGAGCTTCATTTGTTTTGTTAAGTAATGTTTGGTCATTTGACTGTTTTCACAAGTGAATCAACAAAAGTTACTTTGAGTCTAATTTGTGATGTGTCGTAAAGGTGAGGCACAGCTGGTTGAAACTCCAGAGGACTATGAACCTGAGCACTGGGAGTACTACAAGGTATATTGTTTTCATGTGACACTAATGTGTGATACAAAAACTCTTACAGCAAATGTGTATCTAATTGATTACTTGGTTCTTGTGTAAACACAGTGGTTGTTTATTTGGATTATATACAACCACTCATTAAAAAAAATGAACTCTTATATGTATTTTTCTTTTTTATTGCAGCATCCCATCACCAGGTGGATTGCACAGACTTTTTATGATTCCCCAGTGAAGGATTATGAAAAGATGCTTGCTGCAATCCAAATAGAGAAAGAAAAGGCAGACATGAGGTGAGTAATTCTGTGATATGGTGTAGCTCTTGTCATCCAATTCTGATGAGTTAAGATCAGAAAGCAGTTGTGATACGGGGGCACAAGGGCAATTCAAATTATTCTATACTATTGCAATATAGCTAGTAGGTTAATATGTCTGTGTGCTATCATTTCTTAAAGGCTTTATATGCGATTTTTCACACTTAAATGTAATAGAAATCAAGTATATCCTCTGAAAATAACTCTGAGTCATGACTGTCTACAATGGGTGTAACACCCGAGTCCCACTGTCTGTGATGCTTTCCGAGTTTTGCGAGTCCTATCTTCAGTTTGTTTACATCGCCAGGACGGCCGGCTGACTCCTCCCCTCACGTATAAAAGTTGTTTAATCGAGGGACTAGAGAAAAGAAGAATAACATACTGTACTCACTTTTTAACTGTGTTTCTAGACCACGGTCATTTCGCTAGCATTAGCATGCTAACACAACAATGCACCGCAAGTTGTTTTGGTTTCATGCTGGTGCTCAAGGGCGACATCTGCTGGATCAAAAAAATCGCATATAAAGCCTTTAAAGCCTGAATACATTGTGCCAAATGCCAGTTGGTTAATTTGAAGGTTTGAGTTATTTGAACAGACACATACTTATGATAGGTAATGAGTCAGATTGCGTTGCCATCAAAAGATTTTATTGAATTGACTTATATCTGTGCTGTTATTCTCTAAGTGAATATCTGAACTACCTGAAGCATTCATGCAGCAGTGTGACATTTCTTTGTCAATACAACAGAGTTTGTTGTTTAAACTAGGGTTGTTGTTGGCATCCAATCTTTCACAAATCTAATCTTTTCTGATGGTCTTTAGTAGAAAATCTTGTCTACTAGATGGGCTGCCTGAGCCATTTTAGTCAGTCAGAATTACAGTTTGTATTGTACCTTCACTAAATTTGATTGAAAACTGAATGTCTTTAACCCTGGCCAGCTGAACAAAAAGCAGGATTGGCAAAGCTGTGTCATCGGTGGCACCCACCACACCAGTGACATACACAGCACAGTTGCACTCCAAGATCTCAGACAGTAAAAATTATTATACAAGCAAAAATGAGTTTGTTTACTCCAAAGAAAGAAAAGCCTTAATATTTCACTTATCCTGGTCACGTTAGAAGAAAATAAAGGGTATTGTTCCACACTCTGTTGGGATTGCTCTTGTTTTCTATTTCTAAAGAAATATTTTTTCTGACTTTTGGTCAACAGACTGAGTCAGCTGGAGGTGCGTCGACAGATGAGGCAGAAGGGAGATGGACCATGGTTCCAGACTGACACCCTCGACAAGGATTTAATTGACCACAGTCCCAAGTCCACTCCTGACAATTAAATTGGACGTGTCTGCCATCAGTACATCATGCTGATCAATCTAACTGTTTGTACATTTCCCCCCTTATTGCGTAAATAAAGTATATGTATATATACTGTCATACTTTGTCCTCCAGTGCCTTTTGTACCTCTTTCGCAGATTTAGGTCTCTGCTGTTTATGCAACATTGCTGGGCAGCCCGTGGGCTCAGTATGCAGCATGCTGCCTTACGAGATATTTCTGTGTAGCTATTTTATTTCTCTGGTGCTCCAGCCTCCTCTCATAGTTCATTGTTAAACAGAATGCCTATCTGATAATTTACATGTGTGAGCCCTGTGCTGTCAACGTCAAAGTCAAAGTCAACTTTATTGTCAATTTCAAAATATGCCAGACACACAGTGGAATCGATATTTTGTTTGTCTCCGTCCCGCGGTGCAATACAACCAAAAATAAGGTAAAATAAGATAAGGTAAAATAGATAAATAAAATGAGATAAATAATATTTACAGTAATAAATTCTATGGCATTCTTGGCTGGCATTTGGAAGGATAGTCTTGATATCTTAAATAGGTGGCAATTCAATTGCCCGACTTGTACTGAATTACATTTAACTTAAAAAAAACAAACATATCTGATATATTCATTTGTTTGTTTTGCCATGTATTTCAGAGCCTTCAGAGAAAGTGGCTGCTTTTTAATGAACTGCATTCATATAATGCTTATTCCCATCCCTTTTGCAAATTCAGTTTGGGGATGCTTCTACAATTCTATAGAATAGATACTTGTTACCTAAAGTCCTATATCTTCTGCATTCCTTACCCGATAATCAGATCACACTTTTTTTCATCTCTCCTTCTGAAACATAATATGTATAAGATATCTCTAACAACAGGACACACTGACGGGAGAAGTTTTTATGTGGATACTATTTTGCCAAGTCACATTTGTCGTTTTTGCAATTAAAGTGAGTGTCCAACAGGTGGCAGCACTGTGCAGACAATGATTGGTAAACAAAACAAAAGGGCGAGATGGTTGAGGAAATCACGTTTATATCTTTTTTTTTTCCTCCCTAAAATGCTCGAAATTAGCCCTTTGCTTTCTCGTTTTGTTACGCATGACCGTCATTACTCATTATTTTAATGCTACAGACAAATAATAAATGTACAACAACCTATATTTTAATCGACAAAGGCGACAGCAGATAACTATAGAGGAATGGCTTATATCGACGAAACAAAATACAAAATACTGATTTACAATTACGACTTTCCTAATCCTGGAGGGAAATATGATGTAAGTGTGGGTGGCTTTATGAATAATCCTCAGAGTTGGGAGGGGCACTTCTGGTAAATCATCCCTGTGTGTACAGAGAGCCTCAACAGCACAGTCAATAGTTAGCGCCATTTGTGCTTTTTTTTTTAAATCCTGGGAATAAATTAAAAAGATAACAGAACAAGAGCAGCATCCATGCATCGCAGCCAGCCCGCCTCCACCCCTCTGTCATTTTATTTTTATGTTTTTTTAGCGTCACATCCCCCTGGTCGGAGGAATGTAGACGGAGAGCTTTAAAAATAGCATCCTCTCCTCTGACAGCGCTGCTCCGGAGGCTCCGCAGCACTGTGGTGCGAGAAGCAGGAATGCGAAGATGGCTACAGACCTAGGAGAGCTGCTGGTCCCGTACATGCCCACCATTAGAGTGCCCAGGACAGGAGACAGGGTTTTCAAGAGCGAGTGCGCCTTTTCCTTCGACTCACCTGTAAGTGCCCGTCTGTCTCATACACTAGTCATTGTTTGCTGGGTGAATGTTGCGTGGCAGGCGGGCTGACAGTCTGACATGTCGTGGCTGAACCACACACGTGAACCAGCTCGACTATGTGTGTGTGTGTTTCTGTGTCTCCATGGCCGGCCTACCCTGTGAACTTGAATGCCAATTAAATAATTAAATGTTGTTTACTTCCCCACGAGAGAGTCACGGAAAAGGGGGTTTCCCTTTGTGCAGGGAAAGGGGATAGTCCGTCCAGTTCAGGCCAAAACTCATATTAAACCTGCAAATACGCATCCGAGCACACCTGTTTTTTTTTTTTAGCTGTTAAATTGTTTCAAACGCTTTGGCAGCCTTGTCAGGTTAGCTGCAGCTGTTGTGTGTAGCTAAATAGTGAGTGTACCGCCACCATATGGTATTTATTTCATTTTTAATGAATATATGGACTTCATTTAACAGCAAAAAAAAAAAAAAAATGTCAACATGTTATAACAATAATAGTCAAAGTCATATAGGCTAGTCTGTTATTGTTGTAGTCTGTCAGTTTCTGGATTGGAGTAGCCTAGTTAAAGTCACTGCCGTTTTCTTAACGAGTGGACAATGACAAGGCAAAGATTCAAGCTATCATTATAATACTCTTAACACTCAAAGAAAGTTTTTAGTCTTGAAAGCTCGTCCAAGGGCAATTCCCAGTTTCTCGAGTGTGTTTCTCGAAAGTGTGTTCATAGAAATTCTCATGACCTATATTTTGAAGCACGTTTTCATATAGCCTACTGTATTTTCTTTTTTTTTTTTAGATTGATTGATTTTTCTTTTGTGTTAAAGGCTCTATAGGATGGTTTAAAAACATTATTTTTTTATTTTTTATTTAGGTCTATTTAGTGATTTGTAGTCATTAAAAATATGGAATTGTCTGAATCTTCAATTCACTCTGTATTGTTCTTTAAAAATAAACTTATGATGGTCTGGATTGAAATTCTGAATTTTGGACTCCTTACACATTACTCATACAACAAGAAAAATCTACTTTCTCAACTGAAACCGTTTTTAAAGGTGACTCAGCTGTCTGGAGTTCATCACGTTGGCCCGAGCACTGGTTTATTTTTATCCTTCTACTGTTGAAGCTCGTATGTCACTCTGGGCCACTTAAAGGTTTATCACAGGGTTTCATGGCGGCTGCACTGATTGCAGATATAGGTTAGTTTTGTAGGGTTACACTTGATGTATTTTGTCTCTGGCAGTCTGAAAATGAAACTGCAGAAGCTTTTTTTTTTTCCTGTCATATAAATTATACCCCTTAAATTAGTACTGCTGGGTCTATCTTTTGCATTTTACAACTCCTTACATATGCTGCAGTGGTCTAATGCAGAGATTTGAATGTAACAAAATCATTGAAATGTAGTTTTCTATTATTACAGCCAGTAAACTTGAGATGAGACATAGATTGATGTAGTCCACTAGCACTCACCAGCACATTAAAGAGGACTGAGTTGACTGTTTTTAAACAGGGACACCTTCATATTGCTAGTGCCACTAAATAAAAGATGTATTTTGTCAATGTAATTGTTATCTTTGTAACAGGATGCACATATTGTTCTGTTAAACAAGAGCAGCAGTGACCTGATCCATCAAATGGCTTGTTTAGAATACAATAGAAGAGATGCATCCCATCTTTGAGACAACTGGCTAAGAAACATGGAAAATGACTGTTGATTATCAGTATCAGGCATTTCATCAGCGGGCTTTTTCTCCATAAAAGTGTTGGCTTTTTTTCTGTGCAAGAGTGCTGGAACAGATTGCTGGCTGTTTGACAAGAGGCAAGAAAGAAACAGGAACAAGAAAGCCTTGAAAATGTGCTTGGTACTTTCTTATATTTCCACTGTGCCCATTGTGTTAAATGAAAACCGTAGCTGTCAACCTTCAACAAATTATAAAAGTCTCAATACTTATTTCTCCTCTAAACCTTGAGGCTATACGTGACCTGACAAGTTTTTGCTTTTACTAAAATTGTCATTTACATACATGCTATTTTTGCAGTGAAGTACTTATAAAGCTAGACTCTTTGTTGTTTTGTATGTCATAATAGAAAAGGATTGTAAGGAGGTTACACTGTAACTTGTTGAACACTGTTTGCTTCGGTCAAATTAGGCAAAATCAACATTGAGAATAGCTATAGTCTAAGACACAGTGGAGTCAATTTTCTGTCATAATGATGCTCTTTTCAAGGCTGTTGTGTTGATGGTTATTGACTTGGTGCTGCTGTTCATTGTTCCTGTTTGTTTTGGTCTGCAGGAGTCAGAGGGGGGCCTGTATGTGTGTATGAACACATTCCTGGGCTTTGGACGAGAACACGTGGAGAGGCATTATCGCAAAACAGGACAGAGTGTTTACATGCACCTCAAGCGACATGTCAAAGAGGTAAGTTTAAACCTGATCTGTGTTTTCAAAGGATCCAAAGTTTGCATAGTGCCTTTGTAAAATGCACATATGAAGAGCTTGGCTTTAAAAAAAAAGAGCCAAAGACAGAGGCATGGCTATATTATTAAATGTGAAGTAAGATGGGACAGGTCAAATATAACCATGATAAAGTAGTTACATCCACTGATGTAGAAACTTATTGTACAAACTGAAGTTACCAGATTTGAACAGCGTCAGGCAGGTCTCATTTGCACAACTGAAATTAAAACATTGAAACTTTCATTCTTGACAAACCGGTAATTACACGTAAAAAAATACGGATTCTCTTTGAGGACCTCACAGCATTTAATACAAGTAGTTATTTGGAATTAAAAATGTTCAATGTAACTAAACATAACATAAACATCTGATCAATGGTTTTAATAAAGATGTTAGCGGGTTCTGTCATGATTAAACACTAAATGCTGTAAAAGTATTGTGTCCACATCTGTGAGGTGCATTATAAGATTAGATTAACTTTATTGTCCCAGTGGGAAATTTGCCTTGGACTTCACATTGCTCTGATGCAGTAACAAATGCTGTGATTGTGTTTATAAGTGATTCTTGTATGGCCTGCTTATACCTGGGGCTGGCATGCATAATCATTGACGTTTCATTAGAAAAAGATGTAAAGTTTCTCTTAACGCTTCATTGGTCTCACTGCTGTAACCTTCAGACTGAGTCCCCTCTGAGTGTTTGTGGGAAACACCTGATATGTTTTCAGCTCTGCATCTATCTGAACTCCTCATGTGACAGTTTCCAATCAAGAGTCTGCTAATTTGGTGCTAATTGTGTTAAATGAGATGAAGTCTTCACAAATCTTATTAATTCAAACTAATTGAAAAACATGAATGTCCAGCTTGATTATAGTGGAAGTCTATGGTTTTGGTAAGAAGTATGAAAGAAATCCAAGACACAGTGAATATAGCAATAACATTATCCTTAATTAATCATGGATAATCCAATTATCATTTCCAGAAGAACATAGAGGGTCTTATAGACAGTGCGAAGCATGTCAGACGTACAAAAAAGTCCAGATTTAGGAGGGAAAAGTGTCCAACAATGACTTGACATTAACTTGAGTTTAAATTGATCATTTATTATAGGATGCTTCTTATTTTTAAATGTTATATGTACCAATGTGAATGTACATTCACAAGTGTAATTCAAGAAACCTCCTTCAAATTCATGAAGCAAACATTCTGAAGATAAAGACTTAAACTGAAACTTAAGTGTTTCTGCACAATGAAAATAATAAAATAAAATAAATACAGTCAACAATACAAGCTTTCAAACAATGTCTCTTGATATTTGTAGATGGAGTGGACAGAAACATCTAACACTCTTCTGCAGTCCACATTAACAGCTCTGTAACTTATCTTCAAAGGTTATTGCATTTTTGTTCAGTTTGAGGCAGAGGGCTGACACAACTCAGTGTTCAGTTTTTTGAATTTTTTGGTGTCGCTGCATTGGGTTACATTATATTGTTTGAATTAAAATGATTACAAATTAGTTGTTATTAAAAAGATTACAAATTACGTCTGTGATTTGTCCGTCCCATCCCGGTGTGTGTTTTAACAAAAGTGACTCCGCAAAGCATTCCCAGAGAAGCCCATATTTTCAAAGTTGATGTCAACAACGTGGGTGCCAGTGGTTGCCGTGTTTTCTCGCTGGATCTAATTGCCCTCAGATAATCTCTGCTTTGTAAAGAGCTGCTATTTCCATGCCTGAATCTGAGCAGAAACAGCTGCTCACATTCTACAGGCTCCTGTGTCTGCTGTTCCCCCCCCCCCCCCCCCCCCATGAGTCCACTCTGCCTCGAGTGTGTCAGCATTCTCTGTCTTTCTGTCTGCCACTGTGTCCTCCTCCCTGCCCAGTGAACAGGAAGCTGTCACCTCAATCTGAAAGGATTCACAAGACATCAAACACATGGCCATTGCGACGAGGACCATAGCCTCTTTATAAGTGCCGACTGCCCCCAAAAAACAAATACGTATTTGATAAAGATTATTTGTGTAAAATGTGTTTTTTTTTTTGCCAGTCTTGGCAGTATGTTTTGGTGGAAAACGGAAGGATGATGAGACTCTACAGGCAAGGACAGGCCCAAACACGCTTAACATACTGTAAAGGATATCCATGCAAGTCATACATGCAACTGAAGCAGGTTAATGTATCATTCTTTAATTTTGACCCTGACATGGAAGAGGGGGTTTTCCCCTGGTCATGTAACCTGACCTGGCAACTTGAAGATCCAGCATCTATTTCTAACAAAGTAATAGCCATCTGTAGAGCATAAAAGCTTCTTCCATCCTTTGACTAAGAAACTCAGTAAAGGTGTTTTATTAATGCGGTGAGGGCTCTTTGATCCAATTTAATTTCCTCCTTCCTGTTTCCTGCAGAAAGCAACAGGAGCTGCAGGAGGCGCCATCCCCAGACGAAGGAATGGAAAAGTGTTTCTAGGTAAGATTTGCACGTCAGCCTGCAAACAATGAAAGTAGTGCTAAACATTGTTGAGCAATTCATTCATAGTATTAGCAATGATTCCTCAATGTGTGTGTAGCTGGCCAAAGCAGCTGATTCATCTCCTAAATGCACCATAAGAGAGTTTATAACAGTTATTCTCAAGTTTTAAATGGTACTAGATATATCTCAGGGGCTGTTAAATACACAATAGAGTACTAAAGAAGAAAGTTCAGCTCCACAAATATATGCCCAATTCTTTGGCTCTGTCTTTGGATTTTGGATGTCGTAGTTTATTTTCAGGCATTTTAATGTGACAAGCTTTTTTGGAACTCTTCTTTAGAGTCATGGTAGTTAAAACATTTATGTAAAGATACTTTGAAGAGAAATGGGTACAGCACTGAAAATATTTAACAAATATATATATTAGTTGGTGTTTTGATATCAAACTGAATGTGCTTTTTAATCTTTTGAAACACCTCAATAAACTAAGAGAACCCCCCTCTCTTATATGCCAGTTGTATTGTTTGTTACACTGCAGTGACCCCCCAGCTGCCCCCCCAGCAGGCCTTTACTTCATATTTCCCATGATCAGACCACTCCTCCCCCTGCTCTGTCTGCATCCTCCTATGCTCCAAATATAGCTCATTTATTTGTATGTGTGGTTGGTAACTGCTCTAAATCAAAGCCTTGCCTGCTCCCCTCCTCTGCTGTGTGGGTAGGGGTGGGTTTGAGACTGCCCCCTCAGCTGCCACCAACTGTCATCCTCTCTTTCGGCTGACACACTTCTACTGCAGCTATGACGCTGTTCATAGAAGACCAGGTCTACCTCCTTCTTAACCCCCCCCCCTCTCTGCTGGCCTGGCAGGGGAGGAATTCCTTCCACTTAACCTACATATAATTAATGTTCCTGTTTTCTTATCAGCCAGCGTTTAATCAACTCTTCTATCCATTGGCATTCATCTGACTGCTGCACATCAAATCCTACTCAGTCTCTCTCATGGAGATAGTTCTTAAGATGGTTTTCTCTTGGATAATTTAAGCTGTCATCCATTTGGATCTTTGATTTGGCAGCAGGCATGTGTGTGTCTACCACCATTTTTGTACCAGTCCAGGGATTTAATCCAGCCACTGTCTGCCAACGTCAGACGTTACCATGAAAGCAGTGGACACAATAACAATGTCCCGGATATACTGTTTCACTTGAGTCATTTCACGACTTTAGGATGAAGTGAAAAGAAGACAACTCACTATGGAGAGAGATTTAACACAAGAAGCTCTTTGTCGATTTCATGTTTAAAATTTGCTGAAGTTCAGCTCGACATAGTTTTTTTTTTTTATTGAAACTCTGATAATTATTTGATTGGTACATTAGTAGATAGACAGGAAGTTCAATTTTTCAGCAAAAATGCCAGACATGCTGTGGTTCCTGCAGCCTGATTGAGTAGATCTTATGCCTATAATAAACTGGGTCTGGGATAAATACTTTTCACTATCAATGGCTCTGTAGATTATTTTATAAATAGCTTGATTCATTATTTGTTTACAAAGATGAACAACTGGTTTAAGACAGCATCAAATATTCCTATCGACCAGAGTAATGCCTCTCAATGCCTACATTTGGTCATTAAACAGCTCATTTAACTAAAGAGTTGGGAAATAACCCCGGAAAAATCTAAAAACTGGCCAGATTGTTGTACTGCTTTTTTTGTTTTGTTCTAAAATTATTTTTAAAAAAGTCATGAATTAGCAAAAAAATATTCTTTTAATTTGATTAATGAAGAAATAGTTTTTGCTTGACAGTAAACAAAAACGGTTTGGGCTTTGAATGTTGGCTGAGAAAGAAAGTATTTTCTGACATTTTATAAAGCAAAGGATTCATCTCAAAATATCAATAGTGAAACATATTTGATTGATTGATTATGTTATCCATAAAGACAGTGCTGTAGCTGTGTAGACAAAGCCATCATCAGTACTCCCTAGTAACATTATAAGTTGCTGGGTATAAGAGTGTGTGATGAGCACCTAATTATAGCTCTGCATGAATTGTTTCGGAGCAAGAGTCATCAGCACAGTATGAAGTCATCCTGTCTCTGTTGTAAAAAAAGATGTCATTGATGGTTTTATTCAAGGGTTATTATGTGTCATAAAACTTTACAGCTTTGACTAAAAGGACGACAGTCATTAAGACAAGAAGACACCTCACACTTGAAACAAATACAAATAACTGAGAATAACGAGGATCATGACATGTGCAAAAAAATAATATCAGTCAGCAATGTATTAGGAAGCTGTCTCCAACAGCAGCTGATTGGCTGTGTACTCCCTTCCCTGTAGATTTAGAGCTAAACCGTGACTTTAACGGTGAGGACTATGAATATGAAGACGAGGCCAAGCTGGTCATTTTTCCAGACCACTTCGAGATCCCCTTACCAAATATTGAGGAGTTGCCCGCTCTGGTCCGTGAGTCGGTGCTGCATGAATTCTGTGTGTTTTTCTGCATGTTGATGGGAGTGCGTACTCAGTGGTTCCCTTTGTAGTGAACAGACTGGCAGATTTATAAACACACATTCAGCCTGAAAACTACCTGAGAATATGAGATCAGAGTTCCCCCTATAATTCACTTAACCTAAGGCAGAAGTGAGCTTACCACAAGGGTTTTTTTTTTTAATTAGTTTTGATTGTAGATGTTCAAATAAAGGCTATTTCAAATGCTACTCTATTAAAAGAAAAAAGGGAACCACTAGATGCACTTTATATTCAGGCGCTCTTATCACTTTAGTGTTTGTGTGTCATTGCTTGCATGGAGTCCAGAAGATACTTCACTTTTTTAAAGTTATTGTTTGTAGAGTGCAATGACCTCCTACAGTAAATGAGTCTTGGTTTTGGTCGTCATTTTTGTATTGATTTTTCAAATTCATTATTGCACGCTTACATGTACTTGTAAAACAACAGGATAATTCCCTTTTTGTTTTTAAATTGTTACTGGTAGATATCGTTTCTTTCTGCACTACAGTAGCACTATAGAGCTGCCCTGTTCTGCCATGTTTGATGATTTTATCTTCACTTTATTTTGCATAAATCTTGCATGTCCAGCTGTCCTTTCTGTTTGATGTTGTAGATTACTTGTTTTAAGAGTTAATTTTAAAGAAGTTTAATGTTTTCAAGTGGTCAAAATAAAATTTAACAAAATGTTCCTTCTTATAACAGACTTTATTTATACCTGAAGTTTTTATTCTATCAAGGCTTATCTATTTTAATATGACCTCAATCACACCAGTTTTTTGAGAAGTTAATTTTCTCTCTGCTCATGCCTCTGATGATCAGGTGACCATCGCCTGTGACGCTGTGCTCAATGCATCATCAGCCTACAAGAAGCAGGAGCCTGAATCGTGGGAGGAGGAAATCCAGGTATCCAGACATGCCAGGAGCCTCAGACAGCTCGATAACGGGGTCAGGATCCCACCTAGGTATGACAGATATGAAGTATCACTGTTACATTTGTTAAGTGGCCTCAAAATGTATATAAGACAACACTCGCATTTGTGTAGCTGTTCTCATGGCTTGAACTGGTGAATTGTGAGGAATCAAGCCGCTTTGATAACAGCTGTGTCTCTGCAGATTTGGTTTATGAGACATCTTCTGGATTTCTTAGAGCAGTGTTTGTTAAAAACTGTAAACTGAAAACAGAAGAATGTCTTGCTCCTCAGCTAACTTTGGTTCTTTTGTTCATTGTACTCAAGAAAGTTGAAATAGAAAAATCTAAAGTGTTTTAAATTAAACTTAATAAACATTCAAACAACTGTCTAGGCTCTATCTGTTTCTTCAGGAGTGTCCTCATGAATTGACCTAAAATGAATAGTGAAAAAGTGATTCTCTGCAACTGATTATTTAATAAGTAACAACACAGAGAAATGTCTTTGTCTTTGCTCTCAGTGGTTGGAAGTGTCAGAAGTGTGAGATGAGAGAAAACCTGTGGATGAACCTCACGGATGGAGCCGTGCTCTGTGGGAAGTGGTTCTTCGATGGGAGCGGAGGGAACGGCCACGCCCTGGAGCACTTTAGAGAGACCAACCATCCCCTGGCTGTCAAACTGGATACCATCACACCAGACGGAGCAGGTCTGACACTTATGACATGATCATCTCAGCTGTCACATTTGAACCACAATCCAAGTTTCTATATGATGTGAGGGATGGATATCCTTGAAGTAGCTTTTATTTCACTAACTCTAACACTAACTATTTAACTAACAAAAAAAAGCACACCAAGGATCAAACCTTTGGAAAATGGCCTTTGTTTTAATTTGTCATAATGTAATTAAAATAGTTTACTGTAAACTTGGTGCACATGCATTTACATGAGCTAGTATTGTATAATTATAGATTAACATGGCATGGTTTAAAACTGTAGTTTAAGCCTGGTAGGGATCTTAGAACATGAAGCTTATCATTAGCAGTTTTTAATTGAAATAATGATCATTCTAAACACAATTTTAAAAGTTATTACTTCAACACCTGTGGTCTGTAACAAATTGTACTTACTGACTATAGAGGGGCCCTCAAATTTTTTTAAATACAAATGTAAACAGGGTTCAGATGTAACCGTAACAATATAAAAAAGCTTAAAAAAGGGTGTTAAGTTTTAGACTGACCTGTAATTGAGATAACCTAATCCTTTGGTTTCAGATGTCTACTCGTTTGAGGAGGAAGAGGCCGTGTTGGACCCCCACATATCAGAACACTTGTCACACTTTGGAATAGACATGCTACAGATGCAGAAAAGAGTGAGTTGTTTTAGCTTTTGACAACAACAACAAAAAGTTTTCCCCGCTGAAGGTTTCACATTGAGCTTTTTACCTCTCTCTCTCTCTCCCCTCAGACAGAAAACGGTCACAACACAGACAATAACTCTCGGCCACGGGTAAGCGAATGGGAGGTGATCCAGGAGTCAGGCATGAAGCTGAAAGCGGTGTTTGGTTCTGGTTACACGGGCATCAAAAACCTGGGAAACAGCTGCTACCTCAGCACGGTGATGCAGGTCCTCTTCAGCATCCCTGACTTCCAGAGGATGTGAGTACACAGCATATATAGATATTTCAATGAGCTAAGTTTGTTATCTGTATTATTTCACATTATTTAGTTTCTACACATTATTTAAGGTATTTTCAGGTTGTCCATATTTATTTTTGATAAGGTTAGTGCTTTAATCAAAGCACAAAATGTCACTGAAAAGGTAAACAGATTCTTGATATCAAAAGGGGAACAAATTCATTGTCTGTTTTTTGATTTCATTGACTCACATTTCTGAATACTGTCTCTTTAAACCTCAGGATTTTTACACTAGCAGGCACACAAAATAAACTCATACTAAAGCCTAATTTGATTTTCATATGTGAGTCTCTAAGCACCACGAGACACTTTTCATGAGATTCAGCGGTGAAAACGCAGATGAACTTCCTCAGATGACTACAATTTCGGCAAAGATAAATCTTGACTAATCAGACTAATCATTAAGCATTAAGAAAAAAATAAATGCAGTCAAAAATGTTTCACTAGTTTATATTAACATGGTGGAAAGTCTAACATGACCTATGTTGTATTATGTGCAGTGCTTATTACATTTTGTCACGGTAAAATGTGTAATTAAAATGGAAATCTGTGTTTATGTACATTTTTAAAATGTGTAGCTCTAGATTACATATGGAGGTAAGCTTAGTAGCAGAAAATAGACTTTTATTTTGAAACAATTTTAGTTATTTAAATATCTGTTACACACTTGACCCAGCATTATTTAGTGTATGTTCACGAGCAGAAAGTGTTCGTGCTTTCTACGTTTCCAGCGGTCTTGTGCTGTGTCCATGTGCTCAGTCTGAGGTAAGCGTGTGACATTTCTTTTGATCTGTAGGTATGTGGGTAATCTTCAGAGGATATTTGACTACTCACCCCTCGACCCCACGCAGGACTTTGCCACTCAAATGTAAGTGCCTCCTGTGTTACATAATTCAGTGCAATAACACACAAGACAAGCAAGGGGTTTTCAAGCTGCTTGGTTAAGAAAATGCTGAGGGGTCCTTACGTGAAACTTGTATCTTTGATTATTAAAACACTTTTGATAACTTTATTATGACACTGCAGTTTCAAAAGATGACCAAATCAAGTTTATGAACTTTAGTTAAGAAATTGATGATACTTTCTTTAACAGTGTTTTTATCCAGTCATTCATGTTAAAACTTGGTGTGTTTTGTCATGTAAGCTGGTGTGTTGCAACAGGCCAGTGGCACAGTGGCCAGGATGAAAGCTAAGAGGGGATTAAGCAAGGCAGGCGATTAACATCAGTGGTGTGAAGCAACAAATGCTTTATATTATGAGGTTCATTACCAGATAAACATGTTGATGACTGTCACTGTTTGAGAGTCTGTAAACAGATTAAGGAAATGTATTAAGGAAATTATTGTCACCAACAGTGACACCTTGTCACTGCATGTAATCTCATATTCTTACCTCTTCATTCTTAATTCTTAATTTTTAAATTCTCAATCTTATGTAGCATCACGGTCCTAGAGGAACAAAATGTCATCTCAATGTGTACTTTGTACACGGTTGAAATGACAATAAGGAGAACTTGACTTGACTTAATTATTTTTTTTATGTTTTATGCATTTACAAAAAAGCAACAAAAACAGGCAAATACTTCCCATCTCTGTAAAGAAAATAGAAAAGGAGATATTGATGAGATGTAAAGGATGTATTTCTTTGTATTTAATCCAACCTCCTTTATTCATTTATATCAAACAAATAAGACTTAAATTGATTCTAATATCAACTTAGGGGTTGATAGTTTTCCCCCTACACAGTTAACTCTTGCTTAGGTGAATTTACAACATGTGTCTGTAGTCTTAAAAAAGAGCATAGATTTAGTTGCTAAAATATACTGTTCAAGCATTAATGATGTACCTTCCAGCAGAAGAAATACAACATACTGAGAGAGAAACCAAAGGTGAACCAGAGGAATTATACATATTTTAAGAATTAGAGGGATTTAAGAAAGTCTGAAGTCTGAAGCAGGGTCCATGATACTGAAAAGAAAGGGTTAACAAGTTAAACAGGCCTCAGGTGTATTGTCTGAATGTTTTAACAAGACGAGAAAAGAAACAAATGCTCTCAGTGTATGACATTCAATAAGCCTTCCCAAAGAGACGAGAACAAACCTGAGAGACGGGCGATCATTTGTAAAGTTTCTGGCTTTGCTTCTGTCCAACAGGGCTAAACTTGGACACGGACTTCTCTCAGGCCAGCACTCCAAACCACCCATGAAATCTGAGCTCATTGAACAGGTGATGAAAGAAGAACACAAGGTATTAAACTGGGTATGTCCAGCTCCTAAACTGGGTCTATAACTGACATAAGCATGTTACTACTTTGTTTCATTAAAGCACTAAACAGAGTTTCAGCTTTTAAGTTTGATGTTTTTCAAATTGAAACATTAAATATGTTTTATTATAGGCTACACTACAGGCCATATCCATTTGTTATTTATAAACTGTGATTATGTCAGCTTGAAAGATGTTGATCCAAACAGAATGAAAATAACTTTTTTAAAGGCATCTTAAAGTTTTACTGTGCTTTGAGTTTTTCCCTTTTGTCTGAAAATAGGTGTTTTGGCTTCTATCCCAAATGTACAACTCAAATAGTTTATTAGAACAGCTCCAGAAACAGAACTAAAACTGTACATTTCTTGAAATTCGCCGCATCACTGCCTCAATTAAGCTTTCTCGACTGTTTTGAGATTTCTGCAATCTTGTAAATTCTGTTATTTGTCAGTGAGTTTTGCTTTACCAATTTAAATGACCATGATGTTACATCTTTGACCACATGGTGCACAGCTGACTGGACAAAGAGGAGAGGATGCCATGAAGGCATAATGGGAACCAGCACTATCCCTCTAACCTGTGGTTTTCCTTTAAGCTTATCCAGTCACAGTAACTGATAGGGCATGGCTGTGATCCTACACTTCCTACATGTGATGGAGTCAGTTATGTTGACAGCTGAGAGGAGAGGGGGGAGGGTTTGAGTTGGCATGCTGCTGTCAGTTTGTACTAAATAATCTATTCCTTTTAGGAAAAAAAAGAAAGTTAAAAAGTTTGCTTTTATGCCAAAAAACTTAAAGAGAGTTGAATGCTCTCATGTCTATTCGGTGAATGTAATGAATGCTAGCACGACACAAGTGTATCTTAGCATTGCACAATGCTGAGAAACAACTTCCTGAAGTTTCCAGTGTTTATCTAAAACAAGCAGAAAAATTATATTAATAATAAATATGATGACCATGGGGTGCTGATGATGCCATCCATAGACAGAGCCTGGTTGTTTGTTTCCCATTGTTTCCCTTGGCCAACTAGCAAACATTGGGTAGTTAATGTTAACCTAGTTAGCTTGTCTATGAGTCAACATAAATCGGTTAGGGCATTATTGCTAGAAAATGTCAAACTTACAACATACTTTTAAAACCCAGAAACACATAAAGTTAGTTTTATTAGTATCCCCAGTAGGCCTACTATTTTTTTTTTTTTTTTTTACAAAAAACTAGTAGGCCTTCTGGGGATTATCTACCTATTTAGTAACAGTTGTATTCATTCATGAAGCAGTGATGACATTTTTCAATGTTAATGTTTTTTCTCTACCTTCATACTAATCTTTGAGTTAAGAAGAACACTCTCTAGATTCTTCTGAAGTTTTATGTTTCATGAACCTGATTTGAAGATTTGGGATTAGCAGACCTGTGCAGAGTCTGTTACTGGCAGGACAACTGAAGTTTTTTTTTTTTCAATGTTTTTAGTAACATTTTCCTCTGGTCTGTAATCTTGCATTATATTTCCTATTGAGACAGATGAGTGGTCATTCATTCAGCTTTTGTGAAACCCAAATATTTTCTTTTCAGCACCAGCAGAAGGAGTCTCTCCCCGAATGTTCAAGTCCCTAGTGAGCAGGGGACACCCAGAGTTCTCCTCCACCAGACAACAAGATGCACATGAGCTCCTCCTGCACGTCATCAACCTGGTGGAGGTGAGTGAAGCGAAAAGTTGTTGCAGCTTAACTTATTCAAATTGTTAAAAACCAGTATACTTCCTGTTTTTTTTTTTTTTTTTAAAGCTTTCCAAAATTAAAAAAGGCAGGTTGGTCCTTCAGTTGCTTAGTGAGTTGGTAATGGACTTGGACTTTGTGTAGCGCTATTCTAGTCTTCTGACTACTCAAAGCACTTTTTACATTAGACGTCGCATTCACTCATTCACACTACATTCACACACTAATGGCAGAGGATGCTATGTAATGTGCCCACCTGCCCAAAATGATTAATCAATTCACACACATTCACAATAATTCAGTGTCTCACCCAAGGACACTTGAACATGTGACTGCAGGAGCTGGGGATCCCGTTAAGGGAAGACTGAGTCTAGTTTTCATCATATTTATTCACATAAAAAAAAAAAACGAAAAAAAAAAAAAAAAAAAAAAAAAAATATATATATATATATATGTATGTATACAAATCCCCACTCTCTCTCACCACATTTGCCGTCTATTATTAGCTGTCCTGTCCAAATACGTTGAAAGCCCAACAAAAACAATATTTTAAAAAATAACATTGATGTTTTGGCCTTTATATCAGTAATCTGTGAAAATTTCACTCTTAAATGAGCAAAAGTGTCACTTTCAAAAATCCCACATCAGGGGTCGCAGATGGCCTAGCGTTTAGGTTGCGACCTATGCACATAACTATAGTTCTCCAAGCAGTTAACCCGGGGTTAAGTCCGACCTGTGGCTCCTTTCCTGCATGTCATTCCATTCTCGCTCCCGATTCCCTTCTCTATCCACTGTTCTATCAAATAAAGCCCCAAAAAGCCAAAATATAAAATTTAATCCCTTATCAGTCATACTTCACTTAAAAAAATATACTGGTAGTTAGCAAATTGTATCATTAATGTCAATTTTCCTAATGTTTTGAATGTTCATCACAATAGCAGATGGAGTTTTCCCGGTTGTCATGGGGATGAATCCGTTTTCTTTGGTTTCTCGTATCATGTATATGCTTGCCAATAATAGAAAAGTAATTACAAGTACATTGTAACAATACAAAGTGTGTTATCCAATCTGTATTTATTAGAGCATCTTTATACACTATCACTTGGTGAAAACTCAAGACAGACAAGCAAGTGAATAAGAGGCTGCCTCCAACAAATATACTGACACAATCTTAGTTTTCACATTGTTGTGAAATGTTCAAGTTTTGAGAAAGTGTTTTTGTGACGTCTGACCTCTGGCACACATGGACAGGCAGTAGATTGTGAGGGGAGGGTCTGTTTTTGGGCATACTTTCTCCCTGGTTGTTGGTACATACACATGGCGTGCACTGACGTGTCTTTCTCAACTGGGACTTATAAATAGCTTCGTACTATCTGTTACACAGGGGGCCAGATAATGCCTCCTATTCTGCCTCTGATACATGCCCTGACTCGGACCAAACACGTCACTCCAACCTGATCAACAAAACAGACGAGCAACACTCCCCTAGCATCAATTACTTCTTCATAATCCATTGGAACCTTACAAGACTCGTGCTTGAACTTGGTTTTGACCTCCCCTTTTTAAGTCTACTTGCTGGCCTCTACAGCTGTCTCTAAACTAGAGACTGATTTATTTATGTAGACGTAGATAAGATGACTAACACCATCAGCAACATTTTGTTCCGTCGTTGTCAGCCTGCACACTTGGCCTGAGTAAAATTATAACTAGTGTATTTCTGTAGCGTCTTAGAATAGAAAGACTGTCCTGCAGAAAAGATGTAAACCTGTGAGCTAAATTGCATTGTCATCATTCATCAGAGTCTTCCGATAAGCCCAATGTATACTTTAAGGACCTCCACTTCAAAAGCAGGAAGTCGACAAAAAATCACACAGGGAAAAATAATGAATGTCTCTGTGATTCCGAAACGATGTAACACCCTCAGTCATGGTGGGCCGGGTGAGGTTAATTGAGGTGGCTCCTGAATTAAAGAGTTGCATCTACATTATGAATAACTGTATTAAGAGATCTGGGTCAAACAGCAGTTGCGTTGAAGTCATGCCAGGAGACTTTAATAGACCACAGCAAAGAATAGCTTGTAGACAGAATTGCATTTCAGTGATCAGGCTGTCATGTCCCAAGCTTTACATGTTTGTGGAACGTGTGAAAACAGACTTAGTGTTTTCAATTAGTGCAAAGAAAGTGCTATAAAGGAACAATTATTAAAATGTGACAGGGTAATGCAGAGAGATGATGATCGTTGACTAAAGATAATACAAAAACAGCAAATACAGCAGCAGCGATGGAAAAATAAAAATAAAATAATATGAAGAAGACCAGACAAACAAAAGCAGATAGAAATAAAAAGGCTGATTTTTGAGTGATCAACACCTCAGTATAAAGCACCATTGAAAAAATGAGTACATCATTAATAAGAGTTCATATGTTGTGTTGAGTGAGAAATAAATATTATATTTGTATTTATATATTGTGAATTGGATGATAAAATAGGAAAAAGGGATGGTGGGGTTTGTGGGTTTAAAGATTATTTGGGGCTTTTTTTTACCTTTATTTACATCAGACAGTGGATACAGAACCTTGGGAGGTCGCCAGCCCACTTGGAAGTAGGGAGAAGAAAAAACAAAATCAAATCAAATTTCATTTATTTAGTCATTTATTCAATCATCTTTTCATGCATTCCAATTTTGTCTCTTCCCAATTTGCTGCCCTTTAACCAACCCCCAGTTGGCAGTTTTGTTTTTCTATTTATTTTATTCAACCTTTAATTAACCCGGAAAGAGAGAAACTCGTTGAGATTAAAAAACTCCTTTTTTAAGAGTGTCTTGGCCAAGACAGGCAGCAGCACAGACAACAAAGTTCTGTCGGACAATGAAAGACATGAAATTACAAGTAAAGCTGCAAATGTTTATTAAAATGGATTATACTCATTAATATATCAGACAGGGCATCTACAGCCAGATGTGTCCGCCTCCAAGTCATTCAACATCCTCTGAAAATCATCCAATGAGATCAGCTCATTAAGTTTCAGGTCTTTTTGTAATTCATTGTAAGGAAAGGGAGCAGCAAACATTTTCCTTTTTTCCCAGTTCAGTTTGGAACAGACAGTTGAAAAGATGCTGAGACAGAAGAGAGTTAGTTCCTGTAGTATTCTTACACTCACTGAAATAACTTTGGTTCAAATAGTATAGTTGTTCAGATGCTGATTGCTCTTATATTATATACTTATATTTTTACCTTGACCAGCTTTAAATCAGTTGCAACTCTAAAATCATTATGCATATCATATTATTATCCAAAAAGTATAACAGCCTCACTTAAATAACCCCAGCTAAATTTAGACCAGATTATCGGAGCATTAATTCAGAAGGCCAAACTATACTATTACAATGTGAGAAACAGATGGGACACTTAACAGCATGTCTGCCCTTAGGTTTTCTTTGAGGGAAGTTTTTAAAAGGGAACTTTAATTTGTTATCTGTTTTCAATATCATGACTGGGTGTTTATTTAAGGTGTTACAAAATGTCACTGTCAGCCCAATATGTTACAAAACCTCAAATGAGTAAAACACTCACTCTCCCTGATTTTACAGAGGAACAGTGCAGGCTCAGAGAACCCAAGTGACGTCTTCCGCTTCCTGGTGGAGGAGCGCACTCAGTGCTGCCAGACACGTCGGGTTCGTTACACACAGAGGGTAGACTACTGCATCCAGCTGCCAGCCCCCTTTGAAGCAGCAACCAATCGAGGTAATAAGCTCCTTCACAAAAACACATGTTGTTCTGTAGGAAGCTATAGTTGCTTGATGTGGATACAACTGAGGACAAAGAGACAAGACTTGACTTTTTTGTAATTCATGATATGACAAATAATGTCTAAAGTGCATCTAAAGGTAGCTCAAGTCAATGTAACATTACTGTATTTATTGTGATATTTATTACTTTTAAACAAATATAACCTTGTGAGGGATACAGACATTGTCACAGGAACTGTAAATGGAAGCTCAGGTTGTTGTTTCTGTCAGCACCATTTTGAATTGTACATAAATTGGTGTACATAAACCTTAGTGAATGCTTGCATTTCATTAAATGTATAGTGTGCATGTTTAATATGTGAAACCTTAATTATGATTGATTTGATCACATTTAGATTTAGGATACTAAACTACTGTGAGGTGTTGAAGATATCAAAACTTGTAAGCAGACTTCAAAGTGTTCGTCTGTGTTTTTATTCTACCAGAGGAGCTGTTGGCATATGAGGCCAAGCTAAAGGACGCTGAGGAGAACATGCGGGCTCCTCCTGAGCCAGTGAGAGCGCGGATCCCCTTCACCGCCTGTCTGCAGGCTTTAACCGAGCCAGAGAACGTCCCCAACTTCTGGAGCTCAGCACTTCAGGCCAAGTCAGCTGGAGTCAAGTAAGCAGAGGACCTTCTGTTGCTGGGCTTGGAGAGACTTCTCCACACCTTTTATTTGTTTTCAATTACCTCAGATTATTTTCAATTAAAATCCCAATTTTACTTGGAAGTGTTACATTCCTTTCCATTGAATCCTCTGTTAAAAATGGCTGTTTTTTTTTCCTCTGCAGAACTTCCCGTTTTGCCTCCTTCCCAGAGTACCTGGTTCTGCAGATCAAGAAATTCACTTTCGGGGTTGACTGGGTGCCAAAGAAATTAGGTAACTGTCTGTCACGCTTCACTTTCCCGTCCTTTGCTTGCCACCAAAGCTGTGCCTCAATTATATTTACTGTGCCCTAACTGCCTCCAGAGGGCACCATAAAACCACAATTCATCAGCAGGTAAAGTAGAGGCTGAAACAGCTGCTGCTCAATATTATTAAGTAACCTTCATGGTTTAAATGAACAGACCAATGTTTTGAGTGTTTAACTGCTTTATTAATAGGAAATGGCTGCAAAATACATAATAATGTCACATTATCTTTTTAAATTGTGTGATTAAGTATTATGTGTGGGGTTTTCATTTTGCTCAGTGGTTGTGACTTGTGGATAAAGTGTCTTAAGCCCTTTACAGACTGTGATTCCCACAGCATAGCAACATACCACCACATTTCACCATATTTACACCTTTATACTTAAGTATTGCATCTGCAAATGTGTAATATTGGTGTCCCTGTGTGTGGTTTCACAATGCAGTTCTGTATTCATGATGCCAGAATAGAGATTAGCAACTTTCTGGGCTTGAATTCTGAAATCTGAATTGATGTCCTTAAGTTTTTTTAATTAATAATGACGTCTAGCATGCTTCTAAAACCACATATTTGACAGAATTGGGAACATCCGGATCCCTGCCGGACGATGCACTTTTCTGTTAAGTTTTATATTTGTGTATTCCTCTACAGACTTGGCCATAGACGTTCCAGACTTCCTGGATCTGAGCAGAATGCGGGCCACAGGGCTGCAGACGGGCGAGGAGGAGCTTCCTGACCTCATGCCTCCTATCGTGCTACCTGAAGACACACGAGGTACAGAACAGACACTTTCTTTTCTAGGTGGTTTAAAGAAATGGTAACTGCATTAAGAAGCGTGAGCGTATGACACACCTACAATTGAATGCATTAATAGATATGTCTATACAGTTAAGAGAACACACTTTGGCGGTTCAGTAAGGCAGAGTATTGTGATTTTAACCATCATCACTTAAAGGACATTTTCCTTCTTTTGTAATTTATTAAATCTAATTAATCACACGTTTCAATTAAAAGAAGGATCGCACACATACACACACACACACACCCACTCACACTAACACACACAGGTACACACTCACATGCTTCTGAATGGCATTGGAACTTATGACAAGCTTTTGAAACAGAGACAGGAGTAGGTTTAGATTAAGCAGGAAAGATTGCACTCCAATAGATGTTTTCAAAGGTTGAACAAAGCCTACCTCAGCATGTCTCTGTATGTGTGTGTGCATCTGTGGTTTCTTGGTAGAGGCAGACGGGGGAGAGACGGATGGTGTTGATCCCTTGGATGGATATAATCATAACAATACCATTACATTTTGGTCATGTGTTTTCACCAAGCTCACGACACTGCTCTGGATGGTTGAATGATCAGTTACATAACACGTCACAGTTCTATGAATATGCATTTTTTGCTCGCATTATTTTTTTGTTAATTAATTTAAAATCAACGCGTTATTTTGACAGCCGTAAAATAAACATTGTGTCTACACATATATTCTGATTTTTTTTCAGATCACATAGTGCTTCATTTTTATCCCCCAGGATTCACTGAGAATGATACTTAAGTCATACAATCTCACATAACTCGCCTATAGTAGCCTACAGGGACCTTTGCTTGTCACTTTTCTACCGTTGCCATTTCCTTGCCATTCATATTGAAGTTCACTTTCTCTAATTGATTTCAAAGACCATTGTTAAATTGTGTCCACTCTAATACACAAAGTTTAAACAATACAAAAAAACAACCTCTCAGTGAACACTAAAGAATTTATCAAATTTGACTCAATAAACAGTCAACACAGTGTTGCTATGAAAACTACCTGAAGTGAGTGCTGCTCCAAAGCTGCTTCTTGACATCCTTTTCATCAGGCGTGGGGTAGTTTTGTGACAGAGACAAATGATCCGTGAAATTGTTTCTAATATGATGTTCTGCTCAAAGCTACCCAAGTTTTCTCTTACAGGCATCTTGGATTTGTTTCCATGGGGAAGGCATGCTCAATCAAGTTCTGAAAAGTTGTTGTGTTCACAGTGGCTAAGCCTAATAACTTATAATGATTTTATGAGATCCAGTTGTAATGCACTCCCCTGGGCTCTGGGAAGAATCTCCTCAAGGCTTGCAAGTGCGATTTGTTTTAATGTCACTTCCTCAAAACGCAGTTGCATCAGAGTGTGAACTAAGTGAAGTCTTTGTGTTATTTACAGCGTACTTGGGGCTCTTTTCCTGCACAAACTCAGCCCTCCCTCCTTTGTCACTGTCTCCTCTGTGATTGTATTTCTTATCCCACCATTCCTCTTTCCGTTGTTCTCAAAGTTCAGCTACATAACCTTATCAGTGTCCCCCTTAATATTTTAGCAGACGTTAAGCACAAAGTGTTCTGTACTGTCTCAAGCTCCAAACACAACACACAAAAAGGGGACCAAAGAGCATTGAAAAGGCACAGTAGCATCTGCGAGCAGGCTGTGCAGGGCTTCACACACTGACAGACTCAGGAGAAGGGTTTTTGTTCTGAGAGCTTTACAGAATCGTTTAGCTTCTTCAGATGGGGAAATGAGGACAAAACTGAAGTCGGAACATGTTTGTCTGAGTGTGCCTTAATATTTTAGGACTGAACGTTACATGCTGTGCTTCCTACCCCAAATCTCCAAACACATGAAATGCCTTCTTGGAACATTGCTGTATCTACTGAACACTTTGCGCATGAAAGCTTTCATTAAGCTTGATAAAATAATAGCAATTCATATGTGCATCTGGCAGTAACACTATGCAGCTATGCCATTTGGCTGCAGTTGGAATGTTTTTAAATGTAAAAAAGTTTAAAAAGTAGACAGCTAGAGATTGTAGAGTAAATGTAATCTGTATTCGGCTCTTGCCCATCAGTGTATTAAATCAGAGCTCTTCTTGTTGCAGCGTGTAAATTATGCTGTTTAAATTGTCAAATTAATAAAGGTCAGAGGAAATGTGTTATTTATTAATATTTCCAAGTTTATGTATTAATTTCTTCATTATGATAACTTTTTTCAGCTGCCAATAAACCACTGGCCTATTACTATTAGCATTGATAAATCATTGATCACTCTACTGTCTCCAGAAGGCTTCAGTGCCTCATATTGATTACGCAGCAGTGCACACAAACACACAAACGTGTGTGTGTGTGTGTGTGTGTGTGTGTGTGTGTGCTGCACTTATTTTGTGTGTATCATCCATGCACTCAATAATTCCAGACCACTTCTTTGCTGTTATATTTTTCCATTAATCGAATCACATAATGTAAAAAATGCTCACCCATCTATTATACATATTGATTTCTCAATCATTTCTAAATTTAAGACATGTACTGGATATTTCAAATACACCCAGATCTGTTTCTGTTAGCTGACTCTTACTGATACATTAGAGAGAGGCATTTTTTTTAAACTTTGTATGGCTTAAAATTGCCTCAGATAATAGTCTTGGTTAAAGTCGTAGTGAATCATGTTTTATAGAAGAAGGATTCACTAAAGTTGTGATTTCAGTGTTTGGGGCTGAACAGTCTCCTCACTACAGGTAGTGCTTACATGGCCCTCACCAAAAGTGTTTACTTCTCGTTTTGTAGCTTTATTGAAACAGCCTGACAACCCCAGTGGGACTTTACTACACAATACAGTTGGCCTATGTAATTATTTGAAACAAATGACGGTTTCCTAGAAGCATTTCACAAAAGTTCTCTAAAAGAGGCCATAACATGTTATTTATCATACATGACCAACTAGACTCATTTCAGAAGTAACATAGTCTCACAGTAATGTGAAATCAGATTTATAGCTGTTGGGGTTTTTTTTTTGCAGATATTTTGATGCATTAATTTGCAACTATTCAAAGAACCACACAGAAAACCTGATGATGTTTGTTGCATCCTTAGTAGAATAATCTGGTGACACCAACCAAAAAGAAATCCATTTTCTCAAGTCGTCTCAACTTTGATCTTAATGTGTGCTGACACCTGAAATGATTTTTTCTCCCCTTTCAGATAACTCCATGGGCTCTTTGGACTGTGAGTATATCATTTTATTTTTCACTTCTCATTATGAAGTTTGTGTATATGTCACATTTATATAAGTTGTAGCCATGGAAAATGTATTTTGGCCCCAAAGAAATAGTGATGAATGTTTTGCAGCTTTGACCATGTCTGTGTGACCAGGTGCTGCAATTGGTGTTAACTTCCAAACAAATTTTACTTCAGCATGTGGCTCTGCTTGTTCTAGCCAGGCTCATTTCTCTCCATGATGAATTATCCCTCGATAAAGAAACCTCCCCAGGGCTGATTCTCTGCTGGTGTCTTTGTTTAATGAGGCCCAAAGAGAGAGAGCCACCGCAGAAGTTGTTTGGTTCTGTAAACCGGGAAGTTAGTGTTGAATCAGCAGCGGCTGTGTTTTAGTTATTGATGTTGGTTACTCGTGTCCCCAGCTCCAGAAATAGACGAGGCGGCAGTAATGCAGCTGGCAGAGATGGGCTTTCCGCTCGAGGCTTGTAGGAAAGCGGTCTACTACACAGGCAACATGGGCCCTGAGATGGCCTTTAACTGGATCATAGCCCACATGGAAGAGCCTGGTAAGAGAACTTCATTTCACTCAATGAATGATGGAGAGATATACAACGTATACAATGTATAAACATATATTTTCTCTTTGCATAAGGCATATGTTAGCATAAAGTAAATAACTGCAGTGCACTTCCTTAACCAGGGTTTCTTTTGATCCAGAGGAGAACATGAATGTTAGGTCAGGGTCGGCTCCAGCCATTTTGGTGACCTAGACGAGATTAGGATTTGACCCCACCCCCCCACCCTGAAGCCTGTCACCACAATATATGGACAACAGCCATTTGAAACACCATGAACAGTTTAATTACTTCTCAAACAAAAATATAGAATAAAAAAGAGCAATATATTATAACATCTCTGTTATAACAACAAGGATGCAAAGTTTATTATTTTTCGTTCTTTATTTCTTTATATGTTAATGTTAATGTTCTTATTACAAGACAGAACATGAGGGAAGGGCAAAAATGGGCACTGACTGGCCCTCAAATTATTAGTGATTAGTAATTATTAGCGTATATGGCCTATGCCAAGAGCTGGCCCTGGTTGTTAGGTAGTACCTCCTACCCCTGTGCCTGCAACTGTCAGATTCAGCTTGCACAAAACCAAGATGAGTATGTGATAAGCATCAATACATGATCATGTTGTTTACCCTGTGTCATTGTTTATTATTATAATTCAGAAAAAGTTGTCACATTCGAATTTGAATTTCCCTCGGGATCAATAAAGTATCTATCTCTCTATCTATCTATCATTCTTTTTAATAGGAGTGATGTAGCACGTGCCTGAGCTTCTCTAATTTAAGGTGCTGCATTACTTCCCTCAGTCGCTGAGTATGGCAAAGATTTATGGACTTTTCCTGTTTAATGGAATAAGTCTGTATGCCAATAAAGTTAAAATTGTAACTGTGCATATGCCTTCAGTTATGGCCCTGTACTTGCCCAATATCTAAAAAAAGGCAGACAGAGGATTTAAGTCAAACCTTAAAAATAAAAAAAGTTCAACAGTTCATGGCACGGGGCATGTAATCAGAAATAGTGGAGGCAAAATAGAAACAACAAAAATAGGGCACGATGTACGTGTCTTGCATGAGTGCTGAGGTTTAAAAGGGTAACATTAACCAAGAGAAACCAAAAATACTGGTGACAAATCATCACAACAGCAGCTGCACTGAAAGAGCCCCAGTTCTCAATGAGCTGACTCCACAGACTTCAATAAGTGAGCGGGAGATACGAGCTCAGGGCGATGAATGAAGAAAAATAAAGCTGTTTCAAAAGGCAACACGTGCAGTCACATGGTGTCTCTGTGAGCTAGTGAACTTACAGGTGAACTCTGTGTTGGGCTCTTTTTTTGTTTCGCAAAACACTCTGACGCTGCTAATCTGCCAAAAACATTTCTGAAGCGGGTTTACAAAGCCATCCAAATGTATTTCTATTGGACCTTTTAAACACAAGTTGCGTTTGTGTCAGAGCTCACATCCCTTTGTGTGCTGCAGGTGTTTATTTCTGCATGTGTCATCACAACATACTTTAGTCAGAGAGCTGACTTTGTCTCCTGAAGATCTTTTAGCAGCAGAGACATTCCCCTGAGGTGCTGACTTGCATCACTTTATTCTCTGGTCGGCTGTAAAGGGCCTCTACAGTGGAGGGGAGTAAAAGCATCCCCTTGCCTGCTTTTAAATGGGCTTAATGTAACTTCACAGTTATCCGTGTTTAGCCTCAATAACATCAGTAAAGAGTCCGTCCTCAGCTGAGGTTACTTCATCTTCTGTCTCTCCCACATTTGTTCCTTTGCCAATAACTTTTGTTTTAACAGCTAAACTTTTCACTTAAGTGGCAGAACAACATCATTCTCTTTGACGAGAATCTTTAGAGTCCGGCATGTACTAAAATAAACTTCTTGTAAGAGGTGCATTTCTAAAGGACTGTGCAGGCAATGCGATTTATCTATCACTACAGCTCATGTAAATGTCACAGATATCTTTAAAGATATTCAAGATCTATCGATTAAGTTCATGAAAGACGTTTGAAAGGCCCAAATAAGCAATAATGAAACACTGACATACACGTGTGTGTTTTGGTTGTGTCTCATTTATCTATTCTCCAGTCTAATAATAGAAACGTTGTTTGAATGGCAATGCAAAGTACACAAGACGAAGAGCCCAGACAGAAGGACTCACACTTCTTATATTGTCAGGAACATGGTCCCACCCTGCACTTGTGTGTGATGGAAGTTTTTTATGTAACAGTTGTGTCTTTCATGTCTAAATTATTAACAGAGGCAGATAGTTGGGACTTCTTTCTTCATGAACCTGCACTTCTGTACTCTCAGAGGTTCCATATTTTATCTTTTAATAGTCAAACTTTTTCCGTCAACACTCCACAACAAAGCAGCAAATAACTCAGTCGTTCTGCGATTTAAGAATAAATAAAGACCTACAGCATCTTGTTTTTCCCTCTGTTTCTGTTGTTTTCAGACTTTGCAGAACCTCTCACTCTGCCCTCCATGATCGATCCTGGTCCCTCCACCAGTGACAGCCCCATGGGAGCGACCCCGCTGGAAAACTCGCCCCCTGAAGAGAGCATCGCCATTCTAACTTCCATGGGCTTCCCCCGCACTCACAGCATCACAGCACTCAAAGCCACGGTCAGTTTGCTGCCCACTCTTGTTTATGATCCCACTTTGTATACCAATATATACTCACTCTCTTCACCAGGAACCCTTTCTTTATTAATCTATATTTCTGCCAGCTGATCATTCAGATGAGTCTGCATTATAATAAATAGTTCTTTGTTTATTGTTTATCAAAGACAGTTTGAGTTTCTGCATTTACTGCTTAGCTCTAGTATGTCTTCCTCTGTAATTAATCTTGCCAGCTGCACACAAAGTGATGCATTACGCTTGTGATAACATTGATTTATTTTGACTGATCAGGAAAAGGAGGGAAGCTAATGTGCAAGCTGACGGTCACCATGACTGAACAGACACAAACAAGAGCAACACTTCCAGAAAGTCAGAAATATGTAGTTGTTAGTTTCACACTTTGCTGGCTCTGTGACTCACACAGACAATAAATAGTTATATGAGGGTAAAACAAAAGAGGCCAAGAGAAAATCTGAGGACAAAGAAGCACCCACACAGTTTCATAATTGTCTCTGGGCCATGCAGTACAGAGACACCACAGCACTGACCATATGACACCACAGAAAAATGAAGGCTGACCTGGACAGTGGAAAACAAAAGCTTCACTGGTTCATGATAGAGCAGCAGGATGGCAGGAAGTGAGGCCAAAGAGAGGGTGAGGTGATGCAAAGGTAGTTCTGTCAGTCATAGAGGGGTTTTGGTTGGCCTCCTTGTTTTCTTTCCAGGCTGCAAATTTAATAGGTCCTGCATGTCAGAGTGATTAAAGATATCTGCTCGACATGCTGTTAACAAACAGTCCCAGCAAGCTTTGAGGTATAGGAACAGGATCTGCCTCATTGGCTGTGTCCAAAATCACACCCTGCTCACTGTATCAAGCACTTTATAATGTAAAATAATGATAATCTGAGTGAGCATTATCATACCTTACATAGAGGACTCTTTTTATCCCACAATGCATTGTGAAAACTAGTTTACAATTGATCACTATCCATGTAATATATACCATCATGCATCGCGATTCAAATCTTTTTGCCTCTAAGAAGGATGAGAGGAGCGACTAGCATGAACACAGGAATGCAGAAACGCTAACAAGTAAATATTTAGGAACATTTCTACTGAAATCTGGAAGCTGACAGATGATGACGGGTAGGAGACCAGAGTCTGTTGGCACATATAAATTAGTTTTTGTGCTAAAACATAATTTATTAAAGCAAAATTCAGTACATTATATTTTACTATTTTTTTACTGTTTTGTGAAGTACAATATTAGTCATCACTGAAAGTCATGCCGGTATTTATTATTGATCCTCAGCTGCAGGTTTTAGTTGTGCGACAGCAATTTGTGATTTAGGACACAACCATTGACATGTTGTGCCATTTAATCCGCATATCTCATATTATACGTGAGTGTTTAATGCAAAAGGATTTATATTGTGCTTGTGTCATTCAACGGGAGCTCCGATGTATTCGCACTAAGGTTTTGACAGGAATCTTGAGTCTTGCATTTCATGTGTCATATAACGGCCCCTCCAGGAAAAATAACATACCGGACTGTTATTAAGACACAGAAATAGACAGCAGGTTTCCTCAGTTAGTGACCCTGATGCGAACAAAGACCCCGCCATCCACAATGTTGTTAGAGTGAAATAAAATAGACACATATTACCCATGAAGGGGATTTGGGGTGTGAAGCAGAGAGGGGTGTCACGGCTGGTTTATTATTGGCTCAAAATCAGGACGATGAACTCTTTTTCAACCTCATTGACCTGGCAGGGACATAAAAAGCAGCCTCACTAAAAGGCAGACATTGTTGAGGAATCACACCTCTATTCTCGATTCAAACATCCTCAGGGAGATTTAAGCATGAATAGAGGTTTGCCACCTTCCAGATACATTTTAATTTTTTTGGCAGCAACTGTCTTTTGAGGAGCTACCTGGCGGCACAGTAGCAAGGGAATAAGGGAGAAAAACAATATGACAGTGTTTCAGCCTCAACTGTTATTTAGTCCCATATGCACCTTTTTTTTTTTGTGAGCCATATGTTTTCTTTATGCTGGTATTTCCTGTTAGAGCTAGTGTTCCTTTAAAGAAGAAGAAGTAGAGCATCAGATGTTTTGCATCAAAGAAAATATATTTCAAATGTCTTACACTGTAGATAAAAGAAAAGCATATTCAAAACTGGCTCAAACCCTTATATCTGTACAATCCCAACAATCAAGAAGTTTTTGATTTCACATTTATACTTGCATCACTGACCCTCAGTTCTGGTATATTAAATGGAGTTTGGTTAAAAATAAATAAATGATCAGTGAACTAAAGTAAAATGAACATTTTTACAGAACAATAACTTGGAACGAGCATTGGACTGGATCTTCACTCACCCGGAGGAGGAGGAGACTGACGCCCTCTCAGACATGGCGGACACAGAGCCCAATGACAACGCTTTCTCAAACTCAAACTCACACAGTGACTCCACGCTGTCCCAAGACAGAGACTCGTCGGGCCCGCGGGTCAAAGACGGACCAGGACGTGAGTGACTCTGCGTGACTTAACGTCAATGATGATAACTTTAGACTTTCTTTAGTCTTGAAACTTTTCTGTTATCAAAGGTTTACTTTTAATTACCTTTACTAGTGATCAGTAGAATCACAGGTGAGGTGAGTCTAAAAGCAGAGTGGCAGACAGATTGGGAGTGGATGAGTTTGAAATGACAGCAAAGCTAGAGCACAGTATAAACAAAACAAAACATGAATACATGAATGGTGAAATCAATAGAAGAACTCAAACCGTGTCTGTAACTTTTGTATTTGAAACAGAAGGTCAGCAGAAGCATTTTATGCTTTATTTAACAAAGACCTGTAGCTTTGAGAAATTAACACGTGTTCAGAAAACAAAACAAAAAAATTCACAGTGAGTTTTCTGCCTCCTGCTTTTAATTTCCCTTGGATGTTATGACAGTTCACCGGTTAGCTAACACTCGTCTCCAAGTAATGGTTGCCACCTTTACATAGTGTGTGTGTGCTGCTGCTTGGCCTGCTCTGTCACACCAACTTTAAACACAGCAGCAACAAAAGCCATGTTGATGTATGCCAGATGTTTTAATTTAGATATTAGCTAGATATTAATTTAAATATGTTATGAAGGCTGACATTTACTATTTGTTTAGCTGCTTTTATATTATCACACTTAAATACATGTGTTTGTGCCTCCTTTTTCAGGATATGAGCTGTTTGCTTTCATTAGCCACATGGGAGCATCCACCATGTCTGGTCATTATGTTTGTCACATCAAAAAGGAGGGAAGGTGAGTTGTAAACAGCCATTTGTTTACATTGAGTTCATCGTGGTTAAAAACTGACAGCATATTATTGATAGCAATGAGCAACCCCCTGTTAGTCACAAACAAATTGTCCTTTTTTTGTACAATTGTATTTACTAATACCTCTTTTGTCATCAGATTTCTGAATAATGTAGAATTCTAAATTCTTCAAAAACTACTTTTGTCCCATTACATCTTTCCTCATAGAGGAGAAACTTTGAACATATCCATACTTACATTAAAATGTGTAATTTCTGTAAATGTTTTCCTCCTGCAGGTGGGTGATGTTCAACGACCACAAAGTATGTTTGTCAGAAAGGCCTCCAAAAGACTTGGGCTATATCTATTTTTACCATCGACTGTCCAGTGGTTAAAGTAAATTCCCCCCCTCTCACCTCCACCCTGCACCATTTAAAAGAAAACACATTTGTTCACCTGCAGAAGACTGGCAGACAACATTAATAACAACCACAGTGGAAATGATGTAATACAACTTCCTTGACCAGCTGCTCGCCTTACCGTGATGTCATTCAGGATCAACCAGGAACCTTGGTTAAAAAAAAAAAAAGGGAAAGCAATGTGCTCTTTTGTTATGTTACGCTTTGAATGTATATTTAAGTGTTTGTGTTTAAGAAAAGACATTTTCTTGCCAGTGTAGGTGCAGAGGAATGTGTGCAATTTCTACTTCTGGAGTACTCTGCAAACAAAATAATGCCACATATCAAATCACATTGTTCCTTCTCTATGCCTTCAGCTACTGTGCCAGTGTCTTCAAAGTGGTACATTTTATAAATGTATATTGAGATGGGAGTGCTTCACTGCCAGCCCTGAAATGCCCCGAAACTGCATCAACAGAAAACAAATTACTGTGCTGCTGGTGGCTTTGCATTCTGCATTGAAATACAATACAGTGTTTTTCATCTCAAGGATATTTAAAGGACATCCTGAAGTTTAAAGGGGCTATATGTAACTTTTTACATGTATAAATCGTTTTTTATCGCCCATTAATAAGCGAAGGGTTTACTGATGTGAGTAGATGTTCACTGTCTATCTGTGTTGCCTGTATAAAATCTTTCCCCGGGTCGTATTTTCGCGAAAGCTCCAGGAAGTGACATTTTATGCATGTTCTCAACGTCCTCCTCACTCCGCTCTGCTTACAGAGATTAACATACAAACTCATCACACACTCCCGGTCTTCACCTCCACAGCCAGAGGCCGCCTTCCACACACTTCTATCCGCCCTAGGAGCTCTCAAAGGCGGACAAACTCATCACACACTCCTGCTCTCAGCCAGTTCCTGCAGAGACTGTCGTTTGTAGGATGGAGAATGAATACAGACACACAGACTCCTTCACAGACTTTCACATGTGTATGACCACTTACCTCCTCTGTGAACATTATGCCGGTAAATATCTAGTGTTTCGCGGCCGATAATGATGCTAGTTTGTGTACGTACAAGCACGTGAGGGAGAGCAAGCAACAGGTTACTGGTACAGTTCACCTAACAGCCATGAGGTATCGCTACAAACGCAGTGTTTTTGAAAGTTACATATAGCCCCTTTAAAAGTAGTAACGAGATATAAACGACTTATTGTATGCTGAAAGTTTCAGACTGAGCCCAGCGTGAATGGGTGTTAACCTGGTTAAAAAAAACAGTGTTAGTGAATTATGGCTCAAACCTGCCCCAGTTTTACTTTGAGATTGTTTGAGTGTGTCCCTCTTTAAGGCAAAACTTTCTCGGGTGCCCTTGCCGAGTTATCAACATTGAAGTATTTCCCCACTCTGTAAGCACTTTTTTTTGCGTAAAATGAGCTCATAAGGTGCAGTTGAAGTGGTCTTTTTATTCACCAGCTATAAACAAATGAATGTGATATCTTCAACTTCAGTACTGCTGAACCTGAAAATCCTTGAAGTGGCCATTAGTCGATGTAGAGATTACAGTATACAAACATACAACTGATGCCAAATTAAAACTAAGCCTATGTTGAGATCATATCAGTGCACAAACAGAATCCCTTCGTTCTGCAGTGAAATTCTTTGATTCATTGTGAGTTGCAAGATGTTTGCATTGTGTGCAAAACTTGAACTCTCGGCTGCAGCTGTTTCAGATTGGTTCCTTTATCACTTTGACATATTCAGACAATGACTCAAAATTTTGAATGAATGTTTTTGCTGGAGCTGTTGCTGCTTTTTACACGTCACTAGTTATGCACCTGAACTGTTTTCAGGTCTAATGCAATATGACCACCAATATGCACCACAACCATATCTGCTCAGTGCTGCTGTATGATAAAAGCTGAACTGGGATATCTCGTCTATGTGCAGTCTTGACGGATAGACATGCTGCAGTGCTGAATGTACTTCATGGTGCTCACAGCAACTAAAACCTCCTGTTCAGCTTTAATACTCAGAAACCACATTGAATTTAGAACTGGCACCTCGAGTTTTAGTCACTAAACCTCATGCTGGATCACTCAAAGACTCTGTACTCCACTCACTCAGTTGACTCAAAACATGCCCAACAGATAAATCAAACATATCTTGTTTAGTAGTATCTGTGATATCTTTTGTTTTCTTCCTCTGACTGTCAACAATATTTCAGTTTTTCAGCCGTGTTTAGTCTATTAACAACCAAAACAAGGAGTACATGGAACTGGACTTCAATCAGGCTTTTATCTGTTTTATCTCAAACAATCTGCATAGTATAACAAAGTGTTGATATTTTGTTATCGCCACAAACACAATCCCAGTTGTATGAACCTGGCATTTACCGAAACTGTCTTTAACTCAGTAGTGCACTCATGGTTGCAAGGGGAGCTGTGATGAAAAACGACTTCAAGGGTTTTTCTGCAAAATGTGTGTGCAAACTTCGGAGTCATAACTTCTCATATTCAGGGAGAGGACAGACCGTTGACAATAAATACACAATTCTTAAGAGTGTTCGGGTGGGTAATGCATAATCTATCACACATCATCCTGGACAAGATATTAAAGTAAAGTGAATGCCTCTTAAAGATTTCTTTAGAAATAGTCAGAGGATTGTCTCCACCTGTGAGTCTGTATGTCTACAGAATCTTCAAGATGATTTTGCAGAAGAACTCTGTCTTTCAGCGGTGCTCCCCCTTTAATAACAGTGTGCCTACATTTGACTGATCACTACATCTCAACATTTATCATCTTCACATACTACTTGACAAACTGCTGCAGTGTTCATCATCTATGCATCGGGGAAGTCTAAAAAGGTCTCTCTATGCAACTATTTTATTTCTGCCTTTCCTTCTTTAATGTTTTGTATCCTTTGTCGGACCCTGGTCTAAAAAGTGTCTTTCTGATCTTCATCATATGTGGATCAGTGAAAAACCTGTTGTCTTGCTCGATGACGTTAAGTTATAAATGTCCTGAGATATTCTGTGCAATCAGTTGTTATTTCGAGGCACCTTTTGTTCCCCCTGCTCTCCTGATAACGTAATGCTTTTTGTATTTTTTGTCTATTTTGGTTTTGGCTTTCCCTCCAGCTCGGTCTCTATTCATTTTCTCTGCCATGCTAAACCTACCTGTTTAATTTGTCACTAAACAGCTTTTACAATGTCAGCATGTGCACTAGACTTTGGCATTTAGTCATTTGGATTGTACAACTGTTCTTCTGTGAGTTTTATTCTTCTTTACCTTTAACTAAATGTCAAAATGTTCTTCACCTGTTTTTACTCTGTTGCTTTTTTTTTTGCAAAAAAGTTTGTGCAAATTCTGTAGTTTTCATTACATAGCTTTCCTGAAGGGATTATTTTAAGTTGACTTTTGTAATGTACGGTATGCGTTTATCCAAATATAATTTAGGTGTATGTGAATAGAGTAATGACAGTATAGTCAATGGCACTGTTTACTTACCAGAGTTGGAACATTGAATAAACTACACCTTTGTCGAGAGTTGTCTTCTTTACCAATAACCAAAAAAAAAAGAAGTATTTTGTTTCTTTTAGGGGATTAAAGACACAGGAGCGTGGAATATATACCAACAGTTTATTTTAAAAGGTTACTTTCATATTGTATGTTTCAAAGGTGCTAATGCTTTCCTTGTGGTTATACAGGGAGTAATATGCATTACAGTAGGTGTTTCAATAAACAAATTAAAGCATATCATTTCTAGGTTCATTCATCAAAATATCATTTTATTCATACATTTGTGATGCATCGATAAATAAACCAGAACAAACTACACATGTTGAATAAAAGGAGTGAAGACTGAAATGTACACAGCATGTACTGATAACCTTTACGAACCCCAACTGAGGACGCTGTTCATAACATTTTAGAAATACTTTATAGAGCCTGAGCATGATATTAAATGCAAGAGGACTACACTCATCCATAGATCATTATGTGCACATGCCAAAGCACAAAGATATAGGCTACTTGATAAATATATATGCAGCAATAAAGTTTAAAAATCATAAAGCTAAACAAACAGAATAGTGTAGTTAATTGCAGATTTCTTTTCACATCAAAATGTCCCTCCACAATGTGTTTTTTTTATTTAAAATATCTTGTCTCAAAAGCATGAGATTCCTTAAATCCACAGTTAACCAATAAGAATTTTCTCAGTCAAGCTCAAAGGCAGTAAGTTGATTTCCTTTAAATTGATTACCCATCACATAACAGGCTAGATTGAACATATATGACCTGCAGGGAACTCTATTATTATAGAAATGAGGGAAGGATTATTTTAGACACTATATGTTTTATTATGCATTTTATTTTTTGTCAATTGAATATTTGAATTAAACTAAAAAACATTTATCCACATGAGCAACCAGAACTAATGACCTTTTAGAGCTGAAAAAAGATGACATTTAATAACAATGAAAAGATGACTGAAACTTTGTGGAAGTGTTCATAACAATTTATGGAAAATATGTTTAGTTTGAACATTAAAAAGCATGGATTGTATATGTTGGGGTTCTTTAAAAGGTTACGAGTACATTTCTAATGTGTAGAAGTCATAATTACAACATTTCTACAGCATATAACTACAACCAGTTTCTAGCAATGTGCCAGTATTTCTCAGCTCAAGCCTTGCACACTCGCTAGTTCTTTGCAAGAAAAAAGCATCTTGTGTCGAATATATACTGAATACATACATCACTTTTTGTCAAGGTTACAGAATTTTAAAAGTTCATTGTAGAAATATTGCAAGGAAACTTCATGATATAGTTCATTTCTTTAAGTAAGTTGGAGAGAAAGAAAGCACTTCCATGTATTTCATGCATACAAACAAAAAAAGCATTCAAAAAAAATGTAAATCATCTAGCATGCGATCAACCTTGATCTGTTTTTTTTTTTTCCCCAAAGCATGCGTTAAGCTAGGTCAGTTCACCTGAGAGGGTCCAAAAGTAGGAAGGTTCTACAAAAAGAAAACGTCACCAGGCATCCTATTAAAATGCACTGCAGTATGATGTGCACAGTAGAAGTTTGACTGTTAGCTAGCAAGTTAAGATCTCTTTAAAAAAATAAGTTTCTTTTTTTTTTCTTTAACACGACTACAAATGCAAAAAAGCAAAGGCCTACAACCTCATAAGAAACTAGAGTTGATTCAGAAATCACAATTTAAACAGACATCATGTTTGAAATTCTAAAGTTCACTGACTCAAAGGACAGCTGAGAGGAAATGTGTTCATGATGAAAAATGGAGGGAGGCTGGCCCGACGTATAACCTCCAGGTATCTCATACATTTATTACAAACAGGTTGAGTTATGAATTATGGAAAGAAAAGTGGATGTAGGTGTTGGACGTGCTGAGACTCTGTTCTGATACAAATGAAAATGAACGTTTGCTGAACATTTCTCCTCAGAGCGCCTTCACCCAGCAGCGTTAGCACACATACACCATACATGACTGAGGTGGATGTTGTCAATAGAAACAAACACTTTCCTGAAACAGATGAAGCACTGAACATGTACCATAAAATTAAACTATGCTAGCAACTGTGCTATGCTGCACTCAGGCATCAAGATCTGAAATCAGAGGATCACCAACTTTACGTGGATTAATGCACTCTGGAATGTGAATGTCAGTCAACCAAACAGTTTCCGAGATATTTCTGTCTTAACCAAAGTGCTGGATGAACAGACTAACTTTTCCATAAATTGAGCTATGCTCTGGAAATAATATTATTCAGGGTCCAAATGATGAGGAAATACTTAACAGGACTATTGGATATTATTCAAATAACCTCAGCAAAATAAAGTCTCTTAGACAGTGAGTACATTTTCACCTTGCTTTGACGTTGTTTCCTTTGCCATTGTGTGACCACTGTCAGCATGCAGATGGCATGCACATACTTGCTTGTGTCTCAATGGGTTCCTCTGCCTCCATGATCTATTAAACATTATGGATGGCCACAGCAACTCTCTGCAAACTTTTTTTTTTGATGTCTTACTACAGCTTCAGCCTTTATAACTTCATAACCTTTATGTTAGTTGTTCTGTTTCAATCCAATTATTGTAATTGAGAGAAACAGTAACAGTTTTCTTCTCAGTGCATCCAAGGTGAGTTTCTGGGAGAACAAATGCAGCAGACATGTGGAATGTATCAGATGGCAAAGTTTGATGTACAGTTTGAATTTGGTGGGAGAAATGGAGGCCAAAGACATATTGTTCTACCATGTGGGTATAAAACATGAAGGCTGCAGTTCAGGTGGATGCTTTGTCTGTGTGTGTGTGTGTGTGTGTGTGTGTTTGTATCTGTTTCTCTCTTTTTTTTGTTCCCCAGTTTCCTAATGAAGCACTTCTTCCTATTCAGACCATGGCATCAAAGTGCTACAGTTTGGGAAATGAATGGCTCTTGAACTGGTCTCTGGTTTCCCCTGATAGCATTCTCTCAAAGCACTGAATCACCACTTCTTTTTGGTCTGCTAAGGCAGACAAGACCAAGCTGACAATCTGAATGGCAACATAAAACATGACCTTTTTGCATAGGATCTGAATATAGAAACCCACTTCCTCCAGCACACCCAGGCTGTGGACAACACCTGTCAAACCAGCAAGGTCTTGAGCTATAAAGTACAGCAGATTATCTATCCTTTACTTGACTCTGTTGGTGTTCAGTGCACAGAGTGACTAGTGACACAGAAGAGGGTATTTGCCAAAAAGTGTGTTATAAGAAAATAACTTTGCTTCTGAGGTTTTGCAACAACAACAAAAACATCTTCTGAAAGAAATGTCTCCTTACAAACATGTTTTTTGGTTGCAGGATAACTAAATGTTTTCTATAATCATTATGTAAATTAAAGTTCGCAGACGGTGGCGCAAAAACATTTCAAATATGTGCAGCATCCTGCTCAAGCTTACACAAATATTTAAATCATGCATGATGGCTGAGGCAAACTGATTTAATTAAATGTGTGAGCTTCCCTGCCCGCAGAGCCGCAGCGAAGATACAAATGACTGCATTAGGAAATATCCAAAGCTCTTTAAGGTCTTGGCTTGCAGCTACACATTTATTTTTACCTGTAATGCTATTAAGCTGTATTGAATTCTGTTAGGAAAATGAGAGAATGATGTATAGGCTACTAAAGCCATCCTAAGCGGACAGAGATATTTTTAGACCTGTCAAACTTTCTTTCATCAGAGAGAACTCTGAAAGTTTTCACACAAATGAAGGTTTGACAGATCAGTGTTGCCCAGATTTTCTGTATTTCTCCTGACAGTCAGCATAAAGGGAACAAACAAAAGCCAGGAGCCAAGACTGAAAAAATAAATAAAAATAAATGGCTCAGACAGCTTTCAAGTTCAAAAGACGACAGTTATTTAAAGAAATCAAAATCAGTCTGAACATGGCTTAGTGTTACTGTGTTGCAATAAAAATAGTATAAATAAATATTGTTGTTCGCATGCATTAGAGTAAGGCTTTACAACCTGGCTTGCACATTCCACTTGGGTTGAGGAAGTTATCTGTTTGTCTGAAGTGCAAAGGGAAAACTTCTCAAAGTATGTTAATTTTTTAACAAGGATCCATTTATGAAAATGCTTTTCATGCAGTATCATTGTCTGTTGAAAGAGGATGAAAACAAGCCAGGAATTGAATCTGGAGTTCCAGGTCATATGGTGCAGTCTTTATCACTTGCTCACTAAATCCATCCTTCAGGAGGGTGAGACAGTCTCGAGTCTTTGAAAGTAATTGGATAACGAAACCTTTTTTTTTTTTCCTCGAGACCTCCTCTTTTCTCTGCAAAGCAGCAAGTGAAGGTTCCTCTGTGAGACTCTGCTGGAACTGTCTGTCTGCACGTCTCCACTGGCTTAGCTCTGTTCCACTGGATGAGTCAGTTTTTAATTGATGTGTTCTCTAAGGCATTGCTCATACAATCTTTGCCCGTCCTTGTGCTCTTCAGGGAAATCACAAATTGCAGTGCAAATCCATCACAAAGCAGTCACTACTTGGAAGAACCTGTCCTCAGACCTGCTCCAAGGTACTTGAGACAAAAATATAACAACTTTGACGTCTGTAGTTAACTTTGACATGCATAAAAATCACACTCTTGTCTGTAACACCAGTTTTGATCCATTCTGATGTGTGCACTTTGGTCTTTGGCTGAAATCAAGAAGTGAGGATGAGCTGCTACTGTTAGTACCACCCACTCCTCAGATGTCTAAATTGAAGGCTCGCATGAGAAGATCCAGGTCACCAATATTTGCAGCCTGGAAGAGCTCGGGCTGGTCCATCATGGATAAAGCTATCCTCAGAGCAGCCCAGATGTTTCCAGACATCACCTGGTGGTTCTGCTGGCGACTCCCGCTTTTCCTCTGAAGGCTTAAGGCTGTCAGGAAGTTACTGGCTGCCTCTCTGTGGAAGCAAAAATTAGAATGAATTAACAGTTTAACTTTTTAGATAGACAAACATCAGGGCTGTTTTTAGCCACGACAGAAATCATTACAAAATATTAATTTCAGACCTAATTGGTGCTGTTTTGAAGACCCTGTTTTGTAATTTATTTTGAAGAAAAGACAATTTTACTGTAAATATCACTTGAATGCCCCTTGCTCCACCAGGTGTTGGCGATATGGACAGAACCAAGTCAGACTTAGGAATGGGGAAGGATGAAATATATAGATATATTTTTTCTCTTGGTATTTTGCCTACAACCTAACCTGAAAATGTAAATGTATAAATATTGTATATTTAAATGCCTTAAGGAAGAAGACTGATGTAAATGACATTTTAATAACTTAATTCGTGTTTACTTTTCCCCTTCTATTAGGAATATGGTTTGACTTGGAAGTAGGCTATTTAAAGCGTTTGATCCACATACAGTAGTCTCCATACCTGTTGGCATGGGACCCCCCCCCCCCTTTCATGTATGTTTTTCTTGTTTTGTATGCAATTGATTATGCTAAACAGTCAAGCAGAGTTATGTAACTAGGCCTGGTTCCTGGACTATTAACGTCTTGAACAACAGGTTTTAAAAACGGTGCCAACACAAAACTCAGACATAAATAATAGTGAACAATGGAGTCGTGGTTTGCGGATAATTAGGAGACGTTTACATCTGTGAAATAAACTTTGTCGGCTTCATAGTCACAATGTTGAGCAAAACTAATTTAACAAGCCAGCAAGCAAGCTAGCTCAGACGGCTACTGCCTCTGAGAATTGTTACCTCGGTGGCTAGAAGTAATTATCACTAATGCTGTAAGTAGTGTCGATAGGCCATCAGACAGGACTAACTTTCATAGGCTGCACAATGACCATTCCAACACGTGCAGGACACCCATAGACTGTGATAAATAAATAAATAAATTATAAATGATAATAATAAATATTACAGGACACCTTTATCTTTCCCACGTGCACAAGCGAGATGACACAGTGACCGAACAAGCACACTTACCCTACGAAACACCAAAACTCGGATTAAATACAAGTAGCCAATTAACTAGCCTTAATAACAACCGTCAGCTACATATTGTTTGCAATGTGCTGCATTATTACACCATTAAAGCAATTCCAAAGAAGCGTGAAGCTAGCTTTGGGTTTAAATCTAGCCTGTAAAGTTTGAAAGATTTAGATGTCGGTTTCGGCTCAGCAGCCGAAATAAAGCCATGTCATCCGGAGAAGCTGAGGTAAAGCACCATCAGACGACATGTTTTTACCTTTGGTCATGCCAGCTTTAATGCTAAACCGTCATGTCAACCAAACCCTGATGCTACTTTTTGTCCTTGTTGTGTCCAGACTGAAGCAACTCCTCCATTACTGTGATGAACTCTCCTTAAGGTGCAGACAGTCCCTGCTTCTCTTCACCAATTCAAGTGTTTGTGTCCTGTTCTAGATAATGTTCTGTAAAGATTGCATTTGTGTGCTTGGTTGCTGTGGTAGCTCTCTGTTTTTTCCACATTGTCTCAGAGTCTTCCCGCTCCTTGCCTAACATGTTATCATCGACTATACTTTCTGGTTGTATGTGACATAATGTGTTAACTATGATTGCTGATATTGGGTAAATAGTTTTGGGCAAAATGTTTTCAATTGACACATGATATATGTAAACACACAAATTATTGATTCATTTTTTTTAAAATGATGACTATCATGTGAAGTAATTTATTGCAATAACAACACACTGCATGCTTTGCTCCATATTACACTGAATAATAATTCATAAAGACATGTTGCCTATACACTCAAACTTTGTGATTTTTTTAATGAGAGTTCTTCAATCAGACAATCGACCGAATATGAATAATATTCACTATGGGGAATAACAAGTTTTTATTTTCTGTTATTGCACAAATCAAAAGAGTAGTGATATGATGATAGGAGGATTTGTGGGTGAGGGAAGCTAGTTTTACTGCTGCTCTAATTTGAATATGTGTGTGTTTTTTTACTGCACATTAAGAAGGACTAAGCCATCTGCTGCATAAAAGCTGTATTTTTCAGTTTACATATATTCTTTTTTATCTCACCTCAAAGAGCAGCTGGTACCAGACGTTCATAAACAATTTCACATAGTTTTAGATGTTTGGCTGGTATCTGCTTCATAATCCTCCCTCTCGATGGACTGTTTGCTCGTGGTTAGAGGTGAAATCAAAGCATATCGATAACAAATATTAGCTCTAACCAGGTCACTCACCGGTGAGCTCCGAGGTTAATACAGCTGATTCCCAGGTTGTAGCGAGACCTGATAAATCCTGGCTGTAGCTTCAGGGCTCGTGTGTACGCCTCCACGGCCTCCTCACTCCGGTCCCCATTTGCAAGCGTGGCTCCAAGGCGATTCCACAACAAGTAGTCCTGGATGGAGGGCGAGTGGTGGGGTTAGTAGTGGAATGTCAGAAAGGTGATATGAAATATGTGTATTAGTGCAGCTTACTGCCAGGTGAGTTGTCAGCCTTGAGGCTTGCATTTATTTATTTCTGTATGTATTAATGAAAAGGTAGCTTACTGTTTTTAAAAAAGAAAGCGCAGGTGGAATAGAGTTAAATAACCTGCTACACAACACTCAGCCTTTTATCTGCAGTGAAATCATGACAGTGTAATAGAGCTAAAAATGTGTCCTTTATCAATGCACAAATACCAAGAGAGTTCTCATATATTACACAGCCCAGTGTTTTTTGAGTAACCTAACAATGGTAGTTTAAGGGGAGCTGACATACATCACACAAGGTGTCCTTGTCGTTGTTCCCCACCTGCAGGGGGACAGGCGAATACAGAGGTCATGGTCTGCTACAGTATAGGGGTCCTTCATCTTTGGCTAAGCCAGCCAGCGGGATATAATTATCTCCCTTTGTGTTCAGAGCTAGTTTTCCAGCAGGGGAGCCCATATTACCAAGTCAAATTTGGGAGGATGGATTTAACACTGAGTAATACTCCTTCCGGCCTGGGACGATTTTTGGAGGACAGAGACTGATTTGCATGAAGGGGAAGCAGAGATGGAGGAAAAGTTGGTGCTTGTAAACGCATTTGCCAGTTTGTTTTGTTCCATGCTTGCATATCAGCTTGAAACGTGTCAGTCTGTTTTCTTTTTGTATGTGGGTGAGCTCTGCTTTGCTATAGATCTTGTTCTGCTCTGAAGCTGCATAATCAGTGACAGCGTATGTGTGCCAGTCAAGAGTTCACAAGGCCAGATTCAGCAGCTCCTTGCTTCACATATTGCTGTGACAGTCGTGTGCTTCACTGCCTCTGTTTGCATGAGCTGTCCCTTGTTGTTTGCGGAGCCATCAAAGATGTGTTCAAGCTTGAGGGCTTCATGCCTACTATGTGTGTTGGCATAAGAGCATGTTGTGTGTGACGATTATGTGTGGCCTTTAAGAATGTGAGTGTTTCTATAGCAGATCTTAGGCACTGGATTTAGAGAATCAATCAACGCAGAGTAATCAATATTATATATGTGTGCTCTTACAATATCATATGTCGTATAATATCATATGTCGTATTAAAGTTCTTTTAGGTGGTAAACTGTATTTTACAGTATAATTTACATGACGGTTTTATGAAAGCAGCACATACAGTAACAGTATGGCAGCTTTCAGTAGCAATTCCCGCTTCCTTATGTAGCTGTCTTTGACGTAACATCCGGTATTTCCGACAGCAACGATAAAAATTTTGTCTGTCATGGCAGCTCATCATGGCAACTGCCTGGGCAAGACACGTCCAGTTACAACTATAAAATTACAGATTTCTCTGTCTTTGATATCTGTTGGAAATATTTGAGCTAATGTAAGTACTCAACAAAAAATGATAACATGGGTTTAGTCACATTTTAATAAATGTAGATATTTTTATTTAAACATTGTCATAAAATTCTACATATTGTACGCAAAAACTAATAATTGGACAGTTGCCCAAGAAGACTGGAAAAGATGTGAAAGGATAAAACACCTGATACAACATCCCAGTTAATTAGGTCAACTGGCAACAGGTTGGTAACATGATTGTGCGTGCGAAAAGAATCCCAGAGAGGCGGAGCCTTTTGGAAATAAAGACAAGGAAGGGTTCAGCACTCTGTGGAAAAGTGAACTGGAATATAGTGCAACAGTTGAAAAATGCTTTTTAACATAAAATTGCAAATAATCTGGGAATTTTACTGTCTACAGTAAATAATAACTAAAGATTTAGAGTATCTGAAGAGATCTCGTCACACAAGGGACAAGGCAGAAAACCTGTTTTTGGTTGCTGTGATCTTTTGGCTCTGCACTTAAAATGGATATAGTTCTATAGTAGACATATGGGCACAGGAACACCTCTAAAAACCAGTCTGTGAAAAAGTGTTGCACAGTATACCATAATTTCTCTACTTTTTATTCAAAATGTAATAGAATTTTCCAGATGTTCAGTACTATTTGTAGGTCAAATGTGGTCCCGGTTTAAGTCACTGAGAGAGGATGATTGAGATTGAGAGAATTAAAAATCATTATCTGTATCTCCACTAGGGGGCAGTATGAGCAATGCAGTGATGCACCAGTCATTCATTCCTGTTTACAGCGTGAGCCTTAGCCACAAGAGAGAGCATTGCCTCTGTCTCAACATGTCCACTACCAACAACACAGCAAGTGATCTACAGAAAGAATACCTTGGCGTTCTGAACTTCTAAACACAACGGGCTACCATGTTCTACCTTCCCTGCAGAGCTGACGCTTATGGCGAACCTACTGACTTATTGTAACTATATGCTAAAGGCTCAAGAAAACAGTGTCGTACCAACAAGCAAACACTTCAAACCTCACCAAGCACCTCAGTGACAGAAACTCGGACCGCTCCATGAGGTACAAGGCAAGTTAGCATATAAGCTATCTGGCTAGCCGGCTTGTAGGATGGTGATGAGCTGCTAAATTATGTAACACATGATATTTAACGTAAGCGTATCGTGTCGGTATCATCCCCAACCTTCATCGAACATAGTCATGACAAGCAAATTAGAACATGTGACTTCCAAAACGACAATTGTATTAACACACTGTTTTTTGGGGTCTCCTTTGTGTGGTTATTAAAACAGTTGAAGATCTCAATAGCATAAGGAAACCGTATCAGATCAAAACCGTGCCACCTTCTCTGGGCCGGAGATCAGTTTGACTCGGCTGAAATGGAAAGCTGTCCTGTGGTCTGACGGGTCAAAATCTAAAATTCTGTAGGGATTGTTATCAGTGTAATCCAGCCAGCGTGATATGTGGGATGTTGGAGATATCGCTGTAGCATCTTTTCCAGGGTAGGATTTGCTTATTTCAGCAATACGATGCCAAACCACAATCTGCACGTATTACAATAGCATGGCTAAAAGAGTCTGGATGCTAAATTGGCCTGCCTACCACTTTCCCCCCGTTCAAAGTATTTGGAGCATTATGAAACGTAAAATACGACAAATGAGACCCTGAACTATTGAACAGCTAATCCTACATGAAGCAGGAATGTTAGAGTATTCCACTTTAAAAGTTACAGAAACTGGTCTCCTTAATTTACAAACGCTTAGAGTGCAGATGTGATGCAACATGCAACAGAGATGCAAATATATGTATACTTTTTTTTTTTCTTTTTTTTTAAACATGTTGCTGGCATCAAATTAAAAATGTACATATAATCTTAATCCCAAAACAATGACATTTTAAATTAAGTTAAATTCATACTATTGGTACTATTATAGACTTTTGGGAGAATTGACCCTTTAGTGACCTATGACACCAATAACATCCTTTTTTCTGTAACTTTTTTTTATTTTAACACTGTAATACCTATTGGAAAATATAAGGCAGTTAAAAATCTTCACTATATGTGGATATTTGGTTTGTCACTGGGTGTCAGAGGAATACTTAATGCTTGTCCTGTAAGTGATGAAAAAAGGGTTTAAATTGACAGATAAGATTAATTGTGCCTGCAGAGTATCTCTGCCTGTGAGAAGTGCAGTGTGAACTGCAGCTTCACTCTGTCTTATGTGCCTGGTTATTTGTGTGTGTGGTGTTCCTACCTCGGGCCGCACTGATAGCGCTGTATTAAAGGCCTCCACAGCTTTGTTGAACTCTCCGCTGAGGTTGTAGAGCACCCCAAGGCCCGTCTGTAAATCCGGGTCGATGCTGTCAGAGTTGTGCTGAACTGCTTCCAGAAAGAGCTCCTTGACCTCGGGTTGCAGGGAGCTGTGGACACACACACAGCAAAGGATTAGTGTGACTTAAGGCTGCTGAGTGAGCGCTCCTAGGATTGCCATGATGTTCTATACTGCATGTTAACTTTTAAACATGGAGTGTCAAGAGAGAGAGTGACAGGAGAGTAAAGGAGAGAGGGAGGGAAGAGACAGAAATGAGAGCAAAGAAAAGTGGAGAGAGGAGAATATAAGGAGAAAAAATATTCTGATTTATGTGCAGTTTCAGTAAGTTAAATTAGTCTCGTGTTCTGTTTGGAATCCTTGTTAGTTCATTAAAATATTAGGTAATACAATATTTTAGTTGTTATTTAATGTAGCTGGTAAGTTGGTATGTTGTTCATTGTTTTACGTCAGTATTCCCCACACATGGACGATACCTGGGCGGGCCGCCAAAGTATATTTCCGACCTGTTTGTATTTCATTTATTTATTCATAAATTGCTGCGTGCACGTGAGAGCGAGAGAGAGAGAGCGCGCAGAAGGACCTCACAGCTCCATGCAACATAACAAAACTCCCATTTAAAAAAAAAAAAACGGCCCTCTCGACTCCTGCGGAGAGATACGACACAGCAAAACCAAGAGTGAAGAATCATATCCTCAGAGAGAGAGAGAGAGAAAGAGAGGGAGAGATAATGTCCACTGTCCCTACACCCCTCTTGTAAATGCACAGATTGAGGTGCCTTGCTCAAATCAAAACTGAAGCCTCTCATGGCTTTGTTTCAATAATGCTAATGTACAGCTACTTGCTGCTGTTTCTGTGCTGAACACCTATAAATAACGGAATATCGAGTGGAACTTTTCAAAATGCGAGACATAGTCGTTGTGTTTGTGTCTGAGCGCGTGCGTGGATAAATTGAGCAGATTAAAGTTGTTGCACAAACTAAATTAATTTAGAGGCAAAAAAACATTTGATATGAATACAAACCTACTACTGAAAAATACCCTAAGATAAGGGTTAAAAAAAAAATAGTTAAGTTTTTTTTACAGTGAAGCAGTGATTTTCACAGGGAGGCAACAATAAGAGGAGATGGTGTGTGTCATACTGTGAGGGTCCATAGCCAAACTTGAACTCAAACTTTCCCCAGTTGTTCATTACACCTTGTTTTGATTTTTATTAACTAAACAAGAAAATGTTTTTGTAATAAAAATAATGAATAATTATGTTTCTATCTTGCTACTTTCTAAATGAAGGTTTTAGGGTTACTAAATTACTTGTAATGTAAGTTTTTATGTGTATTCTATCAAGTAGTTCAAATTCATCTCGACTGCATGAATGCTCAACTTCATGCTTAAAACCTCTGGTTCGTGCGCCTCACTCCCCATACCTCCCCCAGAGGGCCTAGTGTAGATCCACAGTTTGAGAACCAATGCACTAGAGTGAAAAATGAAAATGACAGCTAGACAGCTTCTTCTGCCTCAGTAGTCATCCAGTCCTTAGCTTTTGGGTAAAGATAAGATTGCCCTTTTGTTATGTCTCAGTTTCCACCAGGCTGGTCAGCACAAAGGGAGGGAGGTTAAAGAACTAATAGAGGACGGTGAAACAGGAGGAAAGGAGTGAGCAGCTGACATAAAGGATGACACTCCATGGATAACAGGGACAAATATACTGTAATAGTCAATGTTTTCTTTTATTTGGAGAAGACATGAGTCATAAAAATTAGGTTGTTAGGTGTATCAGATGGAACAGGCCTTAAAGGGATATTTCACCCATTTGCTTTAAGCATTGTATCAGTAGCCGTCGCTGGCTGCTGGGGCAGCTAATGCTGTGCATTCTGGGATTTGGTGTCTTTCATCTACATGAACCAAAAAGACACTTTCTGCCTTTTCATGGCCAAGAAGGCACCAACTTCAAAATGTATTTCACATTTCCACTACATATATGACCCAATGTCAATACAGATTCATGTTTCAATGGGTGACGTATCCCTTTAAGATTACACGGACCATCTGACCTCTATAGTAGTAAGAGTAGTAGTTTGACAAGATAGATACACTGCCAGTGAAATTACAGCTTTAGACACCATCTCTTGATGAGGAAACATACAAATTAGTTCTTGCTTCTCCTTACAGAGAACTAGACTAACAATGAAATATGAAAGGCTCGTGAATATCTTTGAGTTTGCAACATAAAAACTCATTATATATCATGTTTTTCAGTACCGGTACTTAATGACTGTGCAGATGGATTTGGGTTCTTCAGTTGTTGCATTCTAACATTTTACTATATACATACAGTATATATATATATTATATATATATATGTCTGTGTATATATACCATATATATGTGTGTGTGTGTCATAGATGAAGGATGATTTTCAGTGTAAATATTGCACCTTTCATGTCTTCCCATGTTAAGAACATGTGACATCCTTCGTTGAGAGTTTGGGGATCCGATCAGTTGTGTCTTTCCCTTCAGCAGGTGTTTGTACTTTGGATTGTGCCGCAGCCAGCGGAGCAGGGCCTCACAGGCATCGTTGCGCATACCCGTGTTGGTCAGGCTCACTGCCAGAGCCATGAGGGCTGGGAGGTTGTTTGGGTGGAGCTCCAAACACCTGGAAATAGACAGAACCCGGGCATGTGAGAGAAGAGGTGTTGGAAGGTGTACACTTCAAAGGGAACTCTTGATTTGACAGGCATTAATTGTGACAGGCCAAAGCAAGGGAACATCAGGCTGAGGCTAATGATTCTGGGTCAGGATGGAGGAGCCGCACCTTTCCCTGCCAGGCCAGGGCTGCATGCTGTCCTCAGCACCAGAGTTCGCTTATTTGCATTAGGTTTGCATGAAGGAAAAAAGTGCCATGGCTGATTGAGCCACAACTCCAGGAGGAACATTGCTTGTACTAAGTGCTAAAGTTATATCACCGGTTATATCACTGGGGCTAATGCTGCTAAGTTCCACGCTGGCCTTTGTAATTGAAATGGGGAGAAGAGCAGCACTGTGTCAGAGGAAACAACTCGGATTAGTTAACAGACTGGAGGAGAGGCCAGGAAAAGATTTAGCTTTCATCAAGATGATTTTCAAGCCAGATTTCCTACGACTGACTTCCTTTAAACCCTCATAATCTCAGTCAGACCAAATTATTTCAGGCCACTACTGCAGTGTGCTGAAGGTGAAGATTACATAAACTTTACTTAAGGACACCCGCATCTAAAGTGTTCTTTGTTGAAGATGTTTTGCTTCCCATGAGTACAAGGTGTAAAAGTGGGAGGACAAATATAATTTATTTATAAAAAACCCTAATCCAGACTGACCATCCAGCTATGCTTTACATGAGAAGACTCAGACTTCTTCTTGTAAAGAATTGGAATGTTGGCCCCTTAAATAACACCATTATAGGACCCCAAATCTGTGAAATTGCCTCATCAATTATTTACACATCTCATAAAATATTTAAGATTTTTAAAGTTGCAGTGGCAGAGCTCCCAGTCGAAAGACAGAAAATTGAAATTAAAAATGGACATAACAGTGAAAATAAGTGTTTAAGTTCATAATCATAGTTGTCTAATTCTCTGGCATTATTTCCTCTCGTTGTTACAGTTTACACAGAGTTTACATTGAGCTTGCCAACTAAAGTGTTGACACTGTCGCAACAACAGGACAAATGCCAGTTAAACATCTAATCTCACTTCATACACAAACACTCCAAGAGCAGATGGAGCAATTACACAATAAACCATCTCCCATTGAGGAATCTGTTCAGACTCTGGCTCTCTGCAATCACCATCCATGTGGGGAGTCTCTATTTTAAGAATAAATATTGCAGGGTGTTGGCTGGTTTAGTAGACACTTAAAGCAAAAATTATGCTGCTTTCGTTTTTTTTCTATACATTTAAGAACTTTACATAAAAAATGTTGGGTTCACTTGCCAGCTACTGCCAAAAAGTTCATTGGCACCTATCAGGCAAATTTCATAGGGATTAATCTATTTAAAATGATATTTGCACTGAGCCTCATTCGTGCAAACATAGATTGTCCTCGAGCAGGAACAGATGACAGTTTGCAAAGTCCAGGAGTGATTTTTTTATTTTTCTATTTTGTATTAAATGAGAATTTGTTGCAGTTGTTTCACCTTACCGCTGTAGGGAGACGATGGCCGCCTGTTCGTTCTCATTTTCAGCCTGGGTGGTCCCTAACACTTGCCAAGCCTGCAGGGACACCAAACACAGGTAATGATAAACAGCAGGGTATACAACTGGACTCCATAGTCTGTATTCTCCAGGGGTGAAACACAGTAACAGTGACTAAGTTAAGTCTGTCAGACACACTGTGGGATCCTGCACAGAGCAGCATTTCAGACGCATCACTACACAGGAGCTACATTCAAACAATTAGAACAGTGAACAATTTAAAACCATTATGAGGTCAATCAAGGGCAACGTAATCATGACTTAAAATGAATTTTGAATGTTAGGTTGGAGGGTTGTGCTTAGGTGCTCACAGATACACCATTAAATTATTTGCCTGAAAATATATATTCTAGTTTAAAAAGATATCAAACTTATGTGTGGGGTTTATCAGTATCAAGTTTATGAAGGCTTGTGTCCTTTGTTTTATAGACTAAGCAAAATATTTTTCTTGATTGATTGACTAAAAGGTGTGTTGTATTTTGAAATGCAGAAAAATGCCATCAACTGAACTGAATCGGGCTACTTGCTTGTATGACAGCTCTTGTTATCATTTGGCTAATATAAAATAGATTTTTTCTCTTAACTATCCCTGCGCTGCAGTGCTGTTTGCACGTATTTAAATTATCTTATTTGCATTTTCTGTATATGAAGCCCCTTTCCATGCAAATAAGCCTTGCAAAAAACGTCTCATTCACAAACCCCTTTTGCTAACAGCCACGCAGTTGAGGGGAAATGATTACTGTCTGCCGAGCGTTGATGGTAACTATGCTGCAGAAGAAAACTTGCTTAAACTTTCCTCTGATCATGGCAAAATTCCCACCTGTAGACGACCTCAAATCTGTAAATATACCGTAACTTGGACATTATTGACATGACAGCTTTCTTATCCCTGCTATCTTTGCTTCTCTGAACTAGCTCTGTTCATTTTAGAATTGATTCTAAGATTGCACTGGTCACTTATTAGTGACAGTTATTAGTGTGCTGAAGGATTTGGAAACATAATCTAATTTAAATTTTTGTTGTGATTATTTTTTTTAAAGTTCCTTATCGTCAGTATTTAAAAAAAACCCAATAAATTATTCTTTATTATAACCAACACGATATAGATTAAACAAGAACTATTCTTTCCGACAGGCAAGGCCTTCAATCACAGTAGTACAGTATATTGACTGACTTGTAAGCTTGTAATAATTATCATGAAAACATAACAAAGCACTGCCACATACGCATGGTGTATACATTAATATGAAAGTCAGTAACAAATAACACGAGCTAAAGTGCAGATTGCAGGAATCTGTGGTTTTCGATCATTCAAAAGACTAAAAAACCCTGTTTGAACATTAGTATAAATAATTGTAATGATCTCCAGTCGATAACAGTAACACACCACACAGACTACAGTGCAAAATAAGTATGGCATCGCAAGCCACACTGATCCTACTGTATGCTTCTCAGTAGCTTACAGGTTTTTGCTAGGGAAACCAGCATATCGACTTTTGCTGGCCGTATGGACGAGTGAGTGCAAGACACGGCACATAGGGCAGGTACACAAAGATTCTTGAGGGCAAATTTTGCAGAGTCGTGGAAAGTTGATCTTGTGCACCTTCCACAAGGGCAAGGGATCCTCTTCTCCATCAGTGGCAGGGTTCATCCGGTAACTGTTTAACTCTGCCTCTGCAACATTTTCCAAGTTGCATATAGGCAAAGCAGGAGAGGACACACTGGTCTCGAAAAGCTGCCAAGAGACTTCTTCGCCTTTACGATGCAACATTCAAAGGCTTCTAGGTGTGTCATTTGTCATCGAGGAATGCCAGGAACTTGGTTTCAATCGCTCTAGTAAGGTCAGCTGACAATACCTGGGATACAGCTTTGGCCGGTTCCATCACTTTGGCAATCATGATTTCTTTGGATCCCCATTTTGTTGGGCCCTCACTTTGAGGGTGTGCTCAGGAAGTTTGAGCTCCCTCTGTGCCTCCATCATTGCTGCCTTCTAACTGTGGGAGAAGTGCCCACCAGCTTCTTGAACAGGCTTTTTGCTATTGACACTTGTCATCTATGAGTGCATTTCCTGAAAGAAATAAAAATAAAAATGGTGTAGTCCCTACAATTGGAGTTGTGTGTTAAAAGGCTATCACCATTACACACACACCGACATTCTCTCTCTCACTCACTCTGCTACTCACACTCTCAACTCACAAACACTCGCACATGCACACACACATTCTCACATACAATAGCGAGATGTAATCGGTTCCCCTAAACCCTGGAGCCTGGTCCATTCATTGAGCTGCGCTGCCATTTGATGCTTTGTCCGTTGTTATGCAGACATGGTTCTTTTCATGGAGATCCCTGCTGGCATGCCCCTCTCTCAGGCTGCATGTAATGTTTTCCCCTCTGTGGTCGTCTCGTAAGTTGGCAGCTTTGAGGTGGAAGTCTTCTTCAATGAAATGCACCACAAGTTAGAGCTCTGCTGTACAGCCTGACCACATGTCAGTTGTAGTAGCGAAAACTATATGTGCAGGAGGGCACGCTGTACCGTTTATCCAGTGTAGTTATCCAAGCTGTAAACCCAGTCTTGGTCGCCGTAGGGATTACATCTTTCCCTATGAACTCTCTTATTGCCTGAGTGACATCCCTGTCCTGTTTTGAATCAAATTCATAAGGAGTTATGCTTTCGAACATTTTGGTCCGTGTCTCTGTCAGGTGGTATTTGGCTGGATTGGCACACTGGTGGGCATTTTTGTGGTCTTTTTTCAAAGTGCTGATACAGGTTAGTATGAGCTGTATCACTGCCAGGTTCTGCCAAGCTTGAGGTGATTGCACAGCAGGGCAATGTGTAGTGTGTTAAGTTGTTGCTTCCTCTTTTAGCAGACTGCTATACTCTCGCTCGCATGTCATGTGACCAGTAAGTAATCGCAGCCTTAACGGTTAGAAAATCGTATAATATAGTGCATTTAATCGTTTAATCGCCCTTCTTATGAGCCACCTTGCAACCTTAGATTCTCGTTCTTCCAAATTTGAGGCTTAAATCTAAAGGATTAAGCCTCAACTTTTCATTCAGACTCACCAGTTACGCTAGTGTCTGTTACAGACTGACACGAGAGAGGGACAGCGATGTCAACCCATCACTAAGTTTTCATTAAGTATTGAACTGAGTGTTTGCTGTGATTGACACACATGATGAGGATACCTGAGAACACATACACCACCTTACACTTACACATGAGTGATAATCGAGATTAAACATTTTAAATGGGTCTATAGCATCATTTGGGGAAAATCCTCATTATGCCTAGTATTACTGTTAACAGTTGGTATATGTTCATTGTTTCCAGTACTAGCATTGTGAGCAGGTTGGTAATTTAAATAATTAAGTAATTCAAATTCAAATCCTGAACTAATCACAATACCATTTTGTTGCTTAGGTATCAATACAGGTGACATTGTTTAATTTGTACTAGTTTCATATCAACATTTACAAATCCGGTATTGAGAAAACAGACATTTTGAATTGAATAGTTTTGACTTAATCACACAACTAAATTTATTTCTCTGCTACTATTAATTTGACGGTAAATAATGTAGATTTTAGCAAGTAGTGCGATACACATCTTATCGTGATAAGATCATCGTGTATCGCATTGTAAGGTGTTGCCAATGCACAGTTGCACAAACACTTTGCCCACACATGTGGCAATGCTCTTGATGAGACTTACTCAATTTGATGAGCTACTCTCTCTGGCTCACACCAGGAAAGAAGCTTTGTTAAAAATGGAGAAACTCATATCGGATCTGTTGAGACTTGCCTTCAAAATAAGTGGATAAAAATGATCCACTCCCCAATAAGCCCGCCATGAGAGTGCAAAGTGCAGCTCTGCAGTAAATATAATATAATCCACCGCACACTCAAAATGACTTCACTCTGACTTAATTGTAAACACAGTGTAGTCATTTTCAGTGTGTGGCGGATTATTAATTAATTTTCTCATTGTATAATCCTGTAACTGAGTGGCACCTGAGCATAGTTTGGTGGGGCATGAGGAACCCGGTTGGTTTCTATTATTTTTAGAGTTTTTTTCTCAAACTCCATTTAATTGATTAGTTGATTCATGAAGGTACTTGATCATTAATTTTCTCTCAATCAAATGATTTATAAATTGATCCATATTTGAGATGCTGACATTTTGCATAGTAAACCTTTAGAGTGTCTCTGTGAGAAGCATTGTGTTTGTGCATCGGTTTGACTACAGGGAGATAAACAAGAAGATACATTTGATCAGCACAAGAGGGCAGACATTGATAAAGTTCTAACCCCAAAACAAAAATGTGAGATTAAGAGATTAGGTTTTTTTGTATCTAAACACCTAATAACCTGTTCTAAAGCTTATCTGTGGAGATGCTTTTTGTCCTATTCTTTGGAAAGAGGGTCAAAATTATTTCTGAATGGCTCCGAGGTCTTCAGAGTGGGCCATAAGCCACTAAGCACTGTAGGAGGAATTTGGGAATCGTATTAGTTCCATACACCGCAGGATAATCCTCTCCTCGGAATAACTGGCACATTTCTGTATATTCCAGGGGATTCTGGAATTACTTTGTATCAAGGCTTTGCTCTTTCAGCCGAGGTACCTTATTTTGAAACAAGGAGTATTAAAAAAGAGGGAATCGACATTATTTGGCGCAAATGGAAATTCTCATCAAAAGTAAGAACAGATCTTTTTTTTCTTTCTTCCCCAGTAAACTCTTCTTTTAACAAGAACAAAATCCTTTGCCCTCTACAGGCAATCAGCATCCAGCCTGGTACTGCCTGCTAAATCAGCTTCACACCCCCTGTGGTCAGTGAGGCATTCTTCCTCTCCAGCTTTTCTCATCATTTGGGGGAGTTACTGGGGTTGGATGTGGGGCTAAAAATCAAACATATTCTTTTACTTGTCGACCTGACTGAAGCAATCTCCATCCCTTTCTGGAAATATATCACCAGCTGTGAAACAAATAGTTTTATGGTTACCTTGCCCGGTGCGTGCGTGCGTGTGTGAATTTAAGAAATTCACCTCTGAATCATGAGGGTCCTGCAGGACAGCAGCTTCCAGCATAAGAACGGCGTTTGGCAAATCTCCCTCTTTGGACTTCTTTTGTCCCTCTTCAAATGCGTTAGGCAAGTCCTTATATGGATTATCTGTGTGGAAGTAGTAACCCTGTCAGCGAAAAAGAAAACAACAACAAAAAATTGGGACAGTGGCAATGTCAGTTTGTCTCCTCTGTATTTATATGCAAACCAGGGCAACTGTCCTATGCGGCTGTGTATTTAAGCAAAGCTCCAGCAGCAGGAATTGATCTTTTCTGTTTCACATCAAACCTTTGCTGGGCTCCCCGGGGTTTGTCTGTTCTCTTTAAATGTTAAACTTTGCATTTTCAGTCTGTTATTACCCTTGTGTGTTGTTGACCGCTTCTAAACGAGATGACTTTGAAATAGCTTTTACTTAAAGAACTAGCTCTGTGCTGGGATCAATAAGAGAGCCCAAATGTTCAATCTTGTATGATTTCCTCATGTATGGAGCAGCTGGAGGGTGAAATAAACTGTTCAGCCATATGCCCAACCTTGGAAAACAACCAAATCTCTCAAAAAATGCTAAACACTTGCATTAGAATAGGATATATTTTTTTATATCCCAAAATGTGTGTTCCTACTTTCTTTATTCACTTAACCAAGGTTAAGAGGCTCAGCCATACAGCAGCTTATACCCTGGCTAAGGTTGCTGCTGATTAACAAAATAAATCAGGTTTACTGCAAAGCTGGAACCAATTCTGCTTCTGTTTCAAGTTTTTACTTTATTTTTAGCATCCAAATTTGTAACTGTGAATAGATACCAATCAATCAATACCACACACCCTCATGCCTTAAGAAAGAAACTATAACCTGGAGGTGATCATTTTCACCTTGCATTAACAACAGATGCAGCCAGCTGAGAGTGCTAGTCATCTCCCTCTATTACATTACAAACCAACTACCTGAACACATCGAGCTTAATAATTAAGATATTATGTCCATGACTTAGCCCACACATATGTTTGTACATCAACAGGGTCACATGGTTTACAGCCACTATGTAGGGTTATTACTTGGGCTGTCAAACGATTAATAATGAATCGCTAAATTTCAATAGTTAATCACATTTTCCTAACAAATTCCATCATTTGGCATTTTAGTTGAAAAGTTAATGAAAAAAGCTAAAGTGGACGGTAAAAAAGTGAAATGTTGTCAAAAGATGGATATTACTTTTGAATCGTCAAACCAGCTGTTCTGGAGTTTATAAAGTAAAACAGATAATTTTGGACCTTAATCACATCCCGATTAACAAGGTTAATGCTGACAGTAGTTAGAACTGGTTGCCTAGCAAATGCACAGGGACAACAAACCTCCAGGAACTTGTTTTTGATCCAATCAGTGCATGGGTTTATGCAAGACATAAATAGTTTGAGTCAGATTTAAACATATTGGTATGCTTACTTAAGAAATTAAATGAGTTCTCTTTTGAAGTAAATTCAAATCCTGAATTTCGTTCCAATAGCCCTTCAAAAAAAAAAAATATATCTATGTATATATATATATAGATATATATAGGCATGCAGTGTTTACTCTATGGATACTCTCAATATCTCTTTCTCAGTGTCATGAAGACGGATTTGTGCACATGCTGATTTAGACATTTTAATTATATTGACCTTCTCATGCGGAGAGACACTGGAGGGAATCTGCGCCTGCTCGTTTTCTGTCAGCCAGTTCCGCCGAGCAAGCTCTTCCCACTCCGCCTGCATCTTATCCCAGAACTCTGTGTCTGACTAAAAAGAGTCAGAAAGAGAGCGAGACACACAGGGAGAGGAGGATATAGGTTATTAGTGCACAGTAGAACAACAGCTCTTGTAATTTCCCATCATCCTTCTGGTTGAAATGTCACTTCTGTCTAACTGTAAGACTCAGCAGCTCTGACTCATTACATTTTCAAGTCAAAGCAGAGCTTAAGCGAACTTTCTGATTCTCATATGTCAAATAAAAAACATCAACTTTAATTGACGTTTCTTCAATGTTCACATGCTAGAAGTGATTTTTAGGAAGATAATTAGTTTTAAAATATTCCTGGTTTTCTTTGATTTTGAGTGATATCTAAAACAGTCTGCAAACAGCCTGTCCTTTGTGAATGATCATCTGAAGGACTCAACTTTTTAAACAAGAATGTGGACAAAGTTCACATTTATTGTTTCAGAAATGAAACTGGATAAAAGTGATTGAAGTACATCTTTCTTAGCCTCACTTAATTAACATCAAGCATCCTCATCCTCCTCATGCGATTCAGCTGCTTTATTCAACAGAGAGCAGGTGAAAATGGATGAAGACGTGTGTTTGTTTTGAAGGTGATTTAATGAACAAACTGCTGATAGTCAGTGAGCAGAGAAGACAAAAATAGTGCAATTAGTTTATCTCAGATAAAAGTTACTTTTGTTGAAAGACACGAGGGTCCAGCTGCTGCAAGTATTAAAGTGAATTTATTGACTTGTGTGAATTAGGATTTAGCATATTTATTTCACATTTATTTAGGTCAAAATTAAATTAAATACACTTTGTTCTTCCAAGTAAAGAATATCAAGGTAACATGAAAATTTGTTATGCTTGTTATGGGTGCGGGGAGACAGACGCCGACACTTTTAATGACAGCTGTCCTGCTCTATCGGACAGGGATCCTTAAATGACTTCTTTCCCTGATTTCCGACTCTATCCACTATCCTATCTCTACAATAAAGGCACAAAAAGCCCAAAAATAAATCTAAAAAAAAAAAAAATTATTAACTTGACCTTCAAGGGGTTGGCAGGATGGGCTGTGGGGGCTGCCCCCTTATATAATGGAAGGGAAACACTGCTCTGCTTTGGAGGGGAACCATACATTTCTTATGACGGGCCAGGGGGGGCCATAATGAAAGATTACCCTTAGAGCCCTATGTTGGCCAGGGGCAGCCTTGCCAACCAACAAACAATGCTGGTAAAGAAAAAGTCAATAACACTTATGAACTTATTTCAAATACTGTTGACCGTTTAAAAAGGGCCTAATGAAGAGGATATGGCCTATTTTGAAATATTCAATCTCAATTATCACTCCTCAGAACCCAGTTGAAGTGTGTGGGGATGTCTGTATCTGCCCTCTGTGGGCAGGGTCAGGTTCTGTAGATCAATGATTGATAACTTTCTGATGTCAACTGACCACAAGCTACCCCTAGCGAACTTCCTGCCCCCAGGGCACCGCCCACAAAATACATCATCACTGTGTATGTAAACACAACCATGATCTATTTAGTGATTATTACTACTTTAATGATTTTTTAAGACAGTATTGATGCTTACAGTCCTTCTCAGTGATGGTCATGGTGCATTATTAGCAATAGCATTAGTAATGCATCATGATCGGAAACAGCTGTAGGCTAGTTAAGAGTCACGGTCATATCAGACCTCTGTAGTTTTTTAGTTTGAATTGTAGTTTTAAAAACACGTAAAAACCTTTTCAATCTTTTTTTTTTCATCTCTGATGCTGAGCTACAATTAGAGCCATCATGAATTTTACTGATACAGGGGATTATGAGCCTTTTATCTCTCTCATTTTCAACAGTGTTTATCTGCTTTAGCCAAGCGGAGTTGAAACGGCATCAGAGTGCATAAAAAAGCGGCATCCAAAACTAACCAAACCACAACCATGCAGTGTTTCCTTTTTTACCATCCACTCATTGCATCCTGTTATTTCCGACCTAAGTACTTTAGAGCTGGTTTAAGGATGTATGGTTTATTTATCATTTATTATGAGAATGTCAACATGCTGACTTTTAACATTTTACCCGAAGAGCTACTGTGAAGTACACCATCACCAAGCTGATAGCATGGCAGACTCTTTTGAATTGGCTCACACACAGAAATGGCTAGGTAACTGAACTGTCCAGTGGATAGACCCTCCCTAATCGGATTTATTCATGACAGCACATGCCCTTGCTCTCAGTTACGTTTTTTTGAGTCTTTTGTGGCAACTGAATTTTTGCACATTCTTTGAGGCAAGGTTTCACTCCAAAGCCAAGTAGTTGAGGTCAGGTTTGGCCCACCCACAATGCAATGCAGATATTCTAACTTAACGATCTGCACATCTATTTCTATCCCTGCACAGGTTCAATTTCTTTGTATAAGTCTATTCTTAATTGCACGATTTAATTTTGAATAATGTAGGGGCTTCTTTAAATCTTTGTTTTGGTTGATATATACATATAGGAGGGGGGACTGCGGTTGTTGTTTAGATGCAACAAATGTTTCATGCATACCTTTGTAAACCCTTTACTAGATGATTTGAATTTCTCTCAGGATCAATAAAGTATCTCTCTATCTATAAAATAAATCAATGATTTTTTCTGGAGGGGCTCGACATTTCAATACAAACTTTGCACAACTTAAATATTATTTATAAGATATTAATTGACGTTTCTTTAATAAGAATTGGCGAGAACTTGGGTCGAGAATAAATATCAGTGATATTTCGGGTGCGTAAGGTTTTTGTGGCCTCCAGGGGCCCCTGAGTGGCTCGGCCCCAGAATGCCTTTCCCCTTTTTTACCCCCTTATGGGCATCAAGTGTTACGTCACCAAACTAGCATGTACCTGAGTGCACCAAGACTTTACAGTTTTGTACATAACTCATGTAGAGGCACAGCTTCTAAAAAAGTACAAACTGTTCTAAGTTAGCCATACCTCTGCTCCTAGCATACAACATTGTCATAACATGTGCAGTTGCTGTCTTTCAAATAGTGAACATTCAAATCAAAGTGTTTATTAAAATTCTATGTAGTATGATACTCTGGAAATACTTGCTTTTTAAAGCTGGATCTCTGTAAAATTGATATTTCTTTTACTATAAAGAATAATAGAAGCAACACTAAAATGTGAGTTTTCCATTTTAGGAACATTTTTGAAAACAGGGCTTTACCTAGATCAAATACACAATTATATCAGCTGATCAGCTAAACCTACCAAGGAATCCAGGTTTTGACAGAGACTATAGAGCACAGAAAGAACTAGTGAATAGGGACTCAAATGTGCAAAAAAAGGGAAATTTGGAAGACTACAGATGTGGTAGATTGAGAGTAAAAAGTATCTTAATGGAAAAAAAACTAATAAAAGAAACTTGAAACTGGTATACATTTACTCAAAGCAAAGTCCTACAGTGAACGTATAAAGCATTTTGATGTCTATCACAGCAGCATCATGGATAATGTAGTCATGTAACAAACAGTCCAGCTGATTAATCTGCTCAGCCCAGCTCTTGTCCTTTTCAGCTCATGAGTGGCTTTTGCTCATCTAAATAATAGAGTAATTGTTATTTCATTATTTCACACTGTGTTGGAGGCTAATATGTGCACTGTGACCAAGTCCATCATCATATTATTCGCGCCTCGACAGTCTGTTGTTTGAGCTGTGAAATCCCATCTGGTAAATAACTTGTCCGCCCCCTAATTGCACTACCGGTTCAACAAATTGCTCACAGAATTGAAATGAAAAAATATATTATTTTTAATTTAAAAGATATTGAGTAATTTCTTTGTAACACTGTGATGGGCGTTTTATACAAGACATTTAATTATGTGGAACAGCAAAGATACAGCATAGTAATTTACATCCTGTACATCACCATAGCTGCAGCTCTAATAGAGAAGCTGATGAAATGTTACGTGAAATGGATTGAATCCTGAGTGCCTTCTGCCGTCAAATCTGTCACCATTGTTTGAAATGAACTGTGGGTCTGGTATTCATTTGTTACCTCATGAATACATTATTAACACATTCAATAATAAAGGTAGTAGATTGCACACTCTGCACTGTTTTTGTATGTCACTTTAAAAAAGGATATATAAATATTTTTCCTCAAGAAATAAGTGTTTTATTAGTCCGCTGGACTTCAGTCAATAATACTGTTATCTTATTTCAGACAATGGAAGTTTAAGATCCCTTACATAGAAGCAGCCTTCCTTTGTTGAATAGGCAACATTTTAAATTCTTGGACTCATACCTCCCCCTTAAGTCAGTTTGACTTGTTTACATAAAACTCAACCTTTGGAGGAAACTAAGCACATGAATATAGTTTGCTTAACCACTTTGCCTCGAGGGGTATCCATCCAAAAAGTCTCATTATTTACCAATGACAGAGCAAAAAAAAAAAAGAGCTCTCATCTCTGGAGCAAGACTGGCTTGGCCTTTTAATGTTAATGAGCTTCACACACACTGCTGCACAGGCCAAGTCCTCGGTCAGTGAGACAGAAATAGGAGACTGGAGTCCCGATAATGTCACTTGGAGATGAATAGAATACATTTCCACAGACAAAGTGCTATGTATGCATTTTGGCCAACAATATGATTACTTGCTAGAGCCTGTGATAACAACACAAAGCTGCTGCGGCAATGGCATTACTTTTACAAATGTGCAGCTCATTATCACAAAGATTTCAGTCAACTTTGAATTTATAAAATCAGCACTGGTCTGATTTGTTTTGTTGCTTGGAAATGTTGCAATGTGACTGTTATTTCACAGGGTAGGTTGCTGTTTTTCCACTAGTTTTTAATGAGTGACCTTCAAAATCCACAAAGAGACATCTGAACAAAGCAAAAGACTTGACACCAATTGATCCGGGGAAATCCCTGCACTAGGGTTGTAAGTACTTTGTGTGTTAAGCATAAATGAAAATGTCACAAACTGAATACAGATTTCTTGTGAGATTGATTAAGTCAACCTCTGTGATCTATTTCATGGAACATTGGACTTCTAATTATTACACTCCCAACATTCTCTTATTTGAGATTTTTCCTTTAACACCCTGAACACAGTCCACTCTGAAGAGGTGCAAAGAGGTTTCAAATCTTGCATTTTTTTAGTCAAGTTAATTTTGACTAAAGTCGCTTTCATCCTCCATGCTGCGATTCACTTGGGTAGATCTGAACACAGAATCAGAACATGGGGCAAAGGACGATATCCTGTCAGTTATTCTAAAGAGGTTTATTGTGGGATTGATGGAGATTTATCATCATATTGTAAAATCAATGTACTTTGCTAAATCCCTGTGAAAACGGTCAAATGCTGATATTTCATTGTGTGTGGTTACTTTGAATAAAACAGTGCCTCAACTTTTCTCCTCTCACTTTTATCATGTCTGCATTTATCACTCAGGCTTTAGATGGTGGTTACGGTGACAACAATCATCGGCTTTAAAATTAGTCAAACACCTCTGTTATACAGTGCTGTGCTCGGTCCAGAAATTGAAGATATAGTCCCCAAATGCATGCTCACCTATTTGTTGTTTCAGATAACACACGCGTCCACTAATTGAATGGTTTGTATGTTGTTTGTTACATTGCCAAAGTTGATTTGACAAAAAACCTTATTCTGTAGATTACAGCAATCTTGTTTTAACAGAAGGATTTATGTTTTGTGTTTGTAATGCTGATATGATAAAGTAGTCCGGGGTCTATGTAATCAGATTTTGAAAAGCACTTTCTAAATGAAAAGACACTTCCGGTTTATCATACTGCTTGTATTAATGTTATTGGATTTGTTGCAATGTGATAAGTTTAAGTATGGAGAAGCATTGTGATCGCAAAGTTGACTGAAATCAGTCAGAGTTCTATCTCCTGGACCGCTGCCTTTTCATTGTTCGTTTTAAAAAACCGACAGTTTCTCATCAGTGCCTGCTTTGTTAAATGAATTATATTTTGGAGCCCATTTCCTCCTCCCTCTATTGGTCCTAATTTTTTTACATTTGGCTGCTTCATCTATAATTGAATGAATTTGCAAAAAGGCGCTGTGCTGATTTAAATGATCTCTCTGCCATCTGAGCCATCTCTACCTCCATGTCTTTGTAAGTATAAAAGAGCGTGCATATGCTCAGCTACTTAGATGGGGAATTATCTGATTGTGAGCTTTGACATTGGCAGCCAAAGCTGAAATGACCGACCACATGCATCAGAGCTCCTCTAGAGTGGAGGCCAGCACTCAGGCTGCACGATCAAAGCTTCGAGATACAGTTACAAATCGATGCTCTATGCTTGGATGATTGACCAGGGAACATCTCATATCGGGCGAGGGCATGCTCTCAAACTGCACAAATATTTGGAAGGATGCTGCTTACACAACATGTGACATCACTGCTTACTTTGGGGAGGGATCCCCAAACAGACAGCCCTCTCCTCTACAGCTGTGCTTCTCATTTTCAAAGCGTCTTACTGTCTCTGCCCTATTATTTATTGACCATTACCCATAACTCTGTGTGCAACAGTCTACTATAGCTCTCAGCAGAGCTGAGTTATTCCAATAGTGCAGGGCTTGCCCCCCTTTTCTGAGAAGGGAGAGGTTCATAGAGTGGTAGAGTGCAAGTAAAAAAAAATAATCTTTGCTGGTTATCTAGAGTCCTGTATAGCAGAGAAACAGCTTTTTTAGACACGCTGTTAGTTGTTGTGATGTAACCTTTAAAAAATATCTTACTCTGAAAGAAAAGCTTCAAAGTATTCAATCCATCTGCAAGATGCCAGAAGAAAACTGTGTAAATGTTGAAGGAAATATTTTTTTCCTCATCAGTGGATCAAATAGTAACTGAATGTACGACGACATTGAAGAGGGAAAAGTGAAATGGCTTTGAGTTTCAAAGAAAACAATTGTTTGCTGAGATGTAGGATATTTATAAGTAATTATCCATGATGGCTTCATATATTCTTGTGGATACGGTATCTTATTTTCCATGTAATTATTGTCCTTTTACACATCATGTCCCTGATAGCATTGGAACATCAAACATTCTATACAACTCAACAATTGGAGTATATCAATACACAGTCCTATGTAGAATTAAGTCATATGTAATTACTGTAAGTTCTCTGTCCCCTGTGGTATCTGATGTCTGGCCGTATAATGACTGACCTATTTACCTCCCTATTGTTAGCCAGCTGAGAGTCATGAATATTTTTCCTGGGCCAAACACCCTGTGAACTTGAGTGTGCAAATTATAGCATGGACTATTAAACTGTCCACTAACACCACAGGAGTGATTTCATTGCAGGAGGAACAAAAGCCATAGTTTGACAAGGGAATAAAAGGGCTGAAGGAGTCAAATGCAAATCAGTTCCACATGACTTTAGGTGGGTGTATTCAAAACCCTGCAACAATTATGATGCCACATGGGTAGTAGTAGCATTGTAAAAGCAGAACAAAATAGTCTTGGCTTCAGTTCAAAGGATTAAAATTGAAGTCTAAAACATTTAAATTGGAGCATTTTCCAATTAGAAACATGTTCTAAACTAAATTTAGTATCATCTCCGCAACGCAGACTGCATTTAAGATCTACACGTGTCAAATTATTCTGAAGGTTCCAATCTGCTATCCACACTAACCGAGCACCGGTTAACACATCATCAGACCTTCACCCTCTGCCGAGGTTAAGAGCCAGTCATCTGAAGCCTTAATTAAGAAATTAATTGAAATAAATAAAGTAAAAATATTAAAAGGGTTAAAATTTAAAATCTTATTAAAGCTGTTTAATGAAAAGCAACTGTAAACAGGTGTGTCTTCAACCTCGATTTAAAAGAGCTGAGAGTTTCAGCAGACCTGCAGTTTTCTGGGAGTTTGTTCCAGATATAAGGAGCACAGAAACTGAACGCTGCTTCTCCGTGTTTGGTTTTGACTTTGGGGACAGAGAGCAGACCTGTCCCAGACGACCTGAGTGGTCTGGATGGTTTGTAATTAATCAGGAGGTCACTAATGTATTTTGGCCCTAAACCTTTAAGCGCTTCATAAACCAGCAGCAGGATTTTAAAGTCTATTCTCTGACAGACTGGGAGCCAGTGTAAAGACCTCAGAATTGGACTGATGTGATCCATTTTCTTGGTTTTGGTGAGGACTCTAGCAGCAGCGTTCTGGATCAGCTGTAGTTGTTTGACTGATTTTTTAGGCAGACCTGTAAAGACACTGTTACAGTAATCAAGACGACTGAAAATAAAAGCATGGACAAGTTTTTCCAGGTCCTGCTGGGACATAAGTCCTCTAATTCTTGATATGTTCTTCTTCTTCTTCTGTTGTCTCATGTCCTTGGCAGAGAGAACTGATGGTTGAGGCAGGAAGCAAAATAGGTTAGAGGTGAACAGTTTCACCCCTGACATGTTCAGGCAAAATCCATCTGCCTTAAAAAGATGTCTGCGTTCCCAGAAAATGTTAAAATTGTTAATAAAATTCACTGAATGGGCATTACATGCAGTTGTAAGCCAGTTATTCAGTGCCAACAACCTGTTGAATCTCTCCTCTGCTCTTCTGACTGGTGGTATGGAGCTGCTGATAAACACATCCACATGCAAGGGGCTGACCATCCTCAGCAGACCAGTGAAGTCCTGCTTCAAGACTTCTGATTGTTGTTTTGTGACATCATTTGACCCAATGTGCAGTATGACATTCTTCACAGTCGGGAGTGTTCAGCCACAATATGCAGGCTCCTTTCTGCTAAATCAGAAACCATATCTCTGGGAAAACACAGTATTTCTGGTGGTAATGTGTTGTCATTCCCGCACAGTCCGTTCACTTCCACATTCACTTCTGGACGATTCGTCTTTGTCTCCAGCACTGCAATTTTCTGAGGAAGTTTGTGGTAATCGTCCTTGCAGAAGGGAGGCATCTTGTTGCTGATTAGCTTTAGCTGTGTACAGTGTTTCAAAGTACTGCGGCACAGGCTTGTCCTCTTGTCAGGCCACAGTCGTGTAGCGATGCAGAGGTAAACATTTTTTTTAAATATGTCGAAAGACCTCCTGTATCGATCAAAAAATACAGTCCTGAGGAATTGGAAATGTCCACTGCCGGCTATCGATTAAATTAGGTTTAGAAAAAAGATGATATCAGCAAAAGAATGTAAGCAAAGCAGAGAGCAAGAAGAAAAGCTGTCTGCACTGTAAGAAAGCAGTGGGCAGTAATGGGTCAATTTTAGAATAAAGCAAAAACGGGTAGTTTTAGATGGCAGGGCGTCTACTTCCTCTCCCCTGAATCTGACTCAGAAAGTATAACGACTTAATGTCTGCATACTGTGCTACACTGATTGCCACTTTGACCATTATTGTATGCAGAGCTGTGATGTCAATCAAATGTGATTTGCCACACCCACACTTCCTTCAGACATGGTTTAAACAGCAAAGAATACTGTTTTTAAAAAATACATGTTGTGCTTGATAATATGCATTGATATCATAAATGCATTTCCACCATTTCAAGACCCATCTTTAGAAGCCTTAGCCTCTTGCTCAATCTGTTAAAACACTTGACAAAGGACAATGAAGCAAGGAGACAAACTTAAGCTGTTTAATATGTATATGTTCCAAAGTTGGTCTTTCTTGTTCAGTCTTATGAAGAGTCATCTGTAGAGATGCTTCTGAGCTGACAGGTGACAGATGTGAGCTGTGCTTAGTAGCACTCTGCTTACCTCAACAGCAGCTTTGGCTCGCTCAAACTCCTCCTCCAGGGACTGATTCCTGGACAAGAGGGCGCTGCCCAACCGCTGCTCCTTATTTAGGCGAGCCTGTCACACACACACAAACATTTTATTATACAAATTTACTCTTACAAAATCCATTTAACAGCTTACCATTTGCAAACAATATTACAATTATCATAACGCATACACACACACACACACACACACACACACACACACACACACACACACACACACACTCAGCACACACATACACACCTACATAGCAACACATCACACACACATTGTAAGCTTAAGGTTGAGACAGACAGGGAGAGTGTGCAGGGTTAACCATCTCTGCTTTCTCAGGGGCCAGTAAATATCCCTGCCTCGACAAAGCCTCTGACGTGCTTAGGAAGGCCAGCAGAATCACTGATGTCAGCATCTCACCCTACCCCTCATCTGAATGCCACTCTACTCCCCCACCCCCCATACCTCCCCCTTTCCCATGCACCTGCACATGCAAAATCAAACCTGCAAATGCTGATTTGACTTGCACATAAAGCTTCACTCTACTATTCAAATGGAAATTAGTAGTTTATACTCGAGGTTTTGCAAAATAAGCGTATGCCGTAGTTTACATGATTTCAGACTGCATCTGCACAAGATACTGCAAGGGGTAATTAGATTTTCAGATGCACTTCCATGCTCTGATATGTTATGAACCAAGATTTCTGTAAAACAATAAAAACTGTACAGTAGGTAGGGTTAGTGAATCCAGTATAGTCTGAGGATGAGTGGAATCAGTGGCTTCCCCCTGAGGGGCCAGCTAGTACCTGTTAAAACAGACCGCCATAATGCAAGATTAATTGAGGTCACGTAATCTCACTATTAATGGACGAAGAAGTAATTGCCTCATCCATTCAATGTAGATAATCATATTTATTTCCTATTTACACCAACAAAAGGCATGCCGTGTAGAGAAAATCATCTTTGCCGTGGTTTGTGTAGAAACTAAAATTTTCTGTTGTAGTGTATTTAACGGAAAAATCAAACCAAAGACAAACTATAAACAAAACAGGTGTCTAAAAAGTCTTGCATCAACTAAACTAGAGAGTTTTTAAAACCATGATTCAGGATCATTTGACGACTGTATTCACATGTTTTTCTGCTTAAGGCTTCTGATTTGTTGATCAATGTAATATTTGTTTATTGTCTGTCTTTGTTCTATGTCTGAAACTTTCATGCTGCTGTCTTTTCCAGGCCTCTTGAAAAAGAAATAATATATCTCACAAGAATTTTCCTGGTTAGGTAAAGGTAAATTAAATCAAATCAAATTTAGAAATAAATCTTTAAAAATAAAAATCAGGACAATATTCAAGGTTGATGTCAGTCTCAGCCCTCTTTCAAGGGGATGGCACAAGTTTTTCTGCCACACATAAACACATAATTCTCAAAAAGATAAACAAGATTATGATATCCAATGTGTTTAGCTGTTTGTTTATATTCCAAATATAAACTAATATTGTTTAAACAGGCTTTGTTTGTGTGCAGGCAAATTCATGGAGCTAAATGACATGGAAAATAGAAAGTAGGACTTCAACAATTAATCCATAAAATCGATAAAAATTAATTATTATTGTGTGCAAAAAATGTGATTATCCATTCGTTGTGTCGCGCGATTATTAAGTCCCTGGCCATCATGGAACTGTTCACTTCAGAGGCAAAATTTGAGCCGAATGTTGTACAGCACTTTCTTAGCTTAAACTGTGTTCAAATGTGCTTTATAGATAACTTTACTTTCATGTATTACAATGATGGCAATAATTTAATGATTATATTTTTCCATGAGATTTTGGCAGGCTAACAATAGATAATTGATTATGAAAACTCAGACGAAACTAAATTTTGGTTTTCAGAGGAGATGGAAATGTATGTGATAGGCTGTCGGACTTTCAAAATCCATGATATTTTCCACCACTGTGGGTCTTAAGATGTCCCTGAAATACACTGATGACAAGTTTCAACGAGGTAACAATATCCTGGCCAAGCAGTGAGTGACTAAAGTTTGTATGGTATTATAATATCAATAACTTTTGAAGGCTTCCCTTTATAAAGGTGTATGGAAAGCTGTTTGATAGATTAAAAATGTAGTGCTTTTGAGCTAAAATGTATGCCCAGAGTAGTAATAAAAGTTCTCTTACAACACCGTGAAAGTACTCCACTAAAAGTAAAAGTCCTCCATTCAAAGTATATCAGTAATTTCACCAGATGTTAAATGTGAGTGAGGAGAGAGGTAAAGCAAAAATCTTTTACACACATATAGCATATATTTGTTTTTGTTTTTATGTTAGCCCATGGCCTGTTGAATGATGTAGCAAATCCCATTAATTAAGGAAAAAACAGCAGATTAATGAATATTAATCATAATTTGCAGCCCTTATAAACACATAGGATCAGACACCTTTGGTTAAACATTACCCTGTTTGGATGTTTAGAGGTATTACATATTAATGCATTTAGCAATAAAAAAACACCAACAGAGTTCAGACCTTTTTTTAAATAAAACAACATGAACCCAATCAGCTAATGTTGCATGTTAATTATTTGCTCCCCACACTTGCAAGTAACACTTCTAATGTAGGTTGTAGATTCGTGATAACTAATCTAATCCCAGCTATAGCTGGGCATTCTCACATTTAATTGGTTCCTTGTTGTGGTTAATTCCAAGTACCAGCTCAATGGATATTTTTTAACTTGAGAAAAACAATGCTGGGCAGGTCTTCTTTTGCCTGTTTATAGTTGCTAACTATGGTTGGAAAATTGCCGTTCAGGGAGGGCGTTTTATTTTTCTGCAATCCGTAGCCTAACATATTTCCTCTTCATAGAGATGATATTTAATAGTATCACATGAGAGGAAGTGATGTACTCAGTGCTCAACCTCAAGTGTGATATTGCATTTATGCGAAAGATATACAAGCAGAAAATAATAAATACTAAAACTTAACAACAGATTCATTTGAACCGCACCAACCCATATATTTTACCAATTTAACTGAAACTGGACTGTCTACTGCACTCTTGCTACTCTGTCCGTGTCCATGGTTACCACACAACAGTAGTATGAACATTTACTTGTGTGTTAATAATAATGACTTGTATCAAGAAACTGGTGAAGTTAGAGTCTGCTGTGAGATCCTTTTTGAGATTGAAGCTGAATACGTTTGCATGTTTTTGTAGTGTGGGTTTAGTGTAGGCCTATATTAATATGGAGTAACACAAACATCTCTCTTTTTTGCATGCATTTCCTGTGTGGTACCTGGCAAGCAGAAAGCTAAAACCACTCTTCATAAGCTACTATGTAACTCCTGAGCTAAACAAAATGTGTTTAATTTGCCAACAACACCCTCTTATTTGGACAGTTATTCCAAAATCTATTATTTATCAGACTGCTGAATGGTTGATGTATGTTTAGCTACTTTGGTAAGATAAGCTCTAATGGGCCTGATGAATAATTCATTGGCTATTAATCTAATAACGGTGTCTGGAAACAAGATCCCTTATGCAGACCTACACAGAGACATCAACTCGGGGGAAAGCACTTGACATTTGGACCTCATAGCACCACAAAGGAACAATCTTAATGCCAACAGTACATCAGAATTTTCTTATAAGCACTTTTTGGCTTCAATGTTATCTCCTCTTTTTTTTATCGTTTGAGTCAAATTTAATGAGATACAGTGATGCTTTTATTTCTGGTGCAAATGTAAAAGTCTTTCAATACCATATGAAAGGATGCATAGGGAGGCTTACATGTCTTCCACTAATATACTGCCTGTTGAGCTGAAATGGAAGAATTGAATGTGTTAGGAGAAAATGATGGCAAAGAATCACACAACATGGTGTCTCAATTTAAAGAAACGGTAATATCAGGCTTCTTTATCATGCGTTAGTACATGCAGTTACATTAATTCTTTCAGGAAAGTCTTATGAAGGCTTAACCATCAGTCAGAACAATGTTTCTGAGGTGTGTAAAGGTTTCTCCTCAGAAGGATGTTCATTTCAAATACATAGTGATCAGTACTGCCTGCTCCTTTTGTGATGAGCACTTACTTGAGATGCTAGGGCAGCCTCTGGATCCGCTTTGGTATTTACTTCTAGGGAGTTCTTATTCGATGGCTCTAATTGGGATTTACAGTCGATGGACCTAAAGCAGAAGAGAGAGAGAGATGGTTTACATTAAAAGGGAACATTGCACTAAACTTTACGTCTTTTTCTACATACAATATCTAAATATTTCTATATTTGAAATCAGGGCCAACTTGGTAAATTAGAAATTCATCCTTAAAATAAATCCAAGAGAACCTAAACTTTTTACTGTATTCACTTGCCTAAAGGACATGGCTTATCAACAATAAAAACATCCAATTGCATCTGGATACATTGGATGAGCTGCATTTTCACTTTCCCACACCCTGCTGTTGTTATACAACACTGAGCCAATGTTTCTCATTGTATTTTCTGTCAAACTTTGTATTCTCTTTAACAGACCAAGTTGAAAACTTTTATTTTGCCATCCCCCCCTCTGTTCTTATTCCTGATTGTCGTCCTTGTCTGTTTTTTAAATACTTTTTCTTATACCGTCCTTGAATTGTTTCACTTATTCAGACTGGCTTCTCTGGTTGTCTTCATTGCCTGCTCACTTTTCATAAACCTTTAGCTTAGTGTGAATAGCATCACCACTGCATCAGTCGTCTGCATTTGGGTCTTAAGTGAGACTACCTCTGAACGCAACATTATAAGTTTAGTTACAACAATTGGAGAAGTGTTTTTAAACTCAGTGCCCTTTCCCTGCTCAATTTTTTTTTATTTACAACATTGTAACAACACTGTAGAATGTAGGAAAATGCAAAATGTTGCTACCATGTTAAAGCCTGTAAGGAAAATGCCTACCAGAGAAACTCATTGGAGGAGTTTTTTGAAGAACGCCTTCTTTCTAACTTCCATTTCCTGTTGCCATTCCTTTCAGGGTTTGGGTTCAGCTCTTCCCATTTATCCAATGGTGAACCAATCGTCACTTGTGAAAGTAAGCAAATGATAGGAAAATTAAAAAAACATGCTGATTAAGCAAAAGATTCTCATTTGAGGTAAAATATTGCATTTCAAAAATATGTCATCAAATCTATCACTGTGGAGTAAGGTTGGCTGATGGATGATGTAGAAAAAGTCTATTTATTTGTTAATTTGGACAATGTTCATGTGTTCTTGACTATTTGATCTCTGTGGATGTCCTTACAAAAGATGCCCAGAATTCTTTGAAGACATGGACTTTTGCAGATAAATTATGCCAAGTTAATAATAAATCTCATTGTCATGAATTATTCAGTACACCGTACTCAATCTGCATAATGAGTTCTTATTAAAGACTTTAACCTTTTCAATAGGCAAATAAGAAACATATTGGCTGTTTCCTTTTGATTGTCTTTAAAGATAATCCCTATCATTACAGTAAATGGCTTGCTCTTTCTCTGCCTATCGTGAATATTTGTGAGGTTAGTTCCTCTGGGGATGGTGGAGTAAGAGATGTAGGATGTTTCGGGATTACGTCGAAATTGGTTAAATGCAAGACAACGCAGTCCAGGGAGATTTTCCAAGAGTTTCAGAATTCTCCTAATACAGTTGCTGGATTTTTAGTGCACACCAAGTTAAGTTATAGTCTGCATCACTGTCCTTTTAGAAGAATACATTTTGCTCATAGACTGAAATGTATTTAAGGTATTTAGAGTCAGTTAGATGTATCGGTACACTATAAAAAAAGTAACAAACCAATTTACAATCTGTCTCTACCTGAATCTATGGACGCCCTCTCAGGGGTTCTCATGCTTGGTCCTGTCTGTTCTATTTCCACCTGGATCAGCTCGGTCTCATCCGTCTTCTTCCTGTGAGCGTTTTTCTTCAGGCTGTTGCCGCGGGACGACAGCGGACTCCTCCTGTTCTTGATGGTTTTCCTATCACCAGGTTCACTCAGATCCAGCAGGTCCAGTGTTGAAGACAGAACTGTGAGGGACATGGCAGTATTTAAGAAGTCCTCTTTTGCATAATTGCAGTACTTCTCACACGAAAATATATTTTGGCCGTCTGCCCAGACTTATAAAGCAGCCAAGGTAGATTTGGCAACCCATTCAAACTATTTTTTTCTGACAAAACACTAAATAAGGTGGAGAATACAGTAGAATCGAAATAATTATAAACCCCACTAGTAATAAATCAATGCACCTCTTCAAACTATACTAACAAATGATGCCTGCTTCTCTTTTTTTTCTTCTTCCTTCTTTTGTTGCCATTATGATCTGCTTTGAAAGGAAAGATTAAATATTAGAATTGTGAGTCATGGTTATCTCAAGGATTTTTTTTGCTTATCCCGAACCTCGATAGCTTTCCTTCTGTGGTTATGTCAAGGTAGTTTTCTTTTCTGTTTCTAAGCATGTGTCATACTCTATGAACTTAGCTGTTCTCTTTGTAACAAAGAGAACAGCTGGCTTTCCTTATTTTACAGCATGAAGCTTTGATTTTGATCTACACTTTTTCTGACAGTGAGAAAGCTGTCAAAGGTACTTAAGATGTCAGGAAATGTTACCTCTAGTTGGACATGTAAGAAATGTGCTGCTTCTCTTTAAATATAGTCTAAATATGCTACTCGCTGCTGCACCGTTGGATGAGGATAAGGCTGCCCCTTGAGGAGATCAAGTTTGGTCAATTAAGTAATTCAATCTCAGGTTGGCTGAGAGGCAAAGGACAGAGCAGTCAGTCGGGGGCTCAACTTTTGTCTGAGCTGTCATCTTGCATTGTGTTAAAAGTAAGCGCTTATTTTTGGGTTTCATTAAAACCAAGGAGTGGATTGTCTGTGTGAGTAATAACTTTTAATTCTTCCTTCTGTTTCCACTAGATATGTTTAATGGCATCAAACCAATAATATACTTCCCCTCCAATTCTGGTTTTAATATTCTCTTTTCTTCTATGATTTAAAAGGTTGTAGTTTTAGTCAGACAATCCTTACATTCTGCATATGTCTTGCTAACATCATCATAATTCAAACTATCTTTTCTCAGTGAAGTGTGTTTTTCTCCAGTGTATCATTAATTGATATGCCTCTAAAGTAAAACAAGTAAAACAAGTTTTAACATTTCTTAAATCCATGATATACACAGAACCAAGTTCCTCATATAATCGTGTTGTTTATGCAAATTTTCCAGGGATATACTTGCTGTCATGTTGCACAATGAGACTCAACACACATGACTGCATATTTGGTGTGTGCTGCTGTTTCATGACAACCAACTGAGATCAATTGTCGACTGAAATCTCTGCGTAATTAGAGCGCATGCTTGTCTTCCATGCCTTGTGCTCTTCAGATGACAACTACAAATCAGGGGAAGCACACTCTTGGGAAGGTTGCCAGAAGAGTTTCAACATCAAAAAGAAACACAAAGTTGTTCATGAAAAGGCAAAAATGTCAAAAATATTTTACCCTGGAGTCTACTGGAAATGATGAAACTGGGTAGATCTGTACTACTACTGTACCAACAAGTACATGTATGATCCAGAAACCTTTGATATAGTATTAATGTAAACTTGATATTTATCAAAGAAGGGGAATAACAAACTAATACTTTGAATTTGAAATGGCTATTGATTTGGTTTTTGCTCTAAAGATTATGTAAAAGCTTGCCACTGTGGATGCTTAGCAAGTTTGTGAAGAGTGATTCCCTTTGCAGCTCTTGCTAGATGAACCTTACATTTTTTGAGTGTTTTCAGTTTTCGGATGAAATAAAAAAGGAACCAATTTTCATTTTTACATGTAAAAGAGCGTTTTCTGTTATTCAAAAAAGTGCTAGTTACTGGTTACACGCTATGATGGACAGTTGCTACTCAGCTGAAGTGTGTTCTTAAGCTTTTGGTCACCCTGACATTTCCAATTAAGTAAACACTTAGATTTCCAATTGTACATACACAAACAACAACTTTTTTAAATAAAGAAGAGACTGTTGTTAAATAGAGTATTATAACCTCAAGTATCAAGTAGTTCTACAGCAAGAATCATGCATCTTAAGGAAACTCCTGTGGCCATTGAGACATCATGTCAGAGCAAAGTGCTGACTAAAGAAGTTTCAGTGCAAGGATTGAGGAGAAGGCCTTTGTATAGGGATACAGTGGTGATCAGAGGCTCTTCTTTAATAAATTAGCTTAAGCATTCAGACAAGTGATGGATAACCTAATCTAAGTGAGAAGGACACATTTTGAGAAGTGTTCTCTCATTTATATTTCTTCTAAGAAAGGAAACCATTGAAACTCTAAACAGCTACCTATTCCTACCTGAGTATATCCAAACCCATGTATCCCAAGACAACCATTCAAAGATGGATTTTTTTTGTTCAATTTTATCCATGTGCAGAGCTAGTCACACACCTCAAAATCAGATGGCACTGAAACTGCATGCAAGAAAGAGCACACTATAATGTATAGTATGTCCCATATGGATAAGCATATTTATTATGGTAATTCCTGTTTAGTGTGGCTTCAGAGTACACGTCGTTGACGGTCCATTACAATGTGAAAACAGATGGACATAAAGCACGCCTGAATAGGCTGACATACAACCACACGTGAAAGCCCACTTCACCCTCTTGTCTCTGAACTGTAGGAGGAAATCATGTAAGATGGAGAAACTAATGTGAGCATGCCGAGTACAAGAAAACCTTTTAGGCCAAAGATCTTTAAGACATTAGTTTTCCATGGCCACGTGATACTGATTTATTAAAACCTTAGCTTTCAAATGCCACTTCCCTGAATAGTATAAAATCTAGATCTTAATAAATAATGTAAACAGGATTGGATCATTTTGTGAATTTTAAAGAACCATGATCAATTAGAGTCAGCCTGCGTCACTGTCAGCAGGAACAGCAGGAAACATTATGGAGACAGACGGTGGAGAGTTTCCCCACAACTCACTCTGCCAGGCTGATTCAGCACGGCCATCAGGCAGTATGGTGACAACACATGTCAGCTAAGCAATCTGGTTCTGCAAGTAGTTGTTCAAGAGATGTTACAGTTCAGTGATCAAACTCCACCCATGTGGAAACCAAGATGGCATCTGACATCTGTTCAAGTCAAAATATTCGATTTCTCATTTCTCCTTACTTTGACCTGGATGATTTTTAGATTACTTATTGTCAGAATTTAAGCTTGTACTGAACATCTGGTGCAACATACATATACATAAAGGGAGACACATATTTCCAGCGTGCTTTAGTGATATAAAGTTGTCCCCAACTCAAACAAAAAAATCAGCAATTTTGCATGAAAATCTCATTTAGTGACTTGAATTAGTCTCATATTTTACATTTGACTGCTTGTTTAGAACATTTTAATAGACAGAAAACATGTTTATGATAAGGTTATATAAAAACCGAAGACTTACACAATGACTATTTCTATTTCACTAATGCAAATATCAGATAGTTACATAATAATACACAATTTAATGGAATGAAATGTAAAAAATTATCCAAAAATGCAATATCTGTTTAACTGCTTGACTAAGAAGGGAACATTGGTGCACACACATTTGAAAAAAGTACAAAACCCTTATATTATGTTATTATTTTTAATAACTTTGTCTCTAGTTTTTCTTATTTATTGATTAATTCCGATCTACTCCTTATCTTCATGCACTGCACTATTAATATGAATTTACCTAACAAGAAGTGGATAAGATGCACATCTGTATGCCGTTCTGTTTCTTCCCAAATCTGCAGTACATTTGGATGGACATGTGACTATTGTGCAAGAATCAAACACATATACATTTATAGGCTCATGTAGTCAAATTAACTACAATTTCTTCTGTTATCTGAATCTTCTTTGAGAATCTATTTTATCCTTCAAGAAGCATGGAAACCCACAGTAACTGGAAAAGTGGGAACAAAAATGAGCCATAATTAGAATTCACAGTACATTGTCCATCAATGATCCCTTTAAAATGGGCACATAAGCGGTTAATACCCTGTGTTTAATTATGTTTAGTGATATATTTTATTTTCAAAGCAGAAGTAAATGACTGTTTGCTTCTCAAAACCCTTTGTATTTCAGTTAGATACTGTAGAGTCATTGCACAGTTCAATCCCAAAAAAAGCAATCTCAAGATTTACAACTAGTAGTACTGGTTAGCATCCTATGTATTTTTGCATGCAACCAGTGAAATTGATTGTATTTGCAGATGGAAATGATTGTACTGTACCAGCTGTGTTGGAAGTCACTGGGCGGGAAAGCCCATCACACTTGGTCTCGCAGAGAAAATCGTCGATGGAGGGGCTTAGGAGGGGGCGGCTCTCTTGTTGCTCACTCACCAACTGAAACAGAAAACAGAAAAAACTGTTCAGGCTCTCATTCAGCATGGAAGTCCAATCTTAATGTATATAGGCCATGTTGTGTTAGATAATAATAATGATAATAATAATAATAATAATAATAATAATAATAATAATAATGATAATAATGATAATGATAATAATAATAATAATAATAATAATGATAATAATAATAATAATAATAATAATAATAATAATGATAATAATAATAATAACACAAATTCTACCAGGAGTTAAAATTTGCATGACATGTATAAAAAAAACTGGCTGTCATTTATTTAAATCACCATTGTATTTAATAAGTCATTCTATTATTGAAAGATGGTTATGTTAATGTAGTGCATGACATGTCACTGAATGAGTCACCATTGAGAAAACGACATAGATTATCTAAGGTGAGTGAAACCTAATGGATGTTCACCATTATTGCTTATCTCACCTTCCAAGTCATGAAAATGCTAATTACCTTGCCTGTGATACACCAATTTGTATGCGTGCCAGTGCAGCTGTGGAATAGCTTACATCCAATTTATGATCAGCACCCTGAAGTCACGATACTCCAGCTGCAGCTGGCCAAAATATGTTAACTAGTGATTCATAATTTTGAGGTGACGACCAGTTTTGGCCCATAGTGAGGGTGAGCCACCTCCACTAACATCAGCCTTTGCAGTGTATAAAATGCTGGCAGCGAACAAACATGACATTTGCTATTGTTGCTCTGCAGGCCAAGCTCGCTTACAGAATTTTAATGAAGGTGCTAAAAGATTAATTACCAAGCAAGAATGGACAGCACACAATGCTATATATGAGAGTTGCTGAATGGTTTTTTTTATAGTATGTCTACAGAGAGTAGACATGTAAAAGTATCTATACTCTATTGTGATGTAACATTGTTTACCCCATGTGCTCGATGTTACACCCTCATTGTTCAGGGTCCTGTAAACCTCACTTCTATTTTTTAAAATATAATAGCTGCTGAAATGATCAAGATTTTTTCTCTCCCGTCCTTGCTTATATTCAATATCTAATAAAGAATTTGAATTGAAACCTTCCATTTACCAAGATCTTGGATAGATATATATTACAAAATGACAAAATACAGATATCACCATACAGCTATATTATAATATCAAGTTAAGAAGGCTTTAACATGGCTTATTCTTTCAGGAAGAGGTTCGTACAAATAGTTTTTTAAATGATTAACCTTCAGCATCACATCAAAAAAATGGGGAGGACAAACAATATAGAGGACTCTCTGTTAACCTGCATAATGCAGGCTTTATTGCAAGTACACGTATAAGGATGCATTTATTATCGCTCAGTGCACAACATACAAATGTAACTTTGTGTCTGTATTCTGTGCCTTTATTTCCAGAAAACGTTTATGGAGGTATGTAATATGGCAAAGAAGAGAAACTGCTGGAGCGTCGGTAGCCCAGTGGTTAGAGCACCTGCCCCCCCTTACGGTGACAACAGTCCCTCAAGCGGAAGGCCCAGGTTCAAATCCGACCTGTGGCTCCTTCCCCCAATGTCATTCCCCACTCTCCCCGATTTCTGGCTCTATCCCTTTTCCTATCTCTAAATAAAAGCATAAAAAGCCCCAAAATAGACCCTAAAAATAATTCATAAGAGAAACCGCTATGTCCTGGAAAGTGACAACATAATATGGGAAGTAGAAAGGAATACAATTGTGTTGTTTTTCAGCCTGAAAAGTGGGATTGAATGGCATCAAAACAAAAAACATTTCTGGAAGGAAATCTCTTCTGTAGTCACCAGTGTCTGGTTTGCGGACCGATTCCAGCGGAGGTTTTAATATTTAATTTACACATGCATGATACGTTACTTGTATAGTCTAGGCTATGATACAATAGTTTTTACATTCAGGTTAAAAACAAGTGCTTAATATCGCAAAAAAAAGTCCAGTCCGAGGTTGTTCAGCTTTAATTTCTCAGGTGGCGGTGGACAGAGACGAACCTGGTGTCAGATATGGATAATGATAAATATTTAATAACCTAGACTACTACTATTTTGTAGCCCTGTTCATATCAAACAAATAAATAATTGCAGAGATGCAGAGTTTCTTGATATTATTTTATTTATGTTCCAGATAATTAACCCCCGCTGGCACAAATGGCCTCCAGCCGTCAACTGCACAAACTAGCCTGGTCACCAGCCCCACTGAGACAGGCGATGGTGGGCGCCCGTCCTCCTTCTCCAGTGCTGGCCAACCAACACGACTCTGTGTCCATTCTGAAGAGGTCCTAGAAAGACAGACAGAGATGTCGGTCAAGGGCGGAGAGAAACTTCTTTCTACTTGTCATTAATGTGACTTGAGAAGAGGTTACTGAAAACCTGAAACGTCCTGCATCAATTTAATAAAAGGTTTGACCAAACGTTGTGTAATGTCTAATTCTCATCTGAATAGCCTATTTCCAAACATAAGAATTGAAGACTTACGTTTTAGAAGAGCTGGATGAAGTCCTGTCAACGTCTTAAAGCCCCAGGATGAAGTTAATTGTTATTTTGTCACATGTAGCCCGGCTTAAATGCGTCTGTTGTGCGCAATGACGCATGTGGCACAGCAGCGTATGACATTGTTATTTAATTCTCAGTACATGCTGATAAGTTGTGATCTAACATTAATTAAAGTTCCGTGTATTTAAATTATCAGCAGTTACACACACTCACAGAAACACACACACACACACACACACACACACACACACACACACACACACACACACTTTAATCAAATTTATTTAAAAGTAAAATTGTTCCTTTTGCCAGATAATATCCATCAAAGAGATAATAAAAACAAATATGCTTTGAGGATAATGACCCATGTTATGAGATTTAATTTATAAATTTACTGTAATTACACAAAAGAAGCACCACATTTTTCTGCATACAAAAAATTCAAACAAAAAAACCACATGAAAGATCATTATGTTGTTGGGTATTTTTGCTGTAAGATTGCTGATCCAGCACAGGTAGTTAGAATATTTGCTTTGCTGGCATCAGAATACAGCTTCGGTTCATGTGAAGTCTCACAGTGTGAAGTAACCCGATTTCATCCTCTGCTGCTGCCTGCCCAGGCATTCATGCATTTCCTCCCCAATTTTCAATACACATGACAAATCACACAGGGATAAACTTGTTTTTAAAGGTCGCTTATATTCGGCAATTTACACTCTGCTTGTTCAGGGAAAGTGTAATTGTAGGCTGAGGCGGTAAACCATTGAATCTATTACAATGGTTATTATTGTGAAAGAGGAAGAAGCCTTATTTAATCTCTGCTTAATAAAAGCTAAGAGTTACCATTAAACCCTTGTCACTGTATTGACTGAAGAGATAAATAATGTGATTAAGGTAAATAAAACAGCAGTATTAATCCACCATTAAAATTAGTCATACCCAAACACTTTTTCAGTTTGAGTCAAGAAAAGGAGCCTATTTTCTGCAAAACAAATACTAATTATACACACAGTATTTTACCATGGTACTTATCAATATTGATTTGGTCAACTCACATATGCAACCATTGTAAACATTTGAACAACTTAATTGCCAAAAGAATCATCTATAAAGTGTGTCTAGTCTAATGTCTGACAGGTGGTGTTTAATGTAAGTGTAAACTGATTATTGTATAAAGTTGACATAAAAATAAATCCCACAAGGCTCTGGGACTATACGTGATGGAGACATGTCTGCGCTTTATTGTTTTATAAACAATTAATATGATAAATAACTCAAATACATAAACCTTAGCTAAACCTATCAATGATTTTTTTTTAAAGTTAGTTAGTTTTAATAGTTTTTTTAATGGATTCAATGTACAGATGTATCTGTAACTATATATACAAGCAGGGTACGAAATGAACTCACAGGCCAAGGTGGCGGAGAGAGAGAAGCTAACAGTGTAAATAAATTCATAAATGTACACTTTTACAGTGGCTGAATTGATAGAAACCAGAGAAGCATCTGTCAATGAATAACATTTTTTATTTACAAAGCATCTATTGAAGGACATTCAAGAGTTACTCTGCATTAAACAGAGATTCTAGGATAAATCTCCTGTAGTCTGTGTACAAATTCCCCACACAATAGATGATCTTGGAGCTCTCTTTTTATTTTTTAGCATTAAAAATGTCCTCTAAATGCAGGCTACAGCTGTCCCTGCAGGGTATCTGTTTTTGATGGTTTGGCTGAATGACTGAAGGTCACTACTGCCAAGTAGCTGAATGCTGCACATTTGCAGCGAGCCGTAATCTCAAAGTAACATATTTAATTCATAAAAAATGTTTAAGTGTAATGACAGATGTTAACAGAATCTTGGCTTTCAGCCCTTCTGAGTCATATTTATTGCTAAAAGTTGGCAGCATTTTCATATTCCCAGTAAAATATAACTGTGTTAACCTTTATGTTGTCCTCAGGTCTTTTTTGACCCATTTTCAAAGTCTTAATTTTAAAAAAAATATGGATTTTTTCATCTAATTGCCTAAAAACGACATGCATGGTTCCCGACCACGCCCTTTGCAAATGTCCTTCATGATGAAAATTTACAATGAATTATGAGTGTTTTAAAACTAGCTTTTTGTTTTCTTCAGGGGGGCAAAAAATGACTTAGGGGGCTATCGTGCTAAGGGTCATCCAATTGTGTTTTGCAGAAGATGTACACACACACTGAGCCAAACACACTCATACATATTTACACACACACACACACACACAAACACACACACACACACACACACACACGCACACACACACACACACACTGAACACACAAATGAAAGTTGATATGTCAAACTGATTTCATTACAACTTTTTCTTGAATGATGAATGAAGCGCACACAGACAAAGACATACACACTCACACACAAACTTCAAATCTGCAGACACGTATAAATGATTCCATTACTACTTTTCCCTGAACTCTGGGGACCCAAAGTTTGAGACAACACACACACCATAAACTGTTTCACACACACACACACACACACACACACACACACACACACACACACACACACACACACACACACACACACACACACACACACACACACATACCATAGACTGTATAAGACATAAACATATACTCAGACACACACAAAAAAAACCCTTCAACAGAAGCAGTGACCCACAGGTAATGTGATGGGGCAATTGATCAGACTGATTTTCTCTAGCAGAACACAGAGAGACACACAAAGACAGAAAAACACAGTCACAACTTTAAAGCTGCACCTTTGTAAAAACTGTTCTTATTGGACCTTTTGATGTGCTTTTCTGCCTTTGGGACAATATAAACAATAGAAAAACAATCAAAAGGCAACAAAACCCCCAGCGTTTGGAATGTGAAGGAGAGGAAGAAGTGTCAGAAGTAGAGGGCAACACTGAAAATTATGATAATACTTCAGCTGAGAAGGAGGATGACTAACCCATATGAGGAAGGAGAACATACTGAAATGAAAGATGGTTTCCAGTCAAAGGATGGAAATTTGCTCTGGTCTTCCATTCCTTCAAATGACAGATGACGCATGCTGGGGCAGAGAGAAAAAGAAGTCCCCGTTGTCCAACAAGGAATGCAATATTTCGTGCTGATGGCATCAAGTCCAATTTTGAGCTATTTCTCCCGGAGTCAATTCAAAAGATTACCTGGGTCTGTTGGTTGCAGCTTGTGTCTACAGATCCAGTAAAGAAGCTACATTTAGCCTATGGCATGCCCAGTCTGAAAGGGCAATTTTTCATGTCACTCAAGGGGTTCCATGTAATTTCAAGAGTGATTGATGACAGTTGATGATCTTGCACAAGACGAACATGCTGTGTACGAAACAAACTTGCTGCATCTGATTAACAATCCTGAAGCTGATGTGACAGTGGATGAGTGCTTGGTTCCCTTCAGAGGTCGCTGGGCCTTCAAATCGTTCAAATCAAAAAGTAAACCAAGAAAGTATGGCATAAAAATCTGGGTTGTCTGCAATGCTATGAAAAGCTATGCCTGGAACATGCAAAGTTTCACTGGCAAACCTTTTGATGGACAACCAGAAAAAATGAGTTGATAATATGCCCTTGGACAGGATTTACTGAAGAAAGATGACTTTGGTGGTATTGGTTAGGAAGAACAGACCTGAGCGTCCCCCTGAACTTTTGGCAGCCAGAGAAAGTGCTCGATTCTCATCAGAGTTCACTTTCACTGAGACACATGCACTTGTGTCCTACTGACCCCAAAAAAGAAATGTGCTGAAATGTGTCCTGATGAACACTTCAAATGGATATACTGCTGTGAGCCGTAAGGAAGACAAAAAGCCTCAAATTATCCTGCACTACAACCAGAACAAAGGGGAGTCGACAAACCTGGACAAGGTACAGTATTCAGCTTTTTAAGGAACATTTATTGTCAACCATACAAATAAAAATGGCTGTCTTTCTGCACACTTGACGTGTCTGCCTACATCTCAACAACAACTAAACCCAGCCTGTTTTCTGTGCTTTTTAGAAAGAATTGAAACAATTCTGAAAACTACATTTTGTCAATGGTTGCAACTAAAGTAAAGATTGTTTTTGTTTTTGTACATGAAATTGCTTTTCTCTGTTATCTGTTTTTTTTTTTTGGAAATACATTTGAATCAGTCAGATCTGACCTGTTAATATACTTACTATTATTTGTCAAATACCAGTTCGTAATTATCCATAATAATCCATAAATTCTGTTTATTTCGAGAATTACTATTAATGAGGTCCTTCAACCTTTAATTTCATAAACAAGTGTCAAGTTTGGTTATCACTGATAATGACTTTTAACACAGTTAGGTGCGACACATAATTATGTGATATAGCTCATGATTTATAACCAGTCAAACCAGATGAGGTCAATTTTAACCCATGAGGAGAACAAAGCTTCTGCCCCACCATGTGTTTAGCTCTAAATTACAAATGTTAGCATAGTACTATGCTGAACTCGGACGGTTAATTCACATCCTAAATATTGTATCATGTTAAACATAAGCATGCCTGCATTCAGGGACCGATTTTTTTTATTTACCCGGCACCTTGGCTGTTGTGACAAAAAGTTAATATTGGACTGCATTGCCATTGAGAGCTTTAGACCCTAATTACATTATCAATCAATCAATCACATTTATTTATAAAGCACATTTAAAAACAGCAACAGCTGACCAAAGTGCTGTACAAACAAAAACAAGAGAGCAATACAGATTAAAAAACAAAACAAAAATAACAAGGCAAAACTCACACATGC